ACATTTTTCATTTCCACCAACAACTTTATTGAGTTGGGTATTTCGAGCACGTGGGCTGTCTCCTGCTATTGACTTTGGTGGGGAGAGGCCGGGGTGCTGCTAAACATCTCCCGATGCACAGGACAGCCCCACTGCAAATGTTCGACCAAAATGTCAGTGGTATAAGAAACTTCACAAACCACAGTCGACACATTTGATCAATCATAGCACCTTCTCCATATACCACACACATCTTTTGTGTGTGTGTATTTCCAGTTTCGTTTTTTCTTGTAATAATGAAGTATACTACACTGAAAATGTGTATTTTCCATCTTCAGTATTAAAATGGCTGCACAAAAATTTCACCATTTTTGATAAGGTGGTTATTTATGCATGCTAATGTGAAAGCTCTCCTAATACAATCTTTACAGTTGTTTCAAGTGAAGTTTAAGACAACTGAGCACTGCTGGAGTTATCACGTGGAACAAACCAAACGAGCTTCGTGGGTGACCCAAGAGTATTTTCATCCAGCCTCCACCCGTATTTCAGTTTTGCCACTTGATGTGAGGTCCCATGAAGCCTCTCCTCCCTTCCCCGGTAGAGCCCAAAATCTGGTCTCAGGTGGGCAGTCCCTTTAGTTTTTGTATCTCTTTGGACCCCTTGAACCTGGAAAGTTCCCTAAACTTGTGTCTTTTTGATGCCGACTTTTGAAGAGCAGTTTTCCTCCGCATACCTGTTCTTGTTCCCCCCAAATAGAACTTTGGTCATTTTGTCTTTTTCTGGTGTTTTCTCATCATTATGTAAAGTCACACATTCCTGGCCAAAATCCCGCCCAAGTGATGAGTGCCCTTCTCAGGTGCCGCTGCCCTCAGGTGGCCCAGCCAGGTGGGCCCTGTGCTCGCTTCCCCTCACAGGTGATGGCAGTTCCGACCACGTGGCCCCATGTGCCCAATAAAGCAGTGTGCCGGGCGGCAGTCTCGGACCTCGGACCGTGTGCACACCTGTTCCTCCTCCGAATTTCTGCCAAGACTTTAGGACCTGTTGCCTAATGCAGGCTTTACCTGTGGGCTGCGAGATAATTCGTTGCTGTAGCTAATTTGTTTTGTGCTCAGATGGGCCCATATTCCTCTGAGGCGGCCTCTTCAGGCTGGCTCCTAGACCCTTGTGACCTGCCCTCGCCCTGTATCAAGCACCTCCTCCCATTTGGGCCCATCCTCCTACCCCCACCCCCACCTGAAGCCCTGGAGTTGGTCCTCTCCTCTAGGCCAGGGGCCTTTCTTGGAGAATGGGCACTAGGTTTGCTCTTTGCTAAGGGCTGTTTGCTTCTTTCCCCTTTCAGCAGATGGGGTGGGAAATATGAGTGTGTGTATGTGTGTGTGTGCGCACTTACATATACATGTGTACGAGTACATGTATACACACCATATGCATGCACTCAACACCATTCATTCATAATGAATTTACACCAATACCTCCGGTTCTGACCCTTCCCAGTAAGGTCTGTGCCCTCCCGGGTCCGGCTTGTTTGTTCATCCCAAGTCATAGTCCCAGCCCCAGCAATGCTCACATTGATTCAGCCGCTCAATGGGGTGAACAGGCCTTTGTTTTGCTCCCAGGAAAGATTGTATTGCACTTTTAAAACTATATAGGATACTAACATGTTCTAAAGTCAAAGTTACATAAAAAGTTATATGCGGAATTGTCATTTTCTCCAGCTTGAATCCCCCTGCGTTTTACTTGCTTTCTGGGTTGTCCTTATAGGTTTTGGTAATGATAAGCAGATGCATTATTTTCTCTTTACACTGAAGGTAGCTCATTACATATGCTCTTTTGCAATTGCCTTTTTCACTTAAAAAATGCACAAGCTGCATGATATCAGTTCATAGGGGTTTCCCTCCTCCTTCCCCTCCCCCTTATCTGCACCATAGTTTATTCGCCCAGTGGCCAAAGCTGGGAAGTTGAGGTAGTTTATGGTGTTTTGCATAACAAACGATTCTTGAGTTGGTAACTTAATGCAGAAGGGTTTTCCAGCTGTGGAGGGAGGATGTCTGTGACACATTCCTAGGAGTGGGCTTACTGGCCCGGCAAACGCACTTGGTTAGATATAGGGTCACATCCCTCTCCAGGGGCTGGTGGCAGTTCACCAGGGCCACCAGGAGAGGGATGGATGAGAGAACCTCTTTACCTGTATCCTTGCCAACAGAAATGTCATAGTCAGCTTTTGAATTTTTGCCTATTTTATGGTGAAAAATGATATCCCAGTGTAGTTTAGTTTTCATTTCTCTGTTGAGTGAAGTTGCTCATTTTTACATGCAGAAGGGTAATTTTGACCTTCTCTTATGAGTTGTCTTCTCATGTGTATTTCCTGTTGTTCTTGAAGATTTTGATTTTTTTACCTTCCAATTGAAAGGTTCTTTATATACAGAGCCTAGCACAAATAATGCCTCTTTTTATTACAAAATTATAAGCATGTATCTATAACATCTCACACACACACCATTTGACATTTTAGGCAAAACGTTCATATTAAAAACTGTAAATCATCACACCCACATTACCCCCCCCCCCCCATTCCAGCAGGCCTCACTTCTGCCGGCCCCTGTGCCTGTGTATCGGGGATAGTAGGCCTTTGTGTTACATGATACATATGTTCTCCTCCAGTTAGACATTTTTTAAAGTTTTGCTTATGTTATTTTTTGCCACATGAAAATTTATTTTTATGTAGCTAGATTGATCCTTCTTCTATTACATCTGGTGGATTTTTTAATTAAAATTGCCCTTCCCCTACATCGAGGTCATTGAGCAGTTCATGTTTTTGTTCGGTTTTGCATCACTTTTGTTCGTTCGTCCGTCCAACCTGTAGCTCTAGTTCCTTTGGAAGTGCTGCTTCTCTGTGCGGTGCAGAGTGTCTTTTCCCAGTCTGCCCCACAGCCGGCCACTCTGAAGGCTGTCCTCGCCCCATCCACCTGAGGTTCCAGTTGGGAGTTTCACATTTGGTTGGGGTTGTTCCTGGGATTCCTTGTGTGTGTGCTCACGCTCTGTCTCTCTTGCTGGTGAACCAAGACTGGCCTATTCCGGTCCCAGAGGCTTTGGGGTGGGGAGCGCTGTCGGTCCCCTGCGGAGCTTTTCAGCTTCACGTTTCTCCTGCCGTTCTTGTGTGTATATGACTCCATTAAAAACTTCACTTAATTTTTATTGGGATCACTTTAAATGTATCAGTTGACATCTTGATGGTACTAAGACATACTAAGAACAAGGTGTGTCTTTGCGTTTGTTCAAGTCTGATTTAGTGACTTCTCAGAGTGCTTTGTTAATTTTCTTTGTATAGGGTTTAGATGTTTTTTAAAGTTCATTCTTAAATATTGTCTATTTTGTTGCTGTTATAAATGTAATTTTTCTCATTTATTGTACCTCTTAACTAGTTATTGTGTATATTTTATTGACTTTACATTGCTTGTTTTATCTTTCTACTTTGTTAAATTCTTTTATTGAATTTATGTTTGGTTCTCTAGGATTTTGCACAGGTACTATCTTGACATCTACAAATAGAGTTTTGTTTCTTACTCTTCTGCCTCTGTTTTTTCTTGTTTCAATGTGCACATGGGTATTAGAACCTTGTCCAGTAGTATAATGGACAGAGCAGGCTTCCTTGCTTTGTTCCTGAATTACCCAGGGTCCCCCAGTTAGGGAAGTGTTGGCTTTAGAGTTGAGATGTGTGTGTATGATCACATTCAGAAAATACCCATCCATTTTTATTTTCTCAAGTTTGTTTTTAAGTAAGAATGGGTTTTGACTTTTTTTCAGCGTGTAGTGAAAGGATTTACTCTCCTCCAACCTAAGAATGTGTTGAATTTTATGAATAGGTTTTTCTGACATTTAACCATCCTTGCATTTCTTGCATAAACTCCACTTGGATATGGCTTATTATTTTCCTAATTTGCTGAGTCTTTACATCACAGGTGGCAAACGTAAGGCCCATGGCTGGAATCTGGCCCTCCACCTTGTTCTATCTGGCCCGGCACCTTGTTTCTATCCAGTGCCAGCGCCAAGCTCTCGCATAAGTGTTAAGGAGCAGTTACATTTATATACAGTCCTAAAATTACATTCGGCCCTTTGAAGGCAACCAAGAGTCTGATGTGGCGCCCCACCCCCCCACCGGTGAAAATGAGCTTGACACCTCCGCTTTACATAATATGATTCAGGATTTTTGCATGAATATTATTAGTACATTTATAATGTATCTGGAAGACATCAGAAGATGTCTCACTCATGCTAGATTCTCCTTTTCTGCTTGCGAGTCTTTTCATATCAATGAAGCAGCTCAAAACGACGCTGTTCCATTGTTGGTGTGTTAGACTAGAGAGTCAGGATGGGCAATCTTTCCGGCTAGTGCCGGGATTCCAAGGCGGGCTGGGCTACAGGCACAGGAGAGGGTATGGCCGCCCGGGGCGTGCTGGCGTGCACTTCCTGAAAAACTCTTTGGAGAAGACCAGGGTACCACTCCTACTGACATGGGAGAAGCTGTACTTGAAGTTGACCTGGAGTGGTTATTTTCACAGTTTCATGCACCGAGTCGTTTGGAGGGTTTGGCGATACCTGTTCATTTCAAGTTGTGGGGGGCGGAGTGGGGCGCTGTGGGCCGCCCTCCGTGGAGTGTTGGCTGCAGTGGGGGTTGGGGAGCCGTGCTCCACACGGTGACTTCCTGATTCCGAGCTGTTTCTTTTTTAAGTTTGGGTAGTGGCTGTGTACTCCATCTTTTCCCCTCCCTATTTATGTTTCCTTGGATGTCTCTGTCCCCTATTTACATTTTCCTGGAGGTTTCAGTGCAAATTGAATGATGTCTTATCGAATGTTCAAAATAAATTGCTTTTTCAAAAAGATACATGCTAAATTAGTGTCATGAGCATTAAAGCTTAATGTATGATATACAAATGTTTCATTGATTTCTAAAAGGTTTACACCAGAACAGCAGTACGGATGCATGACAAATGGGTTTTGTTTCCATCTCTCCTGGTGTTTAGAACTGCAGGGTCTGTGTCGAGTGCGGCACACGGTCTAGTTCTCAGTGGCACCACAATTGCCTGGTGTGTGACAGTTGTTACCGGCAGCAGGATAACTTATGCCCTTTCTGTGGGAAGTGCTACAGTCCAGAGTTGCAGGAAGACATGCTGCACTGTAATATGTGCAAAAGGTAAGAAGACCTCAGTCCCACTGTGGTGTCTCATCTGTCCCGTGTCTGTGTGTTTGTTCACTGCTGTGTCCCCTGGCACTCTGAGCTTCGCCACCCCAGTGTCTGTGTGCTGGGGGCTACCCTAGATGGCTACCCTAGGTGGAATGACGTTCCGTTTTCATGCATCCAGAAGGCGAGAGGAAGGGAATGGGCAAAAGATAAGGCCAGAAGGGATCTTTAGGAGGGGAAACTTAAACAGGAAGTAGTTTGACACTCTAGAAGTTAGAAGTATGTCAGCAGCTTCAATGACATTCCGAGATGCTGGTCCTTCCTGAGGACTTGAATCCTGGTAGTTCTTCTCCTGGCTGTGGTCCTTGTCCCCCCCCGCTTCATCAGATTTCACTGTCCTCTCTCTGCTCTGTGTTGTGAACTTAGCTCTGTGTTGGACATTTTATTGAAAAATACTTCTCACTGCAGGTGGGTTCACCCAGAGTGTGACAAGCCAGCGGATCACGACCTGGACTCTCAGTTCAGAGAAGAGTACATCTGCACATACTGTAGACACTTGGCTGCTGAGATCGGGCTGCAGCCCGGCGAGGATGAGGAGGTGGCCGGAGTCCCCACAGGTACACTTGCACCAGCTGGGCAGCAACAAGTGCTCTGAGTTTCCCCACCTTTAGAGGTGCATACAGCCCTGGTCTCTGGGATTCCGTCCGCTCACATCTGACCCAGCTAGCTCCCTTACAACCGCTGTCCTGGTGCATGAGTTTGAGGACCAGTGTGCACTTCAGAATCCAGGTTATTTCACTTTAAACACATTTTAGAGTGAAAACATTTATAGTGTCATCTTCAAACGTCAGTCTTCACCTCTAGAGCTCCAAAGGTGCTCGGCTCTCTTTAGCAGTGTGCTATTGGTTAGGAACAAGGTAGCAGGGTTCTTGGATGGTAAAGAAACTGACCTCCAGGCCAGGTTGTTGCTCACTGTCGTGGGCACGAAAAGCAGCTTCGGTAGAAGGCCCGGTGGTGCTGTCCACTAGGGGATTGCGTGGCCCCCCCCCACAGCACCTGTACTATACTTGCAGGGTACACTTGCAGAGTACTTGCTCTCAGCATGCGCTCGTGGGAGTCCTTAGCAGTAACACCGCTCACCTTTTAGCTCATCGCACTTCCCATGTTTTTTATAGTGTAAATTATACTGGGTGCAAAGCAGGAAAATGCAATCAATTTATGGCATTTTCAGAGATAATTTACCCTCACTGAAGCAGAGTAGTGACTGCTGACTTAGTTAACCAGAACATGGAAACTCCCTCTGAGCTAAAGAGTGAATATGTTTCTGTTAAGATTATAACAACGAGATGGAAGTCGAAGACCCCGAACACCGTGTGTTGTTCCTGGAGGAAGCAGTTATGAAGGATGCCCATGCTCAGGAGTCTGCACCTGGAATTGTTCCAGATGGTAAGAATGTTTTCGGTGATGGATATACTCTGTTTTCGGGGGTGGGGGTGGGGACTATGTATATACAGTGAATATGTGAAAGTCTGCTGAAATGTTAGTATCCTAAATAAAACTAAGCCAAGATATATGTAGTACCTAGGAAATTTGGTAGAGTAACCTTAGACAACCTGGTAGGGGAAAGGGCACGTGTATATTTGTAGTTCGGCTATAAGCTACACCTGATCACAAGTAAACACTTTGTTTACACATCAGGTGATTCTCATTAAGAAGTAATTTGTTCTTTTGTCTTTCTTGGCTGATTCTTGTAATTACTAACTAGGGCCGTTGCTGATTGTGAGGTGCTTCCTGCTGGGATAATGAGAGGTTTATTTTTGATCGTCTCAACAGCCCTATTGAGGGTTACTTCAGTTATTTCAATTAAGTTTTTTGCAGTATTGATAAGCTGTTACTGTACACGAGGATCTGAAATTAATGAGAGACCAGGCTGGGGAGAATCTACTTATAGAAATCATGGGCGCTTCTTGATAGTCTGGCAGTCTCTGTGTGTTTATAGGTTGAACATACATAACAAGTTTAAGATTTTTTGAGATTGCTTATATTTAACAACTTCATTAAAAGGTATGTAAAGTGAAGAAAAATAAGACAAAGCTGTTACAAGTCTAATCACAACACATAATCAGAATCCTAATTCTTTTTCATGCCCATTCTCACAGCCAGTTCACTAATAAATAATAGTGTTGTGTTTTGTACTTACATGGGAAATGGGCATCGGCTGCAGGATAGAAATCCTGTTGAAATTACTGTGGAGGGAGCAGGGGCAGGGGAAGTCTGCTGCTCGAGCCTCCATAAGTGTGTGTTCACAGCCCTCCAGGTGTGCGCGGGAGAGCAGCAGCAGAGCGAACCTCCAGAAGGCCTGCGCACGCGTGGCCTCCACGTTTCCGGTAAGCAGTGCCTGATGTCACCTGGTCTGAGTGAGGCACAGCCAGGCCCGTGCGGTTCCTCTGTCGCTTTGTGGTGGTGTCTGTTTACTGTCTAAATTAGTTATTGCAAAGATTTTTTTAACTGTTGCTTACCTACTCATTATAGTAAGGAAATCTTTTAGGGAAGTGATCCTTTTCTTTCACGGAATTGGCCATGGAATTCTGAAGGTTGCAGTCTCTATGAAGAGTTGCTGGATCGAATGTTGCTTATTGAGGCAACTTCAACTCACTGTTTAAGAGCAGCAGCGGACCGTAGTTGAGATGTATGTTTGCATTCCCATCTTGCCTCACCCGCCTAGTGCAGGACAGTGGGGACACACTGGGGCTGCACATGGGACGTGCTGCTAGGTGTCAGAGTGACCTGAGGCCATCGACCTTCTAGCAGCAGGCGATCTGTGCTTCCTGTTGTATTAGGATCAATTTTATTTGTGTCACTGAAATGATGGTACTTTTGGTTTTAAACCCTTAAGGTGTTTCCTTTTCATGTGTGTTCAGTTTTATGCGAAGTATTTTTGAAGCATTTCTGTGTTTAAGAATATTAGGTACCATGGATCTGTTCTTTGGTGTTTTGTCTTTATTCTCAACTATATAGTCTTTCAGTGAAGTGGGAAGGAGAAGTGAGAATTCATTTCACTATGAGAACACAGATGACTTACAGTCACATGGTAAATTGTCAATGAGGAAATTAGAATCTCTGTTGATGCGACTGAGAAGTTGCCTTGATGGTAACTGGAACATGTGCTCTTTGTCCTCAGAGTCCTATGTGGTGGGCCTCTGAGCCTTGCTGAGCGAGCCTGGGTTACAGGGCTCGTGCTCTAGTGTCCTGGTTTAAAATTTGGTGTGGCTGATGACTAGCAGTGTTTCCAGTACCTAATTATGTTTATTGACTTGCCAGTTTACTGAGGCTAGTTTCTTCAGTTAAGATGATGAGGAGAAGGACAAGGATTATATCTAAAATTTCGTTGGGCATGTTAGCAGGCACAGCTAAGCAAAAGAAGTCTTTTTGCTCTGTGGCCATTATCCACATGGGTCCTGAGAGCTGTGTTTACATCTGGGGTGCCCGCTGCTGCCAGACAGCTTTATGTGCTGGAGCAGTTCTCTCTAACTCAGATGCCTCACACGGCATCATTGAGCCTCATTTTTCTAGCTGTTAAATGAGTATGACTTCACCCATGAAATTTTTAATACTTTTGTTAACTGCTCAAATTATAAAACATTATATGCATGTAATAGCATTATATTAGAAATTGTGTTTTAATATTCTTACCAGAAATACTTTACACACTGGTGATCATATTTAGGTGATTTTTTTTCTTTAAGGTTTCATGGTCTGATCTGTGACTGATTTCTTTCTTTTTTTTTTTTTTACTTTTTAAAAAATATATTTTATTGATTATGCCATTACAGTTGTCCCATTTCCCCCCTTCATTCCCCTCCACCCTGCACACCTCTCCCCCACCATTCCCCCCCTTTCATTTCTCCATGTGTCACAAGTTCTTTAGATTCTATATTTCCCATACTGTTCTTGCCCTCCCCCTGTCTATTTTCTACCTACTGTCTGTGCTACTTACTCTCTGTTCCTTCTCCCCTCTTCTCCTCCTCCCACTCCCCTGTTGCTAACCCTCCATGTGATCTTCATTTCTGTGGTTCTGCTCTTGATCTAGCTGTCCTCTTAGTTTGCTTTTGTTTTAGGTTTGGTTGTTAATAACTGTGAGTTTGCTGCCCTTTCACTGTTCATATTTTTTATGTTCTTTTTCTTAGGTAAGTCCCTTTAACATTTCATATAATAAGGGTTTGGTGATGATGAACTCTTTGAACTTGATCTTATCTGAGAAGCACTTTATCTTTCCTTCCATTCTAAATGAAAGCTTTGCTGGATAGAGCAATCTTGGTTGTAGGTCTTTAGATTTCATGACTTGGAATACCTCTTTCCAGCCCCTTCTTGCCTGTAAGGTCTCTTTTGAGAAATCAGCTGACAGTCTGATGGGAACTCCCTTGTAGGTAACTGTCTCCTTATCTCTTGCTGCTTCTAGGATTCTCTCCTTCATTTTAATCCTGGGTAATGTAATTATGATGTGCCTTGGTGTGTTCCTCCTTGGGTCCACCTTCTTTGGGACTCTGTGAGCTTCCTGGATTTCCTGGAAGTCTATTTCCTTTGCCAGACTGGGGAAGTTCTTTATTATTTGGTCATATAAGGTTTCCACTTGTTTCTCTTCCTCTTCCCCTTCTGGTACTCCTACAATTCGGATGTTGGAGCGTTTAAAGGTGTCCTGGAGGTTCCTAAGCCTCTTCTCATTCTTGTTTCTTCATTCTTTTCTGTTTGGTCATTTTTTTCTTCCTTCTGATCCACTCCCTTTATTTGAGTGCCAGTTTCCTTTCCATCATTATTGGTTTCCTGTGCATTTCCCTTCATTTCACTTAGTTTAGCATTCATTTGTTCCTCTAATTTGTGACTAAAATCAACCAGTTCTATGAGCATTCTGATCACCAGTGTTTTGAACTGTGCATCTGATATGTTGGCTATTTTTTGGTTGCTTAGAGTTATTGGCTCTGGGGCTTTGAGTTCTTCTTGAGCCATGTTTTGGTCTGTTCGCACCTGTTACATATGAGGAGAGGAGCCTTAGTTATTCACCAGGGCAGGGTGACCCAGTTGCTGGGTTGTGACACTGTATGTGGGGCGGGGTCAGAGAGGGGCAGTGGTGCTTATTCCATGCTTTCTCTTGGAATTCGGTCTCTTCTGCTGCTTCCTGCAAGCTAATTGGGTCCTTCTGGTGCTGGTTCCCAGGTGTGCGGGCCTATGTACCCTCAAGGACCCTGTGGGTCTCTAATGAACTCTCTGGGAGCCTGGGAGCCTCTCCCGGCACCTCAACTCCACCCCCCCCCCCAAAGTTTTTTCAGTTGGTGCTTTTAGGCTTTAGTTCCTGGCGCTGGAGCCCTGGTTCACTTGGTCTGTCTCAACTGCTCTTTTTTTCGCCTGGTTTATCTGTGCGCGAATGTGTGACCGCGGTCAGCCAGCCGCCTTGTGCTCTCACTGGGTCTGGCCTGCCTATTGCCACCCAGCATCTGCGATCTGCCAACTGACGCCTGCGAGCCTGTTCCTCCAGCAGCTTTTTCCTACACAACCTGCTGACTCCGCCCCTCTTACCGGTCTGGGTATATGGTTCGTTGTTACTCATTTTTTAAAAAATCTTTTTCATTTATTTATCTTTAGTAGGGAAGGGAAGGAGAGAAGGAGAGAAATATCAGTGTATGGTTGCTTATGGTGTATTCCCTGCTGGGAACTGGACTGCAACCCAGGCATGTGCCTGACAGGGAATCGAACCTGGATCCTTTGGTTCGCAGGCCCGTGCTCAATCTACTGAGCTATACCAGCCAGGGCTATGGTTCGTTGTTGTCAGACTTCCGTACAGTTCAATTTTCTGTGTTTTGGCTGTGTTTTTGTTACTGAAACTTTGTTGTCTTTAAACTTGTTTGTGTGAGGAGGCACAGTGTTTCCACCTACACTTCCATCTTGGCTGGAAGTCTTGTGGCTGATTTCTGTCTAAGCCAATCATTATTTCAGTTTTTTTTAAAGCTGATTATTTTTAAGCCGCAAAGCTATAGACATTTAATGCATTAATGTCTTACACCTACTCAGAATTAGAAATTTAGAAATCTGTATCTACATTAACATAACAGATATTTCAAATTTTATAGAATCATCTCAAGATAAAATGCATCCTGAATTGGAAAGTCAGATCTCACATGCAGTTGATAATTACCCAGTGGAAACATCTTCTAAAGCAACACTTACTCGTGATGAAGATCAAAATGAACACAAAATGGAAGTGACGGAAGACGCCCAGGTCCTTGCCCACCCAGTCACCATGCAAGAGGGGCTTCAGTCGTTAGAGGAGCCTGGACCAATGGCCTCCACTGGAGAGCCAAGGCCTCCAAAAGTGGTCATTGACCCTGTCGCCGTTCCTCCCGAAACCCGAGTGTGCCCGTGTGAGGAGCGTTCTTCCTTCTGTCCTGAGAAACAGTCGCCTGGAGAGAGAGTGCGAGAAGAAACGGAAAAGAAAGAAAATCCCAAATCTTCCACTGCCTTTATGGACTTCGAAACGACTCCTGCAGTTGAGAGCTGTGTGAAGGGTGGTTTAAGCCGAGACAAGCCTGTGAAGCTGCCACCAGAGATGGAGCCGGCAGTCCCCTCAGCACCAGACAGAAGCAAGGCCCACGTGTCTCCCCCGCCGGCCCGCCCCTCGGACTTGCCTTCCCACGACATGCTGCACGGTTACCCTTCGGCACTCAGCGCTTCTGTGGGCAGCATCATGCCCACCACGTATTTCTCCGTCACTCCAAAAATTGGCATGGGTAAACCAGCTATCACCAAAAGAAAATTTTCTCCCGGCAGGCCTCGGTCCAAACAGGTACGGCAGCCTTAGTGATGTTGGTCCACTTCCGTAATGCAAGGTGTACATGTGGTTTTGGTTGGGGGCACTGTTTTTAGTCTTCAGGCAGAATGTACATGTAGTGCTGACTTAGGTTATTTGGCCTTTTATTATTATTTTTTATTATTTTAATGCTGTTTGAAACCTGAAATGATCTTATCTGTCATTTCAGCTCTGTTGTGACATACAAATGTAACCTATATGATGATAGTTTCATTAGAAACACAATTTTTTTTTTAGGTTCTGTGACACAGTAGTAAAGTCTTTAAAAAAGTAAAATATTAGGTACAGTGGTGTAACATTTCAAGGTAGGACTTACACCAGTAGTTTTAGAAAAAACGTTAGGATTGCCTTGTGGATCCTTAGAAGTAAAGGCACTTCCTCCTGGGACTGTTTCAGGTAAATGTGGGCTTTACCCCTTCAGGGTAAGTTGCAGTTGTTTTTAACTGGGATTTTAGTGAAGCTATGTGCAAAGCGAAGATATTGTACCTAAAATTTACTTGTTCTGCCAGATTCCTACTTTCTGAAGTTTTTATAAGATGGCCAGATATCAAACAATGCAATCACAAATACTAATTTGGAGTTTCACGTCTCATGACGTGAACTGATTAAAAGTTCTACTTTTTATAGAAATAATATCTTGACCATCCAATTGTGGAACTGTAAGATCAGTAGAAAAAATAAAATTATATTTTAAAGTAATGTGAGAATTAGTCTTCTCCAAATAATGTCCAGATATATTTTCATTCTCTAAAGACAGCACATTACAGTTATACCAAGGGAGATTTTTATTTTCAAACATTTTCCTGTTCCCTAGTCTTCTCTTGTTTTTTTTTGTTTTTTTTTTTTAATTTTTTTAAATAGTTGTATAATAATTATGTCGTTTGGCTCTGAAAAGATTTTAGCAATGGAGATTTGGTTCTCAAATTTAATTTTGGTTCATATAATTTTCATTCTTTAAGGATAATTGCATCATACATGGTCCTGTTAAATTTTACAGTATTTCTCCTTATTGAGAGACTTCTCTTCCAACTGAGAAACCATTAGGATTATATTTCTGTTGACCTGTGTTCCAAAGGTGCTTGTGTGTGTGTGTTGTTTCTGTTTATTTTCCAGGTTTATCCCATTTTACATGAGCCATGTCCTGTTACTTGCTATTACTTCTGCCCAGCCCTCTGTCACCCCTGGGCCTGGTGGGCCTTCTCTCTGTGCAGCTGTCATGTCTCGCTGTGCCTTCATGCCCTGCACTAGTCTCAGAAGCGTTTCATACGCCATATCTTACCTCCCCATTCTCTAGGGTATGGTCGTGCAGCCAGCGGCCGGCACCCTGCACCTGGTGAGCCTGGCTGCCTGCCACACTGGCCTGTGTGGAGGGTGCGTTGCACAGGGCACAGCAGCGCTTCCACTGTTTAAGTCACCGCTGAGGTGCTGGGATCGCAAGGCGTCCAGAGAGGAGTGCGCACTTTGGTGTACTGGGAGTCCTGACGTCCGCTGCTCTGTTACATGAGTTTATTCAGTGTTAGGCATTCCCGTTTTAGAGTTTTGGTTTTATTTAGTATTTTCCATATTCTTGGCTGCGGGGACTGGCTATGGGATGAGATGGATTTTCATAGCAGTTCCTGTGATTCAGTAAGGTTCTTTGGCTTCTATCTTATTTTAATTGTTGGTGTCACTGTCATTTCTGTGTTTTGTTGAATGTCATAAGCTCTATGGTCTTTACCAGTGTAGTGAATGGCACCCTGACCAAAGAACCATGTGTTTCATTAAAATTCCATTTCACAATGGTCCCATCTTTATCTTAACCATACGCTAATACTATGTGAGCTTTTCCAGGAATTCACTTAGAAGTGAAGTGAATATTTTAATTAGAAACAGAGAAAAGCTGAAAGCTTTCAGTAGAGGGACAGCTGTTCAGGAGACCACGCCTTCTGGAGGTGGAGTTCGTGGGAGGGAAGCCAGGGGTGCCCAGCGGGCACACACAGGCCTTGTGTCTGGGGCACAGTGTCCCAGGCACCCCAGTCACTGAGAGGGAGTAGTGCAGTGAATTTCAGTGTTTATTTAACCCCACACCTTTTAGCGTTGGAGCTACATAAACATGATGGGTAAGATATTTTCTGTTTACTTGTCACGCTAAGTTGTCACGCTAAGTGTTCTAGATCTGGTTTTAGACAAACTGCGTTCAAGGACAGTGTGAGGCAAAGCATTTTTTTAAATATGAGAACTTACGTTCCAGAACTATTGATGAAATTAAAGCAAATATTGAACAAATCTACAATTGATTAACCGAGGATGTTGCTGTTCTTTCACTATTTTTAAGGGTTGAAATAGAAATATTCTACTTCCTCCAGGTGATCTTGGGACACATTATTTTAAATTATAACAAAACTATTAGTCATAGCAACAAATCACTATATTTTCAACCTGTTAGCTTTTTTTTTTACAACTTAGAGTCCTGTTGTGTATGTTTTGAATTCTTTTGCTTTTAATTCATTTTGTAGATACTTGGTAAAGAATAACAGTGCACTGGGTAGATTAATTTTTTTTATAGGCGAGGAAATCCAAGATGCTAGCCAGTAACTGGTGGGTGAATTAGTATGTTTCATATACTACAAGCTTTACTGATACATTTATGCATGCAGAAAAGGTAATGAATGTTCAGTAGGAAAAAAAGGATGTTCAGTAATTGCTAAACAGAATGATTAATGTAGCAGTGAACAGAAAGAGCATGGTATCATCTCATCAAGCTTATACTCCAATGGCAACAATTACATACAAGTGTAGTAAGTAAATTCAGCTTAAGTTAAAGTGCGACAATGATGTAAATCATGTTGCAGTCAGAGGGGGGCGCTAACTTCCTGTGTGAATGATGTGTGTTGTCTTTGATCTAAGATGAGATCTGAAGGACAATTTATAACTAAAGTTAATAATTACAGCTATATTTTAGTTTTAAGGTCTAAAGAATATACTAGGTAATTTCTCCTTTGTCATAATATCTAAGTATATCATAATTTTTCTTCCTGTTCTTATAAAATTGCACACAATCCATCTTCCAGTGTCGTTTGATAATATACTTATTAAAATTCATAATGTAATTACCCAAGCTTTTATTATATAAGTTCTTCATAGCGGCTGAGTGGCTTTCTAATTATCCCTGAAATGACATCCAAACATTTTGATCTATAGAACCCTTCACTTTGCCCATCCATATTTTATGAAGTATGAATGCTTTTTAAAATGAGATAGAGTTTTGGCATCAAAGCTAAGTTAAATTATGATGAATAACGTAACATTATCTTCGAATACAACTTTTTATGGTATGTTTTAAGGGCTGCCTACTGACATAACATTAACGGTCTACTGAAAGGAATGTAGGATGGACATTACAGCCAGATATGGTTAGGGAAAAACCAGTGGAAACACTGAAGACTGTTCGGATACCTCTCGTCCCCACACTCTACCAGGGAATAATTATAAACAACAGAATGTGTGAGCCCAAACTGGTCGGTGAGATGATGCGAAGGGTGTGGTGAGGGAGATGACGCCTCACTGCAGCGGTGAGGATTGGGCTCTGACGAGCAGGTAGTAAGGCTACATGAGGGATTGGAAGACAGAGGCAGCCATCGGACAGAGTTGCTCTCAGTCAGCAGGGCTCTGCTCAGGGAGGAGCTGGGCAGGTTGGAAGGGTAAGGGCATGCCAGCAGCAGAGGGCGCCACAGGCTCAGGCTGGAGAGGGAGTGACGGTGAGGTTGGGCCTGAAGTGTACTGAGAATTGGGCAGGGGGTTGGAACGGCAGTGGCTGGCCTGGTCACATTTACGTTTTGGAGAAGTTGTGGCCTCTGCAAGGAGAAAGGCTTGAAGACATGCAGGCAGGGAAGAGGCTGCAGGGGCGGAGGCCTGGTGGAGTTAGGCATGGTGCTGGCAGCCCCAACTGGAGGGCGATGGAGGGGAGAAGCAGCAGAGTGACCTGAGACAGGACGGATAAAAGGAGCCAAGCTGACCAGTGGTGTGGAGTGAAGGAAGGGCGGGGCAGAGGACTGGAGAGAGAGGAGGAAGGGAGTGCACCCGGGCCTCCCAGTGCACTTACTTCCGAAGGCCGGTCAGATGAGCAGACTGGACAGGCTAAGGGAAGGACTAGACACGGTAAACCTGAGCGGCTTTGTGAGACAAAGTGGAAATGCTACAAAGGAAATTGAAAATCTTACCAGCTTGGTCCTCTCAGAGTGTGAATTTGGGGGATGTTCATCCAAGAGGGTGTTTACAGCCCTCATTGTAGACAGTCCCATTTGGGGTGAGACTGCGTATAGGAGGGGGGTTGTCCAGGCTTTGGAGGGCAGGGGGAGGAAGAGTTGGCCTGACTGCCGAGGAGGGTCAGAGGGAAGGACAAAGTTCAAGATGGAATGGGGTGGGGTGGGGTGGGGTTGGTTGGGGGCACTGCTCTGAGCCCAGCAGAGCTGTGTGTGGATGTTGAGCATTGGAGTAAAAGAAGAATGGAGGAAGGACTTTCGGGGGCAAAGAGGTCACGGAAGATGCTAGGCACACAGTAGGGAAGAAGACAGGTGTGTGTGCAACTTGGTCCTTTTGGGGACCCAGTGAGCCCCTCACAACCACTAGCTGAGCTTGAGGCGGGGTAGGCGGGCCAATTGAAAGTGCAGCAGGTCTCTCCCTTGTGTGGTTTTTCCTTAATTACTGCTACTCCTTTAACTGTCTGCTCCACAAAGGGTAGTTAAGCACTGCTTTTTGGTTGATTATTTAAAATCCCAGTGGTATTTTTATACAATTAATAGGCTACTACATGTTGGTTTGATGATACTCTGGAAACCTGGTAAGTACTGTGTTTCTTGTATTAAGCTTTAGTCATTTAATTGGTAAAATTTATAGTGTGCATTCTTGAATTACATAATTCCTAATGGGTTCCTAATGGGTTTGACATTTGTTTTGTGTTTTCCTTTAAAATGTTATTTATGTGGAGTAAACATTTTTCTTCATGCCTCTTAGTGTCTTCATCTGATTAGCTCAGGTTATTGCTTGATGTGGTTACTTGGAAGTAAAATGTTACAGTTTTATTTTAACTATTGTAATAAGATACTATTTCTTGTATAAATAATCTAGTACTTTAGGCATTGTAATTTGCAAATTTAGGACAATTGCTTTCACATTTTTCACTTCTCAAATTAATCCCTTGGATATAATCTACATATATAGTCCCCTAACTGAAAACCAAAACCAACGACTAACTGTCACTGAAGGAACAGTAAAATCAAATGCTCAGATTTTAATGGTGTTTCCATCTGAAGGTCACACAGTAACTAATTTCCACTATGGAAAGCGAATGTATCTGTTGATTGCTCACGTTGCTTATCCCACGTTTGGCCTGCTGGATTGGTTGCTCACAGCAGAAGGTCTGCATAGTATTCTCTAAGGTTATCCGTTCTCTCCTTTCCAGCGGAGTGATAGTTGCTAGAAGAAAGGAATCCCTAAAGAGTTTCTTATAATTTTAGTTTGATTGACTTTTATTTATATTTGATGTTATAATTGTAGTTCATAAGTCCTTGTTGATGTCATAAGTTTTGGTGTTTCGGCCAGAATAAAACATTTAATGTAAATTGTAGCTGCAAACATTTAAGTATAACATCACTGTAAGTGCTGGCTTTATTTTTCTAACTGGAAGCAATTTGTCCTAAATTTCCACGCGTCTGCATTTGTTTTTGCTGTTCTAAAATTCCTTAGTTGCTGGCTTTGACATTTTATGTTGCTGCGTTTTACACATCTATTTTCTCACCTGCCATATCCTAGGGGGCTTGGAGTACCCATAATACAGTGAGCCCACCTTCCTGGGCCCCAGACATTTCAGAAGGTCGGGAAATTTTTAAACCCAGGCAGCTTCCTGGCAGTGCCATTTGGAGCATCAAAGTGGTAAATAAAATTGCATTTACATTCATGTGTCGTTTCTTTCTGGGTTTAGCTGAGTAGAAGTTGGAGTTGAACCTTGTCCAAACAGTTCAGCTTTGAGAGCCATGTTTTTAACCTAAAATTTTTAACATGAAGAAGCAACATGCTTGCATTTAACAGTCTGGATCAGGAGGAAATTAAATAGCAGTTTTACATGCCTGCTTTTCGGTGTAAATTTTTAATGCCCTTTTTTAATGGTTGCTCCCTTTTATGTGGTAATTAACAGTATGGGGGGGAAATCCTTGTCACACAGGCTATGGAGTAATTAAGGGCTTGGTTATGTATTCATGATAGCATAAAATTTTGTTGCTTAGAAAAGAACAAAAGAAAAACCGCACCAAGCTGTCGAGGCACTAGTACACTGGGAAGAAGCCCCAGGGTTGCAGCAGATTCCCGTCTGTTAGCCTCAGAACTGCAGAGCCTCTCGTCCCACCACTTGGGGCGGGGCGCGCTTAGTCCTTGATGTGAGCTTCAGAGTCCCAGGCATTTCAGAGGGCAGAAACTTAATTTGAAGAGTTGTTAATCATCTGAAAAGTGGAAAGATTTTACTGACTAGAGAGCACAATTTTTCTTCACTTTGTGCATTCAGTGTAATGCTGGAGTAAGCGTGTTTCATGTAGACTAATCAAGGCTGTGAAAGGAGTTACAGATGCCGCTTCCTCGTTTTCCGTCTTCATTGGAGGAACGTGCATGACATGCTGATGTCATGCAAGATGCGGGAAGTATTAATCTGTGTTTTAAGAGTATAAAAGATGACTTATTTGACAGTTTCAAAGCAAATGCCACCAATTTTCACTTATCTTTGTCATTGGATGCTGGGGGAAAAATAAATTGTGAGATTTTTATAGTCTTGATTTAATCACCGACTTAAGAAGTCTTTAATACCGATTACCAAAAAAAGAGGAGAAACTGGCCAGTTCAGCCTTACAGGGCCTGGTTCAGAGAGGCTAGGAGAGCAGTACAGCAGTCTCGGAGAGGAGAGGCAGCCAAGAGCGGGAAGATGGCCTGTCAGTTGGAACTGAAGGAAGACGGGCTCTTCGGTTCCCCTACTCGTGTGTGTCTGTGCTCACTGCGTGATCATTGCTCACTCGGAAACCCTTCTGCCGAACGGGCGACGAAGTTCAGAGTTTGACATTGGGGTTAGTGACCTCGGTCGAACATAAGACCTCCTATTAACTCGTTAGGGAAAGAGTACCAAAGGATTTTCCTGAGTAAATTTAATAATTTTAAATGTGTAAGGATATGTAGATGCCATGTTTTGGGTTTTTTTTTTTTTAGGTTGTAATAAATAAGTCTGAATAAAACAGTAAAAAAGAAAACAAAACACTAGAAATAACCCCAGTGCTTATTTGTTAAAATATCAAGGAATTTAATGTTTTCCTTTAGAGTCTTTCTTGTGTTTGGTAAAAATTCAGCTAAATTATTTTCATTTTAAGTAATTATCTAGATGATTCAGAGCTGGCCTTTTACCAGTTTTCCTATCTATAGATAAATTGCCCTCTCATTACTAGGGTAGAATGAGGCACACGTTCAGTTAATACAACTGTCAAATAATCAAAATTGATAGTGTTAATGGCGAGGAGAAATACTACTGTGTAATAGCAAAAATCTGCTCTCGTGCAACGGAGCAGCTCGGGATAGTGGTTCAGACCCAGACTAGCTAGCTCCCAGACTTTGGGGAAGTGACCCCTGAAAGGGGGGAATCAAACAGGACTGACCTGGCAGGATTGAGGAGAGGGAAGCAAGCTTAGAGCCGCCCACAGGAAGTACTCCAGCCATGTTCGTCCTAGAGCTGCCGAGAGACCAGCTGGCCCGGGTGGTTCCTTATCCTTCCCGTGTACCGAACACGAGATGTGGCATGTGGAGGTGCCTGGGTGGGCCGTGGACGTCCTCGCCACCTGGAATGCAGGACAAAGAAAGGGATCGATCAGGCCAGGGTTTGCTGGTGTAGGGCACCCACAACCCTGGACTCAAAGTTTGCTTCTAGGTTACAGGCATCACATATGTAGGTACAGTATTTTGACGTCCCAGAATACGTGTTGAAAGACACAAATAATAACCTTGTCTCAATATGTGTCTCATCTGGATAAAAGCAAGAAGCAGCTATGTGTGTAACATTCAATAAGATGTTTGACCTCATTGTGGGTTTCAGATGCTTTGGGGCTTGTTCAGAACGCTGACTTTTCCTTCTCTGTTGTGTAGGGCCGTGGGTCGGGCTTCCCAGGGAAGCGGAGGCCTCGGGGCGCCGGGCTAGCCGGCAGGGGCGGCAGAGGCCGGTCCAAGTTGAAGAGCGGTGTAGGGGCAGTCATGCTGCCTGGGGTAAGTCACACTTCCTTGTCATTCCTGCTGACGATGGTGCCCTTGTAGGTGGCAAAGTATTTGGTTGCTAAAATTTATGCTTTATTAGATCTCTACTTTGCTTTCAAGAAAACCGAACACTTCTGGTTAGGTTTTCTACTTTGTCCTTTTTTTTCTTTCCTTCCTCTCAGACTCTGTGCTGTCTATACCAGCCCTCTCCTAAACCCAAATGTAATATATTTTCTTTCATTTAAAAAAGGCGCAAATTCCTGTCCTGTTTTTATTTGTTTGAAAACATCCTCTTGGTGTTTTACGTGTTTGGTTGTAGCGGCTCTCCGTGTTGAAAGCGGTTTACAGAAGAAACTAGAGATGTTGCAGATTGATTGGTCTGAAATCTAAATTGAGCATGGAGGGTTTCGTGACCATCTTTCATATATTTTAAGAGTGGCAAATATTTGCTCCTTGACACATATGAGTAAAAACTGTATTCGGCAAGTTTAGGGGACAGTTGAGATTGTTTATTTTTACTACTAAAGGAAATATGGATTCTGGTCCTTTTTTTAAGAAGGTAGGTTCCCTCCCCAAATTAACAGGCTTATTGAGGTAAATTGACCTAAATACAAATGTCAGAAGTGTACACTTTTGGAGGCTCTGACACACCCTTGAGAGCCACGCCATAATCAACATGGCGAACCACGCACCCGCCCAAGTCTGTGTAGGCCCTGAAGACCTGGCCTTCCTCTCCGCCCCGGTCCGACTGCGTCTCTGTCGAGTTTGCGCGGCAGATCTACGCTTTTTGGTCTGATCTCTTTCACTCGGGGTGCTTACTTCGAGCATGCTTTCGTGGCTGAAGAGTGTCCCACATTATGCGGTGCCACAGTGTGCCTGTCCGGTCACCTTTCGAGGACAGGATTGCACTTCCGTTTTTCCACTGGTAGGAGCAGAGCCGCTCCACACTTCTCTGTCACCTCTCTGTGGACCTGTGCCTTCTTTTCTGGGTCAGTGTCTAGGGTCGAGATGGCTGGGTGGGACGGTAAGTGTGTGCTGAGCTTTCTAAGCCCAGCGCCGGCTGCTGTTCCGGTTGGGTGTGCCGTGTTGTGTGTGTGCGTGGGGTGTGTGGGATTGGGGTGTTTTCCACGTTCTCCCCTGTGCTTGGGATGGTCAGTCTCCCTTGAGCCTCTGTAACAGGCAGGTCGATAGTGTCTTACTTGCATTTGTCTAATGGCTGATGATGTCAGTCAGCTTTTTAGGTGCTTATCTGCTCTCTCTGTGTCTTAGATGAAGTCACTCTTCAGATCTTTAGCCCATGTTTTTTTAATTGAGTAGTTCTAAAACTTTCTGAGTCGAGATTTCTTTACATATTCTGGCATAAGTTCTCTATCGTGTGCATAATTTGCAAATATTTTCTTGAATTCTTTTTTTGGGGGCGGGGGTTGTCTTTCCATTTTTAAATTGTGCTGTTTGAAGACCAGACACTTTGATTTTGATGAAGTACAATTTTTTTCTATGGGTCCTGCTTTTGGAGTATGAGAAATACTTGCATAACTTACAACTTTCAAATATATTTAGTGTTTTCTTACAGAAGTTTTATGGTATTGGGTTTTGCATTTAGATTTAAAATCCAATTTCAGTTCATTTTTATACATGGTATGAAGACAGGTCACAGTTTTTGACGTATTGAATCCCCCGTTTTTATATTTTTGTATGAATTACAGAACTGACTTGTCAGTTTCTACAAATAAGTCTGGCAGGATTTTGATTGAGTTTGCATTCAAATTCTAGGTGAACTTGAGGGAAATGGACAGTTTAGCCAGGGTGAGCCTTTTCACCCGGGACTGTGTGCCTCTCCTGTAGGCCTTCCCTGTCTGTCAGTGATGTTTTCGGTGCGCCTGTCTTTCACACCGTTTCTCAGGTTCATTTCTAAGTCTTTCCTATTTTTTATGCCTTTGTAAATGGTAGTGTTTCCTTAATGTTCTGTTGTGGTTGTTGGTTGCTATTATCTAGAAACAGCATTCATTTTCGATGATTTTTTTTTTAATCCTACAAAGTTATGAAAATTCTTGTATTCTAGCTGCTCATTTGTAGATGTCATTCATTGGATTTTGTGCATACACAATTGTGTCTGCACAAAAAGAAAATTTTGTGTCTTTGCAACCCGGAGACCCTTCGCTCCTACTTTTTATTGCATTTGTTATCATCTTCCGTATAGTGTTGGGTAGATGTGACGGGATCTGGTGACCTTGCCTTGTTTCTGATTGTGGTGAATTAGCATAACATACAGTGTTAGCTATAGTTTTACGTTGTTTTTCTTAAGAGACATTGTAAATCGTTTTGAGGAAGCTCCTGTCTGTAATATGTTGAGATTTTTTTTTCTTTTCATTTTAGCAGGGAGTAGATATTGGAGTCTTTAATTACCTTTCCTGCATTTGTACGGATAATCCTATAGCTAATTTGTTGATACGGTGAATTATATCATTTGGCTTTTTTGAATGCTAAAGCTACTGTGCGTTCTTGGGACGAACTCTACTTGGCTGTGATCATCTTTTTTGCCTTTTGTAGGTGTCTGCTGCCGACATTTCATCAAATAAGGATGAAGAGGAAAACTCCATGCACAATACAGTTGTGTTGTTTTCCAGTAGTGACAAGTTCACTTTGCATCAGGTTCGAACTTACTTATCTGTGGTTTCCCACTTTTGACTTCTTCCTGGCCTATTTCTGCTTTATCTCGTGTGCACTGAAGTCATCTGATGTTTAGCTCTAAAGTTGTGTAAGCTAAGAAGGTATTTTTAAAAAATTACTGAATTAGAACATCTGTACATTCTTAGCTGAGGGCCCTGTTTAAAGTATATTCACATGCCCTGGCTGGTGTAGCTCAGTGGGTTGAGCGCTGGCCTGCAGACTGAAGGGTTGCTGGTTCAATTCCCAGTCAGGGCACATGTCTGGGTTGTGGGCCAGGTCCCTGGTGGTGGGGGGCGGGGCATGCGAGAGACAACCAATTACTGTTTCTCTCAAACATTGCTGTTTCTCTCCGTCCCTTCCCCCCTCTCTAAAAATAAATAAATAAATTCTTAAAAAATGATTTTAAATATGTTCACATGTGCTTAATTTCAGGATATGTGTGTAGTTTGTGGCAGTTTTGGCCAAGGAGCGGAGGGGAGACTACTTGCCTGCTCTCAGTGTGGTCAGTGCTACCACCCATACTGTGTCAGTATTAAGGTAAATATGCTCCCATTTAACTGACTTAACGTCGGTGCATTTAAATTGGGTTTGACTTGGGTGGCGTGCTGCTCCCAAGTCTTACGATTATTGGATAATTGTACATGCGTGGCAGTGTTTTCAGTACTGCATTTTAAGTGCTCCCTGAAGAAATTAACTCTATGATCTGTTGTCTTAAATTGTAGTAATTACCTGCTATTGTCTTGAAACAGTCAAACGTGGAAGTGCATATACTTAATTTAAAGGTATGTGGCACTGTTGCTTTCCAAGGCATGGGGCTCAGTTGGTGCCTCTTGCCTGGGAGAACTTCTGCAGCGCCCCGGGGCCCTGCCCCGCTCACTCTGCTCTGCCCTCCAGCAGGTGCGCCAGGTGTTCTGCAGGGCAGCTTGGGTCAGGGGGTTGGTGTGTTTAATCAGTTTGGGCTAATCATTGCCCTGTTTCCTCAAAATTTTTCTTTTTTTTTCCCCTCCCCTACTTTCTGGAATCCCGGTTTGTATATGTGTGTGAGTATGTATGAGAAACTGTAACATTTTCCCCAGGTTGCTGACACTCTGTTCTTCCCTCTGTACTTCTGTTTGTATAGTTTCTGTAACATTCCTCAAAACTCACTGCTGTTCTGTAGTATGTAATCTGCTCTAAGCCCGTCCAGTGGATTTTTCAGGTAACTGTATTCTTTAATCTCAGGTCCATTTTATAGTTTATTATCTTATAGTTTTAAACTTCTTTTAAATTCCCCCCCCATCAAGTCTTTGTATATATTCATCTGGCACTTCTCACTGTATTACTAGTCTTGCTCCTCATTGAGAGATGCTTTCATGCTTTGTCAGCATCTGGTAGTTTGAGTATGGACGTGTGCCTTGCGATTGTATGTTGCAGGGGGTCTGGATGTGCCCTTCCCGAAGTGGAGAGCCCCTGTTGAGGCAGGCAGGCGTCTGCGGGTACCCTCTCACCTTGAGAGGCGCCCTTCTAGGCTTTCTGGTGTCATATGTGGGGATAATAACAAATATTGAATATTTCACTTTATTTTTTGTCAGATCGATACAGAATATTTTGTTTTAGAAATTCACAGGGACTTTTAAAACACAAAACACACAGGTACAGCCTTACGGTGTCACTGTAATGATACTGTATATGTCAGGTAGCCTCTGCAGAGCACTGCCGGGAGGGGTGAGTGTGACCAGGATAGCCTCTTAGGTTGTGAAAATCATTCCGGTCTCCTGGGCCCGCTGGGGCTCCCCAGATCACACTTCCTGAGGGCCCTTGTGGCCCCAGGAGAACCCTGCTTGCGGGGGTTCTCCCCTCTCCCCATTCACCAGGGTCTGCTCTCTGACTGGCTGAGATGCAGATGTTTCCCCTGTCTCGTGGGCTCTGATAGTTGTCGCACCAACACACTCCGGGAGCTGTTACCCAGTCGTGGATCTCTGCTTGGCTTCCTGGATGTGCAGCTTGGTGTTCGGCCAAGCTCCAGGGAAAGCTGTGTAGGCTGCCTCTTGCTTTCCGGGAGCCTGTCCTGTGTCCTGAGCTCCGGGGCAGTGTGCTCCGCTGGGCTCTCGCGCTGTCGGCAGAGTCAGGATGAAGACCGCAGGGCTCCCCATGCTCCGTCCACTCCTCCCCAGACCTCAGTGCGGGGCTGCCCAGGGTCCTGCATCTGCTGGCAAGCACTTCCCACTTCGTGTCCCAGCTTCTGGGGTTTTACCTTGGGGGGAGACCTGGTCCCAGCTGAGGAGGTTTGCTTACCCCACGACACACGTGTACCGCGCCCAGGCGTGGCGCTCTGGAGGGGATATCGTCCCTCAAAGAGCTCTTAAAAGGCCACACCAGGGAGCTCTGGCCTCTGTCCCAGGAGGGATTGGTGGTAGGTGGAGGTGGGTGGGTTTCGCACATCGAAATCGTGCAGAGCTGTCAGATGCACACACTGACAGGACAGCTGCATCGGGGGGTCAGAAGCATTCTCAGGGGTGATGGGGCGTGGCAGCCGGGTTTGGCGAGTCCGAGAGCGAACACAGACCAAGTCCCTGGAGAGTTTGGCTGTGAAGGATCCCAGCATGGGGATCTGAGAAGCAGGAGAACGTACTGAGAATGAAGAGAAACACCTCGAATCTGTCTCCCTGTTTGTCGTCTTCTGCACCAGAGATCACTGCCCTCATCTGCCCGGCGGACTGCTTTTGTATGTCTAGTTCCATGGGACCTCAGACACGCTCTGACGTTCATGTCTGCCCATAGCTGGCCTCACACTGCTCCGGGCCTCTGCACAGTTCAGACCCCGTGCCTGCCAGGTCTAGGGTGTCTGCTGTCTGACCCTCCACTGGCGAAGCTTGGGGCTACTGCTCCAAGCCTCCTGTTCCTCCTACCCTGGGCTCTTAAAATGCATCCCTTGCCTTCTCCCGTTCTCCTCCCCTTGTAGTTCTCCCACTACGTTAGTTAGCGAACGGTGCTGGTTACAGCTCAGGAGATGTTTGCCGGACATCTGAACAGTGTCATGCGCCTTATTTTTTCACGGAGTCTTTAATAGCAAAAAGGAAACGGTGACCCACACCTCCCCATCAGCTTGTGGTGGTGGTTGTCTGCACCGCCTGTGGAAGCTCGGTCACAGCAGGCAGGTCAGGCCGGGGCCTGTGTCCCCATGAGAACACTGCCCCTGCCCTTTCTCTCCAGTCCGGCTCCAGGCCTGTGCTCAGCTGTCATCCTGAAGCTCCTCTGGCAAGTGGCCTGCGGGGCCACTGCTTCCTGGGTCCCCAGTCCTTCTTTCCTTGGTGGACACCCTCCTTCTGGCCCTCATGTCTTTAAGGGACTTGACTAGATGGGTTATCGGGGAGCGGAAATTTGAATCCTTGGATGTCTATAACGTGTTAGGCTTTTACACTGAGTTACTTGCTTTACTTGGTTAAGAAGTGGACCTTGAAGAGTATTTTTCCCTGTAGAATTGGAAACTTTCCAACCCTGGTTACCGAACTAAAGTTTGATCCCATTTGGACAGTTCTGTTATCTAACTGTTGTTTTCCTCTTAGCTGGCTCTCAGGCTTTCATACTCATCGTGGTCTGAATTGTATTGTTGTGATCGCTTGCTCCCTCATTACAGCACAGGCCCTTCGTGATTCCATCTGCCTTTGTGACTCTGGTCTTATGAGATCTTTAAGTTGGTTTCAGACTCAATACTTGCATGATGTGGCTGCTTTAAGGAATTTTCAGAAGTCTAGGGATCCTTAGACTTTTCTAGAGATTCTTAAAGTAACCAAGACCTTGTGGCAGAGAGAATAAACAGAGGTTTGAATGTGAACTTCCAATGTCCTAGCTTCATAGCTGAAATCCTCCAAGATTATAAATTATTGTTGGGGACTCATGGTTTTGGGGTGTTTTTTTTGTTTTTGATTTTGTTTCTTTGTTTTTGCATTTTTACATCGACTTTAATATACAAGTGCCTTTGCAGTGGTCACAAGTTTCAGAAGCATGAATTCGTGAAATGTGGAGGGGAAACTAATGGCTCCATTTTAAATCTTCTGTTCACAGTAATGGGGCAGTGTTTTTCATTTCTGTAAAATCCAGTCACCACATCCATACGGTGGGCATAGACCCCACAGCACCGGGTAGTTATATGGACTCCACGGGGGCGGGTATTCAAGTAGGCACCACTGCCCAGAAGGTGGACCCCGGAAGTGTGTCGGTGGGCCCACGCCAGTGCGGGCCCCGTCGGTGCTCAGGAACTGTTGGCTGGTGGCCTCTTTCCTGTGAGCAGGTCCGTCGGCACTGCGTGGGTCTACGCAGTGTGTCTGGTCGTTGTGCACACTGTGCAGATCGCGTGACCGGCCGTCTCTTTCCAGATCACTAAGGTGGTTCTCAGCAAAGGCTGGCGGTGTCTGGAGTGCACGGTGTGCGAGGCTTGTGGGAAGGCCACCGACCCAGGGCGGCTCCTGCTGTGTGATGACTGCGACATCAGCTACCACACCTACTGTCTGGACCCGCCCTTGCAGACGGTCCCCAAGGGGGGCTGGAAGTGCAAATGGTATTCCAGGTTCACACTTCCCACGCTCCCCTCTCAGTTCAGAACTTGCCCATGAAGAGTTAGCCACACCTGCCTAATTGCGTGATGCATGTTTCCCGCGGTAGAGACTGCTGATCACGTGTTTCAGATACGCAGTCAGTAGTCTCCCCTCTTCTGTGCATGTAAGTAAAGTTGCAACCTGTGGGGGTGTTGGCTTGCAGGTGTGTCTGGTGCCGGCACTGCGGGGCCACGTCTGCAGGGCTGCGGTGCGAGTGGCAGAACAACTACACCCAGTGCGCCCCGTGCGCCAGCCTGTCCGTCTGCCCCGTCTGCTGCCGCAGCTACAGGGAGGAGGACCTGATCCTGCAGTGCAGGCAGTGCGACAGGTACTGCACCGGCGTCCGCGCCTCCAGCAGGCTTTTTTCTCCTGGGGTGCAGCGGAAGGAAGTTAGAAAACAAGGTGTTCTTACATTTGGGAAGCAGCACTTGTGCTTTCCAGAAAGTCAGCAAGAGACCTGTGGAAGTTTCCAGTGTTGTATTCTCAGTTCCAGGCAAAAGATTTTTAACTTAGGGCTTCCTGAGGGTTTATGGAATCCCTTGAAATTAGATGCGGCAGAATTACTTTGAGCACATTATGTGTTTTCTACGGGGGATTTGGAGTGTTTTATTAGATTTTACAAAGAATCTCTCACTGTCGCTCTTCCTTAAAGCTCTAGACAATAAGTGTGCAGATATTAGATGCCAGCTCCCATTCTCTCTGCGTAGTTAGGGCGCTGCTTCACAATCCAGTGCTTTCGGAGGGGGTTTGAGGGTGTACCCTGTGGGCGGTTAGCACTGTGCCTGCGATGGCTGTGCCCCACAACTCCACCACACTGCTGTTCTATGACTGGACAGCTCCTTGCCTTTCCTGGTTTCCATCCAGCAGCACCTGTGCAGGCTCCTCCACAGCGGGCGCACCATGTGGGGCTTGGGCCGCGGTGCCCTCGGCACCACTGAGTTCCCGTGCACTCGCCCGGCGAGCCTGCGCAGCCCACAGTGTGGGATCGTTACAGTTACCCTGCCTCTGTACACGGCTGCCCTGCCTCCCTCCGAGGACTCCATTCCTTTCCCATCTCAGCTTCAGGCGTTCTTGTGGGATGGTGGGCAGGGCTGGGGTCAGAGGGCAGCTTGGTGTAGGCAGAAGGGCATTTGAGAGTTAGGGGCTGGGAGTTAGGAGACTGCCAACTCCTACTTTTAAAAGAAAACCGTTGTCAGATTCTTTCTTTTCTGACTGTACAAATGCGGTCTTTGTAGGTGGATGCATGCGGTCTGTCAGAACCTGAACACAGAAGAGGAAGTGGAAAGTGTGGCGGACGCCGGTTTTGACTGCAGCATGTGCCGACCCTACATGCCCACGTCCCATGGTGAGGGGTGGCCTGACCGTGCATCTGTGCCCTGGGCGGGCCCGCGCCTGGCAGTCGTGGCCAGCGAGGTGCCGCACTCTGAGTCCTCCTCCTCCTCTGAAACTGTCGTTGGAGCGAGTATTTTGTGGAAATTAGGTTGCTTTAATTGTACATTAAGTCCTGCTATTCCAATTTAATATACTAAAGCAGTTGGCTTACATAGAATAAAATAAGAATATAATTCAGATATGAAGTGTAATTTTGCTTTTAAAACTCATAACCACGTGGTTGTTATCAGGACACAGAAACCCAGTACATTACCTTCCGTTTTTCCTTCTTAACGTGTGCCTGCCTTTCACCAGCTTGTTTGGAAGACAGCCCGTAAACTCTACTTACTTTCCAAACACTTATTTTAGTAAAATGGTTATAGAAAGAGATTTTAATCATTCATAAATATACTTTAAATGTATTTTACCTTTTCCAAAAATTGATCCTGTGACTTTTGCCCTCATGTCAGTGCCTTCCGCGGACTGCTGTGACCCCTCCCTCGTGGTGCAGACCCTCACAAAGGCGAAAGAGCTCGGTAAGGCCTGCGCTGCCGGGGCGCGCCCGCCCGAGTCCCACGGGCGCTCAGCCTGCGTTCCCTGATGCCGGTCACATTCTACCACTTCCGTGCAACTGGATTCCCATAAGTGTCACCCAGCAGGCAACAAAAATCACTGCTCGTAAAATCACCACCAACTCCCTGTTGGTTGTGTTTTCATGGATATGTTTCTATGCGCAGTTATCTGGAGGCAGAACATAAGGCCCCGTTAACAGATGCCTTTAGAATGAACTCATCAGTTGTTATGTTTTTCTGTAATAGATCAGCCTAGGGTGGTGATTAATCTGATGCTTTTGTTAAACTCTCATTCTTTTATTTGATATCACCTGATACAAAAACATTTGTATGGTTCAGAAGTTGTTCTAATGAATAGCAGTTCTGTGGATTTAAAAAATTTCAGGGTTTCTCCATATGTACACGCATTCCTGTAAGTGATCGTATTGATGCTTTGCTTTCTAGTTGGGCTTCTGGAGTATCATTGTTTCTCTTGCGTAACTGGCCCTCACCCTTAGGTCTGGCAGGGCTCCAAGGGAAATGGGTCATGGCCGAGAAACGGAAGCATGGTCCTCCATGCCGTCGCCTTCTTTCTGGCGCCTGGCCCAGACGCACGTGCAGGAAAGTGCCAGGAGGGCTGTTGTTGGAAAACGTGCAGAGTTTCTGCCTGTAACTTGAGGAAGTTTGTCCAGCGACTCTTACACTTAGTTGAATATTCTTCATTATTCATGCCTTTTGTCAGTAGCTGTTTTATGAAAGTCACATTCCCTTGACACATGGGTGTGTTTGTTTGTTTGTTTTAAAGATTTTATTTAGTTTTAGAAGAGAAGGGAAGGAGAAAGAGAGGGAGAAAAACATCAATGTATGGTTGCCTCTTGCATACCCCATACTGGGGCCCTGGCCTGCAACCCAGGCATGTGCCCTGACTGGGAGTTGAACCAGTGACCCTGTGGTTCAATCCACTGAGCTATACCAGCCAGGGCAAAACATGGGTGTTTTGTATTATTCATTGAACTTACCAGAGTTAAAGCAAGAGTTTTAGTTTGTATCCTTGGTGTTGTCACTTCAGATCCACCCAAGACGTACACCCAGGATGGTGTGTGCCTGACCGAGTCGGGGATGACGCAGCTGCAGAGCCTCATAGCTGCAGCTCCGAGGAGGAAGCGGTCCAAGCCCAAGCTGAAGCTGAAGATCATCAACCAGAACAGCGTGGCTGTGCTGCAGACGCCACCCGACCTGCAGTCTGAGCACTCCCGAGACGGGGAGATGGACGACAGTCGGGGTACTCGCAGTCTCCCTCCCCTGCAGAGTGTCCGCAAGAGTGAAAGCGTGTGGGCTGACTTTCACGGTGCACAGAAGGGTTTCTTAGGGGCAGATGCCACTAGCCTCTATCACCCTCGATGTGGCCCCTGTCCTTTCTGAGAGGGTAGTCTTCTTCAGTGTTGCCTTTGCAGGTCCCCTCCCTGTTCTGTTGACTGTTGCACGGAGCCATGTCAGAGAAACTGCCTAGGGCCCATGTGCTGGAGGGTGACGGATGGGAAAGTTCAGGGTGGACTCCAGAGTCCAGGTGGCGGGCTGTGAGCGTGGGCACCGTGGCTGAGCAAGAGCCACGGGGAGCGTGCACCAGTCCAGACACGGATGTGCCATCCTCAGTCTTCCGGTGTGACTGTAGTCACAGGTGTCCACCCTAAACCCTGTTTTTGAGCATTGCCCTGGCCTGGTGTCAAGACTCATCCAGCTGAATTCCTGGGACAGCGGGACCATTTTTAGTAGTAGTACATTCAGTGTGAGTTGTAGTTTTGCTTGTCTTTGAGCAGACGACCACAGGCTTGCTTGTGTCTAGGGTGGTCATCTCCTTGCAGTTGATTCAGAAATAGAGCGGTCATCGCGTTTGTTCTGTCATGTTTTCACACTGAGCAGTATTGGACGCCTCCTGTGTGCCGGCTGCTGGATGTCATATTTATTGGTGCACAAAGCTCTGCACTCATGGAACTTAGTTTTAATGTTAGGAGAAAACACTACTGAAGTATGTAACAATAAATACATTGATCATAGTGTGTGTGGCAACTGCCGTGGAGAAAACAGAGTAAGAATTAGGGGTGCGTACATGGGGTCAGGGATCAGGCGAGCCAGCGCAGTACCTGAGCACAGACTTCTGAGAATTGAGGGGGTGGCCCCCGGGTTGCCTGAGGGCATAGCATCTGGACACAGGAAGCCCGTACAAAGGCCCACATGCATGTGCCCAGCATGGGTGAGGAGTGTGGCGTAGCCAGGTGTGTCCAGCAGACTGAGCAGAGGGGCCTCAAGGAGCTGATGGAGTCAAAGGGGAGGGGAGCAGAGTGGCCGGCACAGCAGGCAAGGCCAGGATGTGTCACTCGAGGAGCTCGAACTCACTGTGCGTGGGTGGGGCTTCCAAAAAGGACGGTGGCGTGCGCTCATTTCTGTGGGCTGGCCAAAAACATCCCCATGTTTTTTTCTGTCAAATAGAAGACATACTTTATTTTCACCAATAACTTGATTGATTTGGAGATACACTGAGTATGTCGGCCGTGTAAAAGGGAAATGACGCAGGTGCAGATTGATTGAAAATTGTCTTTTGGAGCATTTTCTCAGTGTCAATTGTCCTTTCCTGATAAGTAGGCTTTATTTCCTGGGGCCAGCACGTGCTCTGCGGCCGTCTGGGGACTCGAGCTGTAATCTCTGCCGTGTGTTTCCTGTCAGCTGGGACTCAGGGTCCACTTCACTCTGTGTTTCCTGTTTCATAGGAATTACATGTCTGGTAGGACTTCCCAAGTTTGTGCGTTTACTTTTTTCCAGAAGGAGAACTTATCATGGACTGTGATGGGAAGTCTGAGTCCAGTCCCGAGCGGGAAGCGGCGGATGAGGAGACCAAGGGCCCAGAAGGAACGGAGGGCGTCAAAAAGAGGAAAAGGAAACCTTACCGACCAGGTATAGAGTCCGAACGGCATGTGGCAGTCTCGTAACACTAAGGAAAACGTGATAGCAGGGGCTTCGATTATTAAACAAACAGATGAGACAGCTGCTCAGCCCTTGGTAAACCGAGACTTGAACTTTAAAACTGAAGGACTAAGTTGTTTGAATGTGCTTTTTAGGTGACCGATTCCTGAGGTTGAATGTGTGGTGCTTCAGCGCAAATCATTATTTAATGCCTCGTCCCAAGTGTTACCCACTTTATTAAATGCCTTACTGGGTGGCTGTTTCCTTGTTTTTTAAACTTGTTTTAGGGTCCACGCAGGAGTGACCGTAGACACACAATAGGAAGGTGACGTGGTGGGGCTCTTAGGCCTTTGAAGGTTACAGACCTGCTAGTATTGTGACGGTAAAACACCGCTGTCTGCCTTCTGCCTTGGGGGGCGGAGCAAGAGCTGTCTCCCGGTCAGATTTTATCTGCCCTATTGGGAAAAGTTACCAAAAATATCACAATACTGACTCGTAGGCTTTTTAAAGGCAGTTTATTAATTTTTTTTTTTTACTGCTCAGTGAGGTATTAACTTGAATCAGTTTAATCTTTATTCTTCTGATTGCTTACACTATTGGTCAGAGTGACCTGACCTACCTTTTTCACTGTGTGGGGAAGGACTGTCTCACTGTGCTTGCGTCCTGCAGGACCTTAGAAGCCAAGCTTCCTTACTATAGGCTGCCTGTAAGGACCTAGATGAGCATCAGCCACATCATTGTACGAAAGGCTTTCTTTTCTGCCTAATGATGAGGCTTATGAAAGCACACTTACTTTTTTTAGACACTGCAGAGTCCTTCTAGGGACTGACATTTAATTTTTTCCCTCCCCATTGTACATGGAAGTCATCCCTGCCTCGGAGTGGCCCCGTAGGTCACAAGTGCACTGTTAGACTTCTGGACCATAGGATGAGAGCCGGTGGCATGGAGTGTGTGTCAGGCAGTATTCCAAGTACTTCACGTCTGTTACTGTATCATTCTGTCCTACAGGGCTGTGTTACATTGTTACCAGTGTTTAGAGTGCAGGGTCTGGAGCACTGAACAGTTAAACAAGCTGCCCGCAGTCCACTACTGGGCGGATTACCAGTGCTCCGCCCCAGGCCCTGTGCGCTCACCTGCAGGGCAGGGCCTGCAAGGGCCTGGTGTCCGAGGGCCTTAACGGAGGTCCTCAGACACTTTTCCCCGAAGTGGTTCGAATTTCGTGTGGATTATCTAGTAGCTTAGTTAGTATTGGGTCTCTTTTCTCCCTTAGCTAATATACAAATAATGTTCAACAATGAGGTGCGAGTTTCTAATGTTTGTTAAATAAGGAGTATTTACTCCGACACTGTGGACAAGAGGAAAGGTATGCAGTCTTGCTGTCCTAATGAAATTTTATCTCTGTTCCCGTTAGTGAGCAATGAGGTAACAATAGCTTTAACCCCTTTTATTTGTCTATTTCCAAACTCATGTAATTTTGCATTGAACTGAAATTGTTTCAATTAGCCTGTATTGAATCTGTACTATGTAAGACTTAGCTTTACTATGTAAGACTAAGCAGTTTCACCTTCCTCACTGTAGAAATATTGGGAGAAATTGGTTATTTTTGAAGTTACCCAATTCTTCTTTTGCTCAGGTATTGGTGGATTTATGGTACGGCAAAGAAGTCGAACTGGCCAAGGGAAAGCCAAAAGATCTACGATCAGGAAAGACTCCTCTGGCTCCATCTCCGAGCAGTTGCCTGGCAGAGAGGACGGTATGGATTCTGGTTGGTTGAAGCCCATAGTGTTGGCATCGCAGCTGATGAGAATGGTTCTGACTGGGCCACCGTGTGACCCCAGGGGTCGGTGCCTGCAGACTGGGCTCGCCCCACAGGTGCAGGAGTTGGGTGGGCACGGAGGTGACTGGAGCCCGACAGAGACTGTTCCTTTGAGGGTGTTCACAGGAGTTCCCTTCTTCCCTGTGTCGCGGACGGGTGGTTCTGCACCACGTCATGTAGAAATACCTCTTCCAAGTAATATTCTGTCGTCTTCACTGGAGTGTCAAAGCCGAATCACTGCGTGAGCCACAGCTTGAGGAAGCGGTGCCGACGTCGTTGCTGTGGGGGGTGCGCACATGGGAAGTGTTTTGTGGGCGTGGGGGGAAAAGGTGCAGTTTGCAGCATATGCCCTCTGAATGGAGCGCTTCCATTGTCGGGGTGGGGTTTTGACCTGTGGGTTAGTAATGGAAACTGCTGCAGGTTTTTAAAAGCCAGCACCCCAAGGACTTGAAAGAATTCTCTTAACACGGCTGTGAAATGCGATAAGTGCAGGGAAACTGTTTTTTTGTGTTTTCCGTCTCTGTCTCCTTATTTTCCTCTCTAAACAACTTCAGTTCTTGTAGTGCAGCACTCTCCTTGTCTGTGCCGGCCACTGAGATTTGATTCTTTTGCATTGTCCACTTTTCCGAACCGCCTTTCTGACGGGTCAGTGGTCTCACCAGCCTGCTCCGGAGTCTCCTCTGTCCCCACATCGGACTGGTGCGGATGGGTCACTGAGGCTGGCGCCTGGCTCTGCTCGGCCACCCTCCCTGTGTGTGGTGAGACAGGCTGGCCCGTCCTCGTGCGAGTGTCGGTTCCACTCTCCCGTGAGTGTGTGTTCTGTAGAGCGAGGTGTGCACGCCCCGAGAGGTGGGTTGGAGGTGGGTCGGTCATCTCGGACGGCGTCTGTGTGTGTCGGACTGGGAGCACGAGGTGATGTCGCCCTGGGACTTCTGGACCTGAGTCCCAGGCTGGAGTTTTGGGTCCACCCTTGTCATGTACATTCAGGCTCCTTGCCCATTAGGGCCACGTGGAGCTTACGGATTCTCATGGAAGATTTTCATGTTTCACCTTTCCGCCCAGCACCACATTCTGTGACAAGATGGCAAACAGTTCTCTTTGCCGTGGGGGAAGGGGAAGTGAGAGGGTGTGTTTTTGTTAGACCAGCTTGCGCAGGGGAGGCTCCTTCGGGTCCCTCCTGCACGGCACCTCTGCTCAGTCTCCACCTTGCGGAAGGACCTTAACCTGGGTCTTCCATTCCCCGTTCCTCCTGAGGCTGTGAAAACTGCAGTTCAGGGTCACTGAATTTTAGCAAATTTTCAGTTTCATTTAATTCTTCGTGATTTCTGTGGTTCTTGTTTTACTTTAATTTTTGGTGTTTGAGTATTCTTCATTTTCTGGCCAGATTACTAATACATTAAAATAAAGGTTGTTTTAAAATGTTTATTCATCATTTTTAGTCACTTTATTTTTTTTTAAAGATTTTTTTCATTTATTTTTAGAGAGAGGGAAAGGGAGGGAGAAAGAAAGGATTGCCTCTCACAAGCCCACCACCCAGGCATGTGCCCTGACTGGGAATCGAACCGGTGATTCTTCAATTCCCAGGCCAGCACTCAATCCACTGAGTCACACCAGGCAGGGCTATCTTTAGTCAGTGAACCTATGAATTCTGGCAGTGGAAGTCCTCCCCACCCTGGATTTTCAGGGTGGGGTGAAGAGGTAGCGAGAGCGCCACGGAAGTGCTTGCGGCCTGTGTGAGTGGTGTTCGGCCTGTTCCTGTGCTCGGCGAAACCGTGTGGTCCGGAATTTTGTTTCCATTTATGTTAGAAGGTTGATGATTCATCGCTTGTTGATGAGCATGTTCATAGTCAGCTATGACAATGCTCAATTGCTGTAAACCCCACAACTTGGAACTGCCGGACAGAAGGATGCACATTTCTGAAAATACTTTTGTTGCATGTTCCCAGTAAATTGTACAAAAACACCATTCCTGCTAAACTAGTGGTATACGAGTAGCCATTTCCCCAGACACTTCGGCACTGGGCATTTTCACTTTTCAGCTTTTAACAAAGTGTCGAGGTTAAAGAAGAAAACACAGACTTCCGCTTCAGGTACAGGGAAGCCCTCAGTAAGAGACAGTAGGGCCCTGGCTGGTGTAGCTCAGTGGATTGAGCACGGGCCTGCCAACCAAGGGATGGTGGTTCGATTCCCAGTCAGGGCACATGCCTGGGTTGCTGGCCAGTTCCCAGTGGGGGACACACGGGGGGTCACCATACATTGATACTTCTCTCCATCTCATCTTTCCTTCCCCTCTAAAGATAAATAACTAAAAGTTTTTAAAAAAGACAGTAGGAAATATGCTGACACTACAGAGACGACGGGAAAGGAAGTGTTTTGCGGTGTTTGTAAACTTACACACCTGCTCTGAGATAGTTTTGTGAAAAGCTTTTTTGTCAGGTCAAGCTGCAAGTCTACAACATGTATGGTGTTGTGTGTCAGTTCTATCTCAGTGGAAGGAAGACAACAAGGAATAGCGTGTTTGTGTACACAGAACCATCCTGTTCCTTGGGGTGGGTTTGTCTGAAAGTCTCGGGTGTCACGTGCTCATAAACCTGACCCCTCTTTCCAGGCTGGAGCGAACAGTTGCCAGACGCCCTGGCTGATGAATCTGCGTCCGTCACTGAAAACACTGAAAAAACAAAGAAGAGATACCGGAAAAGGAAAAACAAGCTTGAAGAAACTTTCCCTGCCTACTTACAAGTAATATTTCGCTTTGTTACATAGATTGTCAATGAAAGAAATGTATATTGAGTTTTGAAAAACAGGTTTGTTGACTGTTACCTTTCTACTTGTTTTTAATGAGTTATCATAAATCTGTTTTAACCTTCCAGGGGCTCATAACAATTAACGTTTACTTCCCTGTCGTTTACTTCGCTGTGCTTTGGTACATTTCACAAAGTTCTTTTTGATCCCGGTTTTTCCGATTCTGAGTATTTCATCAGATAGAGAAGGGCACTCCCAGGGAGAGGGGGAGGAGACACACTCTCACGGAGCAAGCAGGAGCAAGCACTCGGGTGCTGTGGGCGCCCCCTCGCCAGTGGGGGCTGCAGCGTTGAGGTGGAGGAGTGCGCCTAGTGGGGAGGGAGAGAGGAGCCAGACGCCCGTGAGAGATGTAGGTTTTGTGCACATAGTAAGATGAAAACGGCTCTAAAACCCCTTTCAGATTCGTGATGTGCTTATGAGTCAACGTGAGGTTACTGATCTGAGGTTTATCCGTATTAAAGCTGTCGATGAAGCCTTTGTGCTTCCCTCTGCACGTAATCTGTAAATGATAATACTCAGAAGCTGGAGCTTTTCTGATAACACGAACTAGGTGCCAATAGTATTGTGAATGTATCAGTCTTAAATTTTAATTGTAGCCTATTCTGGAATTACTGAATTATTATTCTGCTGTTAGAAACACATTAGAAAGAAGTGTGTGGTGTTTGCATGATGTTATTTGTTTCTAGTAAAACTACGAAAAGCTGTACTTTCAAAATAAAGGAAATCTGGATAAAAAAATTGGCAGGATAGTTCTATGCTGTTTATGCATTTCTGTATTCAATTTTTTTTGTTGTTGTTAATACCAAGCTCATTTCTGCCTTGTCAAAAATGCTGACAGAACATCTATTGTCATTTTAGAATTTATAACTAAGTCATTTTTATATGTGCTTATTTTTATCTAGGAAGCTTTCTTTGGAAAAGATCTTCTAGATACAAGTAGACAAAACAAGCTGAGTTTAGATAACCTCCCGGAAGACCCAGCTCCGCTTCCATATAAAACCAACATGAACGCGCATTTTCTGGACCCGTCCTTAGACCCGCTGCTTAGTTCGTCCTCTGCTCCAGTGAAACCTGGGGCTCACGGTATGTGGGCTTGTCCCTATCATGTGACATTCATCTTCCTTGAATCAGACCTCCAATACACTTTCACTTTGGCCTCCTGCATTTTTAAATCAGCTTTATTGAAATGTAACTTGTATTCAGTAAATGTGACTGTTTTAAGTAGACAGGTGTCTGTAATATTTGGCAAATAAATTTATCTGTGTAATTGCCACCAGAGTTGCAGAGGAAAATGTTAGGTTTACACTTAGCAGAGGGCAGTGTAAGGGAGGTCAGTTTGGCCACAAGTTATCAATATAATAATCTTTAAGTAAGAGAGCTTTGTTAATGACGCAGCCCAAAAACACAGAAGCAGACGACAGGAATGCCATAGTGGGGGCCTGGCTGGCAGGCTGGAGAAGTGAAACCCGTGGCCTTACATGGATTTTTCACCACCAACACGTTGGGCCGCATGCGCTCTGTCAGAGGCAAGAGGTGGTCCCATGCCACGGGGGTCACTTGCCAGCACCCCTATCCCTAGGACGTCATGATGTTCAGAAATGCCTTCAAATATTGCCTCTCCCCCCCCCCCCCCGCAGAACTGCAGCCCTAGGTGTAGCGAACATGGGCCTATTTAGCGTTGGAGAGAGGTCTGAGAACTGCACCCAGGTGGAAACACACTAACGTCAGCAGGCCCGGGCTGCCTCACTGGTGGGGGGGTGTGGGAGCTGGGACCATGGGGTCTGTCCCCACGTCCAGGTGTCTGTCTCACTCACTAACCACGAGGAAGTGACGTTCTCCTGACACGCTCCCTTTCTGCCCGCGATGACAGTCGTTGCTCAGTTACTTTGTTGAGCTCAGTTTGGAGGGTACTCTTCGGCGGTCTTCCACTGGAAGACAATTTGATAGGTGGTCATCATAGCTTTATGAACTTGGCCTTTTCCTGACCGGAAAGCCAGGCTTTGGGCTTTGACTTGAACTTCTTGGTGGAACTGGAAGCCCTCTTGGCCCCTGTGTGCGTGTGCACACCCGGTTCTATTGTCGTCCTGGGGCCGTGCTTGTGTGGGTCAGTGCTGGCAGCTCGCTGCATCTCCTACCACGCCACCGCTCTCACCCACGCCGACTCGCTGTTGACACGGTGGGGGCAAGGCCCACGGGCCCGGCACAGGGCAGCCTGACTGTGAAAGGTGGGTCTCTCTGTGAACATCACGCCACTTAAAGGCTCAAAGGGAAGTTCTTTGAGCTTGATGTTTCACGAGGCAGAGACCTGAGATCGGCCTGAAGCCGTATTGAGACAGGAAACACGTAACTATACACTTTTTCACACAGCGGCTGAGGAGAAATGGTTTAGTGATAGAGTGAAAACACTAGCAGTAGAATAAGAGAAACATTTCAAAACTTCCACGTAACACTCTTAGCAGTTGAATCCTTCTCAGCAGTTGGCCTTTATAATGAGACATTTACTAGTAATGGCTGTCTTTCATTCTTTTTAACATTTTATTCACTATAGCCCATGACATCAGTTTTAATAATTTATTGGTAAGGTATAAACTTTGTTCAGGTAAGGACAAGCTTTTCAAACACAGTCTTTTACAGAATATTATGATTTCTAGGCTTACATGGATTTAAAACAAGCACACTCACAGTAGATAACCCTGAAGGAATTAGCCACAATTTTTTCTTTCAGGTGTGTACTGGTGTCTAGAGAATACGTTATTGAAATAATTGTATATATCTTAAAACTTACAAATATTTGGGTATATAAAATTTATATTTTCTTTTAATTTGAAAAGTAACATTTTTGTGTACGAAGTTTATTTGGAAAGTATGTGTTTATACTTTCCAAAGACTTACTTACAAGACTCCTTGCCCCGTAAGCCGTATCCTCCCTAATGTGAATGACTGATGGAGTTACTAAAGTAGCCTAGGTATCTTTCTGCTCGTCGGGCCAGACACCTCGAGGGACCCGCTTGACTTGTCACCCTCTCACGTTCCACACATGACGCATGCACAGGCCCACCCTTCTGTTCCCCACAGTGCCCGGGAGGCTGGCTCTCACCAGGGCTCCCGGCTGCCAGTCTTGCCCCCGTCCCCACCCCACCCACAGCCCTGTCTGTTCTGCACCTGACACCCGAGCCCACCGTTCGGGCAGAGCCGTGCCCACCCTTGCTCAACGGTCTCTCGTGACCAGCACACAGGCTCCCTGTGTTAGCCAGACCCTGCCTGTGCCCACCTGCAGCTTTCCCACACCCCATTTTCCTCGCAGGGTCAGGTGCTCTGAAAGGGCTTCCCTGCCCACTCACCAAGATGCGGTACCCTGTTCTCAGCCCCAGTCCTCCCCCCCCCTTTAAAGTCTGGGCAGCGCTCACCCAGCTGCAGAGCGCCATCCTGTCCAGCCCCTCTGGACTGCGGGGGCCTGTCCCTGCTGGCAGCACTGCCAGTGCGGGCCTGCTGCTGGGGGTCCCAGACCTGGGTCTGCCGTGCACAAGTCAGGCGACGGGGTTGGGGTGCCAGAGGCTATCGGTCCCTGGCCAGCAGGGAGCCCCCAATGACGCGGTTGTCCCCCGTGGTGTTTGTCTTCCATGATCCTGTCTTCCAGCTCTCAGTTTCAGAGATGCCACTTTCTCAGTGCATTTCTCTGCGTTGTTTTTCATGGTATTTTATTTCACTTTTACTGACTATAGGTCTCTAACATTTTATCATTCAAAACACTAGAGTACCTTTTGTGTGAAACGTCCTTTAGAAGTAATAACCTTACTTTGTCGTCATTCTAGCAGTTACTCAGCATCTGCTGTGCTCAGGCGTGTTGTACATGGTTGAATGAGTAAGGCTATTTTGCAATCAAACGTCTCTGGAAATGCCCAGATGTTAAAAACGTGTTTGCTGTGTTCAGGTACTGCTGATGACCCCTTGGCTGACATATCCGAAGTCCTAAACACAGAGGATGACATTCTGGGAATCATTTCGGATGACCTGGCAAAGTCGGTTGATCATTCAGGTATATAGAAGGCTGTTGGCCCCATGTCTGTTTTAGGGTATGAGGTGTGTGTGTGTGCACGTGAGAGAGAGAACAAGTGAGCAGTTTAGTCTTCACTTGAAATGGGAAAGAAATGTTTGTCGTCATTGAAGGAAGCGTACACTTCAATCTGCCGTGTCCTCCTGCTGCTCTGTGGGCAGGAGTGAGCTAGGTCCTTTCTGTTCCCTTTCTGATGGTGCCAAATGGAAGGCTTGCGGCCCCGAATCTTGCAGTGTCTGGTTTCTTCTTCTGTTTGCGCTTTCCCTCGCTTCCCGCTCCCTGGTAATCACCTGTTTTATCTGGTTTGGGTCTTGTAGGTCTTGATTCATGCACTTTCCAGGGTGACAGCTCACCTTTTCCGTTTGGTAAGACCCTGCACAGTGGGTGAGGGCTGAGTAGAGTAGTCTCTTTCTAGCGGGTTCAGCTCAGCTGGCTGTGGGTGCATGCGCGTCTGTCTTAGTGCTGGCATGTCACTAATCACACTTGGCTTCCCCGTGTGCCTGCCGCTAGCACGTGGGACAGCTCTGCTGGGCTCAGGTGACTCTTCCAGTAGTTTCTCGTTTTTTTTTTAATGAGTGGTTTTATTTTTAGTCGTACGTAGTGTGTAAGTTTACCCAAATGTTACAAAATTAGTGCGTACTATAAAGATGAAACAGAGCAGACCGAATTGTACTTTTCCATATGACGATACTCAGAAAGCATGGCGAAGAAGGTAGACCACTTTCAAGTGTGGCGTTGCTTCAAAGGCCAGCTGCGTTAGACAGTGCGTTGTGTCTTAAACAGTCAGCGTTTTGTGTGCTGGCCGCCAAGTGCTTCAAAACTGTGACCTCCAGCGGACATTGTTCACAAGGATACGGTGTGCCAAACGTTAGTTCAGAGTGTCAGAGCTGTTCTTGGCTTTACGTGGAACGTGTCCCTCCCAACCCCCGTGCTGCAGCCGGACTTGACGTCTGGGGCCAGTGCTTCCCAGGCAGAGCTGGGGCCTGTGTGGTGAGCACTGCGCACAGTGCTCCCTGGGGCTCCCGTCTCAGTGATGTGGGGCTCACTTTTGTGGGGATTGGTACTTCAGAGCCACAAGTGTTCTTTTATTCCTCAGGAAGGATACTTACTTTGATTGAACTGTAACTTTTAAAGTGGCACCTAGGTTACAAACAGATGGTGCCTAATTGTTACTAACTTTGACTTTCCATATAGAGGTAAGAACCCTGATTAATTCAGGGATATGAACTCTTCATTGCTCGGTTTTAATCGTGTGTTAATGCAGGTGAGTAGTGTTGGCACATGTGGCAGGCATATTCACTTTTTAATGTCTTTACCTCGCTCCTCCAGCCGGAATGGACATCGGTCCCGTTGCTGACGACCCTTCCTCCCTGCCTCAGCCGTCTGCCAGCCAGAGTTCACGGCCGCTCAGTGAGGAGCAGCTGGATGGGATCCTTAGTCCTGAGCTGGACAAAATGGTCACAGATGGTAAAGTGTTTGCCCTACACCTAGGCTTTCTGAAAGACATGAGTAAATATGATTTTCAAAGATTTCTGCATGCTTGTTTGTAATTTACATCCTATTCTGATGATTTCTGTGCATGCTATTTTACATCAGTGTATCAAAATGGTAATTAATATTTCTGTGTCTTTTTTCCATCCTAGGGGCAATTCTTGGAAAATTATACAAAATTCCAGGTAATTGTGTTCTGATTTTGTCGTTTACAAAAGTGGCATTCCCCGTGTGGCTGGAACAGACTTTAATCCTGTTGCCATTGCATCCCCTAGAGCTTGGAGGGAAGGACGTGGAAGACTTGTTCACTGCCGTGCTCAGCCCTGTGGCCGCCCAGCCCGCTGCGCTGGCACAGCCTCCCCCGCCCCCCGCACAACCGCTGATGCCCATGCATGGCCAGGGTAAGTCGCCTAGAGACGTCGCCCAAGTGTGGGTCTGCTGTGTGTGTGTGCGCGCGCATGCATGCGTGTGTTCTTATGTTCACTGAAGCAGACTGGGTCCTTAGCCTTAGCCAGGACCCATGCTGCTAGGAGAGAGCCTCTCTTGTGCTGATGGAAAAACACTCCCGTCCGCATTCCTCTTGGCCACACGCCCGCCTCTTGGAAAGCCTCGGGAGCTTGTGGTCCGCGCATGGCCACGGGTCTTCTGCTCGCAGTGTCGGCAGTGGGGACCTCGCTGTGGTGCCTCCCGTGCCCTCTGCACCCACGTCTCAGCTCACCTGCGCTCAGACCTGCTTGCAAAGTGTCGGGAGGACTACGTCCCCCCTCACCTGGCTGCTGTGTGCGCATCGGTCTGGCCTTGCTCGGTTCACAGCTGTGTGTACACCTACCTGTGCCAGTGACACTCCTTGTTGTGAGGGGAGGGGCCTCTGGTCAGTTCTCTTCTCCCACCTGATAACCAGCTGCCAGATAAGGTTCAGGTGCCAACTTCTCCCTGTTTCTGAGGGCCTAGGACAAGGGTCTGTGGGAGCAGATGGGGAGAGTGCCACAGACAGAGGTCCCCGGTTCCCCTCTAGAAAGGGTCGTTCTCTGTGTCTGGGTTCACCACTGCTTCCTGCTTGTGTGCTGAGCTGGGTGACCGTTGCGGTCCTGAAATCCTCACTGTTTTCACACAATGGCTGAAATGGATCAGTGATCCAGTGTTAATCTTTCCTCTCAGTTTTGTGTACCCATGAAAAGTTCTGTAATACACATAATTAAAATACTGTAGCTTTCACCGGTTCAGCCTTGAGACATAAATGCGCCTTGCTTTTGGCTGGATTGCACGTTTCCCATACATCCTTGGTGGAGAAGAACTAACTCTTCAGTGTTTCCCAACATAAACACAAGATCGATCTCCGTGGTTTCTGAAACTGAAATGGTGTGTTTTAGAAACCAAGTCAGTTAAAGATGTATTCCTTTATGAAGGTTTCACACTCATTATGTAGATGTTTTCGCTGTGCAGCCTTGTTAAAATGTTAGGAGGTGACTTGTTTTTTTACTCAGTGCTTACTGTATTTTGCCATGTATAATATTTAGTTTTTTGGCCACATTTTTGAGGGAAAAATAAGGATGCCCTCATACACGGGTAATACTAATTCCACGTCTGTATAAATGTTTTCCATTTTTTTATGCTTATGCATTACAAGTGGAACTCTAGAAAGCAGTAAGACCAGCCGAATGCAGAGTAACACCCTGGAGCACACTAGTCAGTTTTGCAGGCTCCTCACATGCACTAGGTCCTCTGTGCCATGACAGAGGAGACAGGGTTATGGAGATCGCATCTCACAGTCTACGACTAATTGCTCTTGAGCACTGTTCTTGCAGAAAAATATTGAAATAAAATCCTACTTTATTGAATAGCATTACAAGTTTTTGGTTAGAAATACTTCTTTTGCTTTTTGATATTTATGAGCAGTATGCAAGCTGAGTCACTGTTTTCTCCTAAGATGTCTTTTCACGGATGCCACTCATGAACGGCCTCATCGGCCCCAGCCCTCATCTCCCACACAGCCCTCTGCCTCCTGGAAGCGGACTGGGGACGTTCTCTGCCATCCCACCGTCCCCTTACCCTGATGCCAGGTACTGCACGCCCTCACCTCCGGTGGACACAGAAGGGACCTTTGTCACAGACATCAGTACGCCACTGTGTGTGGCCATACTGTATGTTACATTCATTGGGATGTTTGCTAAAATTCATGGGACATTTCAGCTGTTTCACCTGACAGGTTTTAATGAGCTCATACTTGAAAGTTATTTTATGTTTACTAATGGATGTTGTATGTTGTTTGCCAGAGATAAAAGTGCAGCATATCATCCAATGGCGAGTGATCCTAACAGCTCTTGGGGCTCTGCGGCGCCCCCTGTGGAAGGGGAGGGTGACACCCTGTCGAATGCCCAGAGGAGCACCCTCAAGTGGGAGAAGGAGGAGGCCCTGGGCGCAATGGCCGCCGTGGCGCCGGTGCTGTACGCAAATGTCAATTTCCCTGGCTTAAAGGACGAGCTCCCGGGTGAGTCCTGGCCGGGCAGCCTCTGCAGGGACTGCCACTCCCTCACATATGTGAGACACCGCTTGTCTGTCTGTCTGGGCTCTTCTCCCTGCTGTCCAGAGCCTGTGTGGCGTTGGCAGGAAATGTCTTCATTTCCTCAGTCCCGGGTCCTGGGCCCCTTTTCCCCGAGAGCGAAGTTGAATGGGCGGATGATGTGCTCTTCGGCCCCTGGAGACTGTACAATACAAACACGCAGAAGTCGGTGCTGTGTTGTATGCGTGACTGTACAAAGGTGTTGCTAGAATACAATCAGAAGTGTTGTCAGTTGTGTCCGGTTCAGTTCTGAGTACTGCTCCCATCAGCACTTTCTCACTGACATTCCTGCCCCAGCCATCCTGTCCGAACGAGTACAATAAGTAGGAGACACAGTGGCATCCTTGACCGTTCTGACTTACTGGGGAATGGTGGATGGTGTGGTGCCATGTGCGCGCAAGCAAACGCTCCCGTGGCGGCTTCCTGGCTGCCAGCACTTGGCTGCACTGCTGCGGGCCACCGTCTGCCGGCAGGTGCTTTTCCCTGTGTGCCCCCTGTGGCACCCGGTTCATTACACGTGCAGAGCTGAGGCCAGCTTTCTAGCAGGAGTAGCCAGCGTCTCAGAGCAGGGGGTCTGTCCACACAGCACCTGCAGGCTCCCTGTGCCTCTCCCCACCCGCAGTTGGACGAGCCCCCAGGCGTTGGAGCAGGCTGCCCTTGGAGCGGGGGCAGAGTGTGTCTTTGCAGTACCCAGGTTTTCAGTGGCTTCACTGTATGGTTCTGGACCCCTGAGAAGTAGCATGAGGTCTGTTTTCAGTGGCCTTTCCCTTCTCCCCCTCCCTTCCGCTCCTCTTCCTTTCTTCTCCCGAGGACCACATTGTTTCTACCTCAATCCCAAACTGTCCATCTCACCCAAGCTTCCTCCACACTGTCCCGACACTGAGTTCCGTAGGAGTGGCCTGAAAGCATCGCTGCTCCGTGTCTGTGTGACGCTCATCTGCAGCAACACCGACTTCTCTCTGGTCAAAATGAGAGGCCCCTCGTGAGCACAGATGGCTTACAGAACTTTCAGCTTCGCTTCTGGTAATTGCTTTACAGGCGAGGGAAGTTCTCATATAGGATCCAGCAGAAGGAAGGCCTGCTTGAGTGTGGTTGGTAGTGTAATAATGTATAGTTTTAATGACACCTAAAGTGTCATGTGTGTTGTGTGTGATATGTTATATTACAGAAATAATTGCTTATGATCTTGTAATAGATTTTGTAATCATCAGGCGTTATTTGTGCTGGACATTGTATTTGGCTTAAATTGATCTTGGCTGCTTAGCCCCTTGATTTAAAACCATCCTAATTCTACACTTGAGGTTGGTAATAAGGCAACACTTTTTTCAGAAAAAACTTTGTTAGTCTGCTGTGCTCCATGAACTTTGTACTGCACAGAGGATTTAATGTGGGGCCGCTTGTCTGTGCAAGTCTGGCCAAGGAAAGTTTGACTGTCAGTGGTTCGTCAGCCTCTTCCCCGTGACATGTCCCCACCATGCTCTGAAACGCGTGTGTGTTTCCTCTCTTTGCAGACTGGACCACCAGGGTGAAACAGATCGCCAAGTTGTGGAGAAAAGCCAGTTCGCAGGAAAGAGCACCATATGTGGTATTTAAAGAAAATCCTATGCATTGTGTCACTTTTATCGTCTTAAGTTAATGAAAGGGTCTTCCATTGCAGAAACATTATGTTCCCACTTGTACAACTAGCAAACAGCTTTGTTTTTGCAGTGACTTCATCCCCCTTTCTGTTTGAATATGAAGTGTGACATTTTTGTGAGCCGGCTCTCAGGTCCAGGATGTCGAAGACTGTTCTCAGTTATTTTAGGGGCATGTCTAATCCATTTCACTTCAGAATTGTTGTGTCTCTTCCAAAGGGCACTGCATTTGGAGGCTGCATTAGTGTGCCCTTGTTTTCTCCCACAATAGCTATTTTTCTACAAAGTTCAGTAGAAAATTGTCCTGTAAACTATGAAGAGACACATCAGGACACCCTTGTGGCATGTTAGGAACACGTGCTTTGCCTGGCGCTATTCAGGAAGCTGTGAGTCGTTGTTCAGATGATGGGTGGTATTTCCTGAAGATCTGGATTAAGATTCTCAGCTGGGCCCAGGTCCTTCCTTTCATTTTAAAGCATATTAAATTGATACCATTCTTTTGAAAAACCAGACCCAGTTTTTTTCCAAGTTGATGTTCTGTGCACATCCTGTCGGTAGTAGTAATGGGGGATAGACGGAGAGGGAGGGTTTCGGTCATGTTGACAGTGCTGTGTTTGATTTGCCTTGGCCGTGGGAGGTAGTGACCAGACGGGGAAAGTTTGTTTTTAAATGTTAACCTTCAAATTCCAGATTTTAGATTTGGAGGACTGATGTGGTATTTTTTCCTTTTGTCTGATTTGTACAAAATGTGGATTCTGCCCTCTTTGAAGGGTCTGTTAGAAAGACCAGGACCGCCAATACTAGGTGAGGCCTGGGTTCTCGGGCCTGGCTCAGATAAAGCCCAGGCTGCCAGTAGTGGAGGGAGCAGAGTGGCGGCGTCTTCCGCCACTGCTGCCGCCGACCCATCAGTGTGACCTTTCCTTGCTTTTATGTGATGAAGTGCACCGTCGCTTGGTTTTCATTTCTCGGAACTTGTTAATGTGTGCGCAGAGATGACTTTCTTCCCCCCGTGTTAACAGCAAAAAGCCAGGGACAACAGGGCGGCCCTGCGCATCAACAAGGTGCAGATGTCCCATGACTGCCTGCGGCGGCAGCAGCACCAGGACGGCATGGATCCTGGCGCACGGGTCGACGCCGAGCTCTTCAAGGACCCCTCGAAGCAGAGGGAGTCAGAACACGAGCAGGAGTGGAAATTCCGACAGGTGCGTGGGTGTTCTGTTTTGTGATAGTTAGCTCTGTCACGCTGCATCGTTGCTTGAAGGAAGCTAGTTGTATCATCTCAGAATGTGGGTCTTACGAGAACATGAACGTTTGGTTACAAGCAGACATCCCTTTCTCAGTAAAATGGATGCAAGTTGCTTTGGGCGTTTCTGGAGATGCTGGAGTAGGCGGTGCTTGGCCCCGGGCTTGCGTGAGCCGGGTAGACTGCAGGGACACCATCTTCTCTTTGGGAGGGTCTCACTCCAAGTGGGTGTGCTGTCGTAGTGGAGTCCTCAGGCAGGTTTATTCCCCACAGAATTAAGAGTTCGTTTCAAGAGAGCACCACCAGCCTTTCCCTGTGACAGTCCGTTCTTCCTAACCCACGATTGCTTCCTTTTGCCATGTCCAACAGCAAATGCGCCAGAAGAGTAAGCAGCAGGCGAAGATCGAAGCCTCCCAGAAGTTGGAGCAGGTGAAGAGCGAGCAGCAGCAGCTGCAGCAGTCTGGGTCGCAGGCTCTGCTAGCGCCGTCCGGCTCGGACACACCGAGCCCCTCGACCCCCCAGCCCGGCAGTGGAAACATGTCTCCGGCACAGTCATTCCATAAGGACCTGTTTACAAAACCGCTACCCGGCCCCCCCGCTTCTGCACCTGCGGATGACGTGTTTGTGAAGCCACAGGCCCCGCCCCCTCCCGCAGCCCCCTCCCGGGCTCCGCTCCCGGAGAGTCTGTCGCCGCAGCATGTGTTCTCGCCCGCATCTGCCAGCTCCCGGCCACCATCTCCGATGGATCCCTACTCGAAAATGGTTGGTACTCCAAGACCACCTCCGGGGGGCCATGGCCTTTCCAGAAGAAACTCTACGGGCCTGGCGGAAAGCTGTGCACCCCTGCCCTCAGGACCGAGGCCCACTCCAGGGAGCGAGAGTGCAGCCGGTCGGCCTTCCCCTGTCAGAGAGTCATGTTCTTCCTCCGTGACAAGCAGTGACCCTTATGCAAAGCCCCCGGACACACCTCGGCCGGTGTTGGCAGAGCCATTCCCCAAACCCTTGGGCCTGCCCCGCTCTCCAGTCGTTTCGGAACAGACCACCAAAGGCCCTCTAGCAGCTGCAACCAATGATCACTTCCCGAAGCCATCTCCTCGGGCAGACATATTTCAAAGGCAGCGGGTCCCTGACCCATATGCACGGCCCGTGCTGACGCCTGCACCTGTGGATAGTGGTCCTGGACCTTTTAAGACTCCGATGCAGCCACCTCCACCCTCCCAGGACCCTTTTGGGCCCGGGCTGCAGGCTCCCAGGCGCCAGCCCATGGACCCGTACGAAAGGCCCGCTCTGACACCCAGACCCTCGGATAACTTTTCCCAGAGCCAGCCCAGCGATCCGTACAGCCAGCCACCCCTCACCCCGCACCCAGCGATGACAGAGGCTTTTGCCCACCCCGCCAGGGCCTTTCCCCAGCACACAGGCACATCGAGGGCAGCATCTCAGGACCTGTACTCCCAGCCCTCAGGACCACCTCGCTCCAACCCAGACCCTTATTCTCAGACCCCTGGCACTCCCCGACCCCCCACAATTGATCCATACAGTCAGCAGCCACCCACCCCAAGGCCACCAACACAGGGAGACTTATTCGTTACACCTGCAGCTACTCCAAGGCTTTCTGACCCATATGCTCACCCTCCTGGGACACCGAGACCTGGCATTTCTGTTTTTTACTCTCAGCCACCAGCAGCACCACGGCCACGGGTGTCAGAGGGTTTCACTCGGTCCTCAGTGACAAGACCTGTCCTCACGCCAAATCAGGATGCGTTCCTGCAGGCAGCGCAGAACCGAGGCGCGGCTTTAGCAGGCCCTGTGGGTAGGTCCCCTGAGGCCTGTCCCCAGACTCCTGGGCCGCCTGGAACAGGCCTTGCAGACACCTTCAGCCGAGTCTCCCCATCTGCTCGGGATCCTTATGACCAGCCCCCTATGACCCCAAGGTCTCAGGCTGACACTTTTGGGACAAGTCTAGTTGCTCCTGATGCTGCTGACCAGCCTCGGCCTGGGTCTGAGGGGAACTTCAGTGCTCCTCCCAGCGCCCCCATGAACTCTCAAGGCCCGCAGTTTCCCAGTGTCTCCCAGCTTCCTGGACCAGCACCGACCTCGGGAGTCCCTGACACACAGAGTGGCTCCGGCAGTGCGTCTCAGGTGGACACAGAGAAGCTGCGACAGGTGAGAACAGTGTGCACTCCCAGATGTGTCACTCATCGAGAAAGCATCCATTTCACCGCTAGTTTCTGCCCAGGAGTTACAGTGTATCTTCTACTGAACTCTTTACAGGCCAGAAAAGTGAAAGTGGTGAAATTAATACCAGTTCTGTTGGATTATTCCAAATCTACTTTCAGTGTTTATGGATTTTTAGGGGCATTCTTATTTAGGAAGGGTTTCGGTTTGTGATAGTTGTTGGGCAAGGGAAAGACCCCAAATAATCTGTTTGTATTCCTAAACTGTTGTACAGTTAAGTGTAAATAGTGCTTCATCGAACTTTAAAACATGAAGGCATTTTAAGCATTACGTTAGTCACATGTTGGGAGTGCTAGGATATAGGAAGCCATTAGTTGTCAGAAATCCCAGTGACTTTAGTTTCTTCCCTCCAGCGGCAGAAGTTACGGGAAATGATTCTGCAGCAGCAGCAGCAGAAGAAGATGGCAGGTCGGCAGGAGAAGGGGCCCCAGGACGCGGCCGCTGGGCCTCACCCCCTGCAGCACTGGCAGCCTGAGGGCGTGAGCCCAGCTTTCACCAGGCCGCCACCCCCCTACCCCGGGAGCCTCCGTTCGCCAGTCGTCCCTCCCATGGGGCCTCGATACCCCATCTTCCCCAAAGACCCGCGTGGGGCCTATGCCCCTGACGTTACTGGTATGGGCATGCGACCTCACGGATTCAGGTAATGCTTCTCATTTTACACCAGACTTAAACGGCTGTTGGGAGGGACTGGGCAAATGAAGTTTCTCCTAAGAAGTCGTTACTGCTTGTACTTCTTAGTCCCCTTGAGATGGAACTAGTGTTATTTCCACTGACAAGAGGTTAGGGACGTTTTAAAAAACACTCAGTTTTTATTTAGATTGCAAGATATTTAAAAATTAATCATTGGAAAAGTAGGTAACACAGACAAGTTGATGGGCACCGTGGCAGGCGCAGCCGCTGGCAGCTCAGAAATGTCTCTGACTTACAGAAAATTTTACTTCATAGGCACTTACAGACACAAACACATTCAAGGTTATTCTTCTAATCATTGGTTATAGAAGCAAAAAAGGTAGAAATTATCTAAATTCCCATCTGCGATAATAGTGAAAATAGTGATGGCTAACACTGATCCTGCTGGTCTATGCATTCGGGATGATTTATCCCAGGAAAATCTTTACGTAGGTTCAGTTATACTCGTTTTGGAGGTTGAGAGTATAAGGCTCAGGAGACAGCGGTTGAACATTTTAAGGTCTATGTTGTGAGCGACAAGATAACCATGAAAAATGTGGTGCTTTAATAATTGATGGGAAAGATCTTTAGGACTTACTGAGTTGGACATGTGGGTTATAAACAACACAATTTCATTTGCGTCAAACTGCAGAAACGATTAGGTAAATGCCTTGAACAGTGACCCGCAGGGTAACAGTGCTCACCAGAAAGCTGGGAGTTGACGTTTTACACTGTGTTTCTGTTGCTGGGGTGCTTTTTTAAAGCATTGAATACTTTTCTTTTTTTTAAGATTTTTATTCATTTATCTTTAGAGGGGAAGGGAAGGAGAGAGGGAGAGAAATATCAATGTATGGTTGCGTCTCATGGGTCCCCTGCTGGGAACTGGCCTGCAACCCAGGCATGTGCCCTGACTGGGAATCGAACTGCAATCCTTTGGTTCACAGGCCCACGCTCAATCCACTGAGCTACACCAGCCAGGGCTGAATACTTTTTTATGATAGAAAAACACCGAAAAATGCCATTTTCATTTACACTTTTTTTTTTTTTTTGGAAATGACATTCTTATTTCCACTTGTACCATCAGAAGGAAGACTTCTGTTGGTTTGAGACAGTCGGGGTGTCTGGGTCCTGAGTGGGGACAGACAAGATGAGTTACGTAGAAATGAAAGTGAACCAGAGACAACTCTTTCCCCCTCACAGCACAGCGCGCTTCCCTTGGGGCTTCGGACGTGAGCCTGCACCTGGGGCGTCCTGGGCAGCGTACCCCGGCTGCTGGAGGACAGCAGACGGCCCCCCATTGCGCCTATCCCAACCCTGCCTGTCTCCCAGCTGGACTCTGTGCAGACAGCTTTATCAGGCGATATGCAGTTCTGGGGTTTAGGCCTTTAACAGCTCTGAAGGCACTGGGCACCCCTCTGTTCCTGAGCGTTGGCTGTGTCGGGCTCCGCCACAGCCACAACCACAGCCCTAGCCCTGAACCCTCGGGGCAGAGTCAGAGCGTCCTGTGGCACGGGAAAGAACACTCTCTCCGGTTTTCTGTTCTTTCCTGCATTGTGGACATTTGTGGAGATTGCCACACTGAAAGGAAGTTTTCTTCTACAATCTCTTCATGACGAGATAGCCTTGTAAAGTTAATGGGTTTTTTGGATTTTTTAAAAAGATTTTATTTATTTTTAGGGAGAGGGGAAGGTAGACAGGGAGAGAAACATAAACGTGTGATTGTCTCTCATACACTGCTATTGGGGACTTGGCCTGCAGCCCAGGCCTGTGCTCTGACTGGGAATCAAATCGGTGACCCTTTGGTTCACAGGCCAGCACTCGATCCACTGAGCCACACCAGCCAATGCTCATTTGCTAAATCACTACAGTTAATACCTATTGGTCATTGTCTGTTACTACCTCCCATCTTCATCCCTTTCAAGAAATAGGTTACTCTCCTGGTCCTTGGGCTTTTCCTTCATCTTGATATGGAGGCTTGTCAGATTCTTTAGTATAATTGGTAAGATTGCCCACCTTCATTCAAGGCCCCTCCAAGTCAACCTGCTCCACAGAAGCTCCCTAAGTGTAGAAGGGAGAGTGGACTCCTGCTTGGCCCCAACATTGCTAGGCTTATTTTGGAACAGTTGACTCCATCTGCTTAGCAGCTGTTCCTGCGTCACCATTTATGGTACCTGGTGAGCACTGGTCTTTAGAATTCAGATACGGGGTTCATTATGGGTACGTAGCAGAGTTTACTTGCAGATGGATAATTTACCAGTGCTTGCTAATTGTGAATGTTTCTTTGCTAAGTTGTTGTATGTAGCAGCGTTTGTATCTGCATGTAATCTAAAACTTTTCCTCTCCTCAAGGTAACTCTAAATATAATGTAACAGTCGATACTAATTACTTGCTTTTTTTCCTCCTAGATTTGGGTTTCCAGGAGGGAGTCATGCTCCCCTGTCTGGGCAGGAGCGCTTCCTCGTGCCGCCTCAGCAGGCGCCAGGACCTGCCATCCCTCCGCAGCTGAGAAGGTCCATGTCGGCAGACGTGCCCAGGCCTGTGGGCAGCTCGCAGGCTAGCGGTCCAGTTGGACTTTCGCAGCACTTCCCCCCGCAGAGCCTGCCCATGCAGCAGCACAACATCCTGGGCCAGGCGTTCATCGAGCTGAGACACAGGGCCCCTGACGGGAGGCCCCGGCCGCCCTTCCCCATTCCTGCTGGTGGTGCGCTAGAGGGCCCTCTGGCCCCGAGACACGGGGCCTTCATTCCCCGGCCAGACCTGCCAGGCCCCAGACACGCCGACCCCCTGAGGCGGCCTCCCCAAGGTCTACCTCATCAGCTGCCTGTGCCTCCCAGTCTGGACCAGGTGCCGCCGCCTCACCCGGAGCAAGGGCATCCCGTCCACTCATCTGCAGTCATGAGGTCCCTGAGTCATCCCTTAGGTGGCGAATTTCCCGAGACCCCTCTGTCAACATCTACACCAGCTGAAACGCCATCTGGTAATTTACAGGTAGCTGCCCAGCCTTCGGACGGTCTTGAAGAAAAACTGGATTCTGATGACCCATCTGTAAAAGAACTGGATGTTAAAGACCTTGAGGGGGTTGAAGTCAAAGACTTGGATGATGAAGATCTTGAAAACCTACACCTAGATGCAGAGGACGGCAAGGGCGATGACCTGGACACTTTGGGTAACCTAGAGACGAACGACCCCAACCTGGACGACCTCCTGCGGTCGGGAGAGTTCGACATCATCGCGTACACAGACCCAGAACTGGACCTCGGGGACAAGAAGAGCGTGTTCAGCGAGGAGCTCGACCTCAGCGTCCCGGTGGAGGAGAAGTCAGACAGTCAGTGTGTGTCTGCTGAACCAAAAAAAAAGGCGCCGGACGGGGACGCCGGGGTTCCTGCTGAGGAACACTCTCCGTGGAAGAGTCCCACCGCTTCCAGTGACGTAAAGACTGAAGTCCCGTCCCCACCTTCTAAGGGGGAAACCAAATGTGAAAGTGAGAATGGCGAGGAGGGCAGAGGCCACGCTGACACCCCCCGCTCCCAGGCTGCCGCTTGCGCGGACAGCGGCGATGGGGCAGATGCAGCTGCTCCACAGTCCTGCGAGGCCGAGCTCCTGGACAGGAGGCCTCCACGGGACACTGCAGCTCCTGGCCCCGGTGCTGCCCTTGGGCCCCACCAGCTGCCTGCCGAAGACACGGTCAGCTCCTGTGGCGTCACAGGGTCCACTCCTGTCCTCTCCAGTCTACTTGCTAACGAAAAATCGGAGGGCTCGGACCTGAGGCCACTGGGGTCTCCACCGCCAGCTCTGCCAGCCTCTCCCTCCAGCCACGTGTCCAGTCTGCCGGCTCCCCTCATGACCCCGCCCACCCCCCTTCTGGACAGTGCCATGAGTTCCAGTGTGGCAGTAGTCCCGCGGGTAAACCATGCTTTTCCTCAGGGTGTGCAGGTAAACCCAGGCTTCCTCCAGGGCCAGTCAGCAGTTAACCATGGTTTCGGGACAGGAAAACCTGCCAGTCACACTGTGCCTCTTCCGAGTCAGCCCGGACCGCAGCCACTGGTGGTCCCTCCAGCACTAGCCCAGCAGGGCCGTGAGAGGCCCCTCCTACTGGAGGAGCAGCCCCTGCTCCTGCAGGACCTCCTGGACCAAGAGAGGCAGGAGCAGCAGCAGCAGAGGCAGATGCAGGCCATGATCCGGCAGCGGTCGGAGCCCTTCTTCCCCAACGTCGGTAGGGTGGCCTTACGTGCTGGGGGATGGCTGTGGCAGTCACTGGGTGGGGCGGCGTGCATGTGAGGTTTCGGGGTACACATTCTGTGGGCCAGAGCACCAAGGGCCTCATTTCTGTTCCTCCTGCAACTGTAAAAAGAGTACAAATCGGTGTGGTAGACTGCTCCCAGGTGGACCCCGAGGCCCAGCACGCTGGGCTTTCCTCAGTGTGTTCGTGGTGGTGATCAGCAGGAACAAGCGTCTCCTTTGGAGGCCCTTCCTTCTAGCCTTGTTTCCGAGGCCCTGACTTTAAAGAAGTTATGGTAGAAATACACTTTGTAATTCCGTTTGCGTATAGTAAACGTTTGGAAGCTTTCTGTTGTATAAAGCTATTTAACTTCCAATAGCATACTAATTCGAGGGGGTGGTAACCCACAGATTGGCAATACAGGAAAATTGCCTGAGTGCCTCCAGCGGGAAGAACCAGCCCTCAGAGGATGCTGTCCTCGGGGCAGGGACACTGGCATTCTCTTCTCTGCGTTACCAGTTCCAGCACTTGGCCATTTCTTTTTCACTCATGCAGAGGTCTTTTCTCAGTAGCTGATCCTTACTGCAAGGATATGTCCTCAAGAAACTGATGTGTTTCTCTTAAGGGGTGGTAACTGGTTTAGTGGAACTCCTTAGCGTTGGAAATAACTGTAGGTTCTCGTCACATCACCGTTGCTGAAGAAGCAGCTCTGATTAGTGTCTGAGCGTTTGGGTGACAAGGAGTCCCCGGGCTTTGGATTATTGCTGTGATCCCTCTTGTATTCGACAAGCTTCCTGTTTTCGTTCTGGTGGGGCTGGGGTGTTGCGGCCTGCGTCAGTGACGGGTCACTGAGACACGCGGACATCAGCCTGCGGTTCCTAGGGTCTCGTGATCCCTTACCTGGCCTAGAAATCTGTAATGGTGGTTGTTAAGTAATTAACGGTGAAGGAGAGTCTGTAAATGGTTGTATAATGTTCGTGATAGTTATATCACCTGTAAGTATAACTTGAACCAAGTACTATGAATCAAATAACTTTAAAATATGTTTCTTCTGTAGATTTTGATGCGATCACAGACCCCATCATGAAAGCCAAAATGGTGGCCCTCAAAGGCATCAACAGGGTGATGGCGCAGAGCAGCCTGGGCATGCCGCCCATGGTCATGAGCAGGTGGGCAGGGCGCCGCTCACTCCTCCTCTGTGTCAGGAAGCCCGTGCGGTTGTTACTGGTTCCTGCAAGAGAATACACAGCAACTGGAAACCTCATGTGGCAGGGGACCCACCAGGAACCAGAATTATCCTCGGGAGGGTGGGCCCCTTGTGGGACAGGCTTCCCCGTTGGGTGAGTGTTCCAGGAACCCACCCACATCTGTGCACCAGCTGGTGCTGGTGTGAGAGGCTGCGTTGAGCTGGGGATGTGTTTGGGAAGACTCAGTGCACTTGCCTGTTTCCTGTTGGGCGACGTACCAGTGCTCCCCGTAAGGGTGTTTGGATTTCCTGACTGATCAAGTCGATGTTCCAAACTGTTTTAAATGTTGTAAACTGTTCTGTGTAAAGACGGTAGTTTATGTAAGTCTTTGAATATTTTTTATTCCATCAAAAGAACAACATAGAAAAACATGAAACATTTCAGTAAAGATAGTAAGACTCTAAAGAAGATGCCCCCAAATGAAATTTGAATCAGAAAAAAGTGTCATAAGGAGCAGAGGACATGTGAAAGGTAGCAGTTGGGAAATCTGTGCACCTTTCACCATTAGCAGAAAAACGGGAACTACGCATTTTAGAAGACTGAGAGTTGTTAGACTGTGTGAGTTTCTAGAGTCGGGGTATTTATGCCCCCAAAGGGGTATTGGCCTCAGGGCAGTATCTTCTGTTGTGATCATAGACCACCATCGGAATTAATGCGGTGGGGTGTTCGTTTTTATTTACTTACTTATTTATTTTTGCGCCTTTATTTACTGAGACGCAAACCGACTAATTCGGACTGCCTGCGGACTGTGCTGGTCCTCCCACGACTAGCGAGCACATGAATGGTTCTTACGTAGATGGCTGTTCCTTGACCTCCGATAGTAGGGAGGGATTGAGCCTCATTACGTTGTTGAGAAACTTCCTATGTAAAGGAGACTTAAGGAAGTGAATGTGAAGTCTACATGAATTTGGTGCTCTCCTTCCCGGGACCATGCCTGGGCCTCTCCCTCCCCCCCATCACCCCGCAGGTGTGCATGTCCTAAAGTCTAAAGGACCCAGGAGGCTTGCAACCAATACCAAGGGCAGCAGCAGGTCCCCGGGGAGCACCCTGTAAAGATAGTAAAGACTCTAAAGAAGATGCCCCCAAATGAAATTTGAATCAGAAAAAAGTGTCATAAGGAGCAGAGGACATGTGAAAGGTAGCAGTTGGGAAATCTGTAAATGGTTGTATATGTTTGTTATGGTTTGCCTGCGGCAGCAGCAGGTCCCCGGGGAGCACCCTGACCCTGTCCCCAAGGCCCCTCTGTCGCTTCTTTTACCCCAAGCCCTTCCTTGTTTCACTGTCCCCAGCTTTTAATAAATGGATCCTCAAAACTTAAAAAAGGAAAAAACCAACTATATGACTCTAGTAATCATGAGACTCTGTATAAATTGGGAACGTGAAAGATTCAGTCCATCTGCCGAGATGGTCTGGAGGTGGTCAGACACACTGCTGCTGCCCCTCGTCGTCCGCACGGCTTCACTGGCGCGGGGCCTCGTCCGTGTCGTGACTTTCTGACTCTCTGGTGCAAATCCCAAACCGGTGCTACAAAGGAAATCAGTTACGCTTGAAACATGGTTGTTTAAGAGTTACAGTGTATGTGCTGCTGAATACATTTAGCAGTAGGTTTAACAATTACCGTAACTTCGAAGAAATAATGAAACTAAATGGTCCCAATAAATGCATGCAACAGCTCTTGGTATTGGAGTGACATAAGTTCTATTGGTGACAAAGTTGTGGCCCTACTAATGAGACGGTGGTTTGCTGTCTGAAGTCAAAAGAAAAGGAAATCGGGCCAAACTTCGTTCAGCACTTAGTGTAAAAGATGGACTGCAGAATTAGAGCCCCTGCCGGTTCAGCAGCACGCCTCTGTGATCGGAGAGGGACAGATGTGTTCCCTGCTCTCCGGGGCTTTGATGAAATGGAGGTGGCCGTCCCTCAGGGCCGGCAGAGACACCAGCGGCAGGGGGTAGACAGGGCGGCACTCAGGTGGGGAGACCGTCCTGGCCCAGGCTGCAGGGTCAGGGCTCATCGGTAACGAGATACTGGCCAAATGTTTTCAACCATACAGATTTTTTCTTGCTCAGTGACTGAGTTTTACTTTAACGTTATATGTAGAAATTTGCCAAAATGTGTGAAATTCTTGAGAGATACATCTTTATTTAGAGCACAAAATAGCTTAGTTCCCAATTTTTTTTTTTTAGTTCAGAAAAGGCGATTTTTAAGATAAAGATAGGAAGAAATAATTTTCTTAGAATATATATTATAAAACTGTTTCTTCACTAGATTGTTTTTGATTCAAAAGACTTCAATTCATTTTATTTTAAGGTACAATGAAGCGCATAATGGAGAGGGAAGCAACCCTGGCACCATGGCCCCCGGGTAACGGGGGGGGGGCCCCGACTTTATCTCTGACACTTCCCTTCTCCTGTAGTCAAGCAGGTGGGAAGAGTCCACACTTTGCTGAGGATGGGGGGCAGGGTCAGTGCGGTCAGGTGTGGAATGAGGAAGACTTGGGCATTGCTCCTTTTGCCCTGGACGAGAACATGTTTCAGCACGTAGAATAAGGGAAGTTCCAGATGCTCATCACCTGACGCCCGGTGCTTCCTGCCCACAGGTTCCCCTTCATGGGCCAGTCGGCGCCCGGGGCTCAGACGGGTGAAGGCCAGACTCTCCTGCCGCAGGTCACACCGCAGGTATTGTGCGCCGTCCCTCCGGGATGCACGCTCTCCTGTCCCCACCTGGCCTCTTCTGCAGGGCGAGTCCACTTCTGTAATGGGGGCCTTAGATGCTGGCTCAGCAGAAGTAGAGGTTCTTCCATTAGTTTTTCAGGAAAGGACACAGTAAGGTTAACCGCTGACAGTATTTTCTGAAAAGGAAATGGTTTAAGGGTAGGAAATCACTTGGAGGGAAACCAAAGGCGAAGGGTTTGGGGTGTTACTTTCGTCTGGCTTCAACTCCACAAAGACCTTCTCGTGTCCTGCATTTCAGAGGCAAAGCTGTTACATACAGCAGAAACTACGGATTATAGTAATTCTGTTTCGGTAAAGTCACGTTCTGCTATCTGTTCCTTGGAATAACGTAGTTGTTTGAATACTCACCATTTAAAATACTCCACTATGAGAATAAATACATATTTAGTGTCGAGCAGTGTCAGGGAAAGTAGAGCTGCCCATCCTGGCCAGCATCCGCCCAGGACACAGAAGGGACCTGCCCGTCCCTGAGGAGTGGTGTTCCCTGCCCAGCCGGCCGGAGTCTGCGTTGGTTGTGCTCGTAACCGCGTCCTGTTCACTGTGAGGAGAGGCGAGACCGCGCAGGCTGTGGGTGGAGAGGCCTCCTGGGTGGCTGTGTCGTCGGTGTGCCCGTGTTTTATGTGCACATGCTAGCGACACCAGTCTGTGGGGGGGCGACAGTCCAGAGTCCACGCTTCTGTCTTAATTACAAGAGAAGCTGGGCGGGCTTCACCCCAAGTGGGGTTGCGTGTGATCTCCAGGTTACACGCTGACCGGGCCCGACTTGCCCCGGGTTGTGTTTCCAGTGGGCAGCCCCTCACCGCGAACACGGTGGCTTCTCAGCTGAAATCCAGAAATTACAGCAGCTGAGAGAGAGTAAAATTTTCAGAAAATAGGTTGTCACCACCCCGTTTGTTCTGCTTTTTATTAAAAAGAGTTTTAAAGATGTCTTAGGAACATAAAGGGGTTTTTTAATCTTTCCATTTCTTTTTCTTTTTTTAAAGTTTTTTTCCTCTTGAACTGAAATGTGGAATAAACCTATGTGTAAATTTTACTTATTTTAGGACGGCAGTATAACACATCAGCTTTCTAGGCCTAACCCTCCAAATTTCGGTCCGGGCTTTGTCAGTAAGTATGAATCTCATAAGTTACCTGTTTTCGGGGACTGCTCGTTCGCACTATGTTTGTGTTCTAGAAATCTGGGGTCACTGCAGTTGTGGCTCTCGGTCCGAGTGTCCCCCTCTTTATGGAGCCTCGTCAGGTGTCTTTCCCTCGAGGCACGTATTTTCATTGCTTCTATTTCCTTCTCTGTGCATGAAGAATTATAGTTAGATAAGTATTTTAATAAAAATCATCTCCCCCACTGTCTTCAACATCGTTGCCATTTTTTTGTGTACGTAGATGACAGGTAGATGGTGTACTTGATAATTGGTAGAATCAAACCTCCTCTTGCTCCAGTGACAGTCTGCCTCAGTGACAAGGACACTAAAGGGGAACGACATAGGGAAGATGCTTAGAGACCAGCGGGGTTGGCCATGCGGACGCCAGAGCCCTGTCTCGCTGTCTCCCGGGGCCCCAAGATGGTTCAGGATAGAATTGAAAGTTCTCCCCAAACTGAGGCTTTCTGAAATCTTCAGACTGTTTAGCTAACTTTTTTTTCACCGTTATTTTTCATTTTGCTCACCTCTGCTCTCCTGGTTCCAGAAACCAGAAAGGCTTTCCTTGCGGTAGGTCTCATTCTACCCGAAGCAGAACTTCTGAAACCTTGTGAAAAAGCCTGTTCTTGGAAAATGCCCTTCAAATTTAGACTAGATTTCAAGTTCATACGTGTGCTGGGACTTCTGGGTTTAGGAACAACCCCAAAGTCCGACCCTTTCAAATTACCCCTGCATTGATGACGATCATGATTTGAACGTATTTGCATTGCAAACAAGTGAACTGCTATAACCAACTGGCTTTTTCTGGCTTTCCTATGCCCATTGGCTTTGGTGCATTCTTACTGTATGAAAATATTCTGTGATCGTTGATGTAATTTTTCAGCTGATGTCCTTCTTGGAATGGTACTTATTCTTTGTCTTAAAAGTGAGTCAAAAGGTATATTCTGCATTTCACTAGATGAGGTGACTTTCTTTTCTTTCTTTTTTTGGGGGGGCATCACGGCAGTGAAGGGCCCTGAAAGAGTAAGGAAGGACCGTTGGGGCAGAGGCAGAGACAGTCACTTTGGGGAGATGCCATGCCAGCCATAAAACTGGGAAAGATTGCACCGGGTTTATTATTCCCCATCTTTGTTTACTTGCAGAAGTACAGATTACAGAATTCCTAAAAATTGCCAGGGTTTTTAACGTACAGATTTCCCTTGTAAAACATAGACTTCGTACTGGTCCTTTCTGAACCGTTCTGTGTTCCCTCCCCCTCAGCGTAGGACGAATTTTCACCACTAAGAAGCAGGGCAACCCTTCGGACTTGTTAGCTCAGGAAATGGCACCTAAGCCATGCCCAGGAGTGTAGCAGGATACGTCTGTCTTTGTCTCTGCAAAGTCTGTAAATTTGACTTAATGAGATGCACACGTGGTTTCGGCAGTTTGTTTTTATCTGTTAGATAAAAGTCTGCTTTCCAGAGACTAGATTTATAGTCTCGATAAGTATGAACTTAACTCTCCTGTCCTAAAAACACGCACTCTTTGGTTCTCTCAGATACTTTCCTAAAACCTCCCACTCCGTAGCTATGCTACGGTCTAACGTTTAGCGCGGTGGTTTCAAAATGCCTGCTACCAGATCCTGTAAAAGTACATTGCCTTGCAAACTGGGTTCGGGGGCTTATCTGTTGGGGGACGCTGGGGAAGGCCAGCACGGTGAGTGTTCCGTTCTCTCCCCAGATGACTCGCAGCGTAAGCAGTACGAAGAATGGCTGCAGGAGACCCAGCAGCTGCTTCAGATGCAGCAGAAATACCTCGAAGAGCAGATTGGCGCCCACAGAAAATCCAAGAAGGCGCTCTCTGCCAAGCAGCGCACCGCCAAGAAGGCCGGGCGGGAGTTCCCGGAGGAGGATGCAGAGCAGCTCAAGCACGTGACTGAACAGCAGAGCATGGTTCAGAAACAGCTGGATCAGGTGGGGGGCCTGTCTGCTGCGCCGTGGGGCCCAGTGAGGGTCGTAGGGGCCTCTCACTGAGGAAGGGGGCGCCGCCCAGTCCTGTCCCTTGGCTGGTGGTCCCACAGCAGGAGCTGGGTGGGCTGCACTGAGCAGAGTAGCTCTTAAAGGCCTGACCCAGAGGAGTCCTTTTCACGCCCTGGGAGGGAGCCGGGCAGCTTCCAGTGCTTTTCCTGCCAGGGTCTCAGTGCTCTGGAGTGCAGAGCGCGCAGGGAGGCCCCGGGCACCCGCAGAGACTGAATCAGCCCGAGGGGAGTTTGGTCCCTTTGAGGTGACCTTTCAGCCATTGCCTTTACTATCCTGGTTTCTAGTGGAATCTCAGATACAGCATTCGAAGCATTCTGGTGATTCTTTCTCATGGCGTATTTTTTGTGGAAAGTACTCATTCTTAAAAAAATGAAACCATTCTTCCATCACAAATCAGTTGTTTCTCAAAGTGCTCATATTGAAATTACAGTTATCCTTAAAAAGAAGTAAAATTTTATTTAAAATAAGACCGTTAACAGTCCTGGCCAGTGTAGCTTGGTTGGCTGGGTGTTGTCCTACAGACCAAAAGGTTGCAGGTTCTGTTGCCAGTCAGGGCGCAGGCCTGGGTTGCAGGTTTAGTCCCTTCTGGGCGTGTGTGCAGGAGGCAGCGGGCGGGGGTTTCTCTCTTCTCCCCCTTCCTTCCCCTCTCTATGATCAATAAAAATAATAAAGCAGTAACAGTGTTCCAAATGGGCTAAGAGCCCACAGCTAGGTATTTACCCAGGTGATTTAAAAACTTGGGTCCACACAAAAACCCGTATACGAGTAATTACGGCATCTCTGTTCGTGGTCACCAAAAACTGGGAACAACCCACGTGCCCTTCTGGGGTCAGTGGTTGCACGAAGCATGGCATGCCCCACGGAGTATTACACAGCAACGAAAAGGAATGACCTGGATAGGTCTTGAGTGTCGTGCTGAGTAAAAGAAGCTAATCCCAAAATGTCATGTGCAGATTCCATGTGCGTGACACACTCTTCAAATGATGAAGCTGTGACGCTGGGTAGTAACCTGGGGGTTTCCCAGGCTGAGGGCTTCGGGGGGGAGGCTCGACCGCGGCGGTGTAGTGAGGGATGAGGGAGTTTTCTGCATCTTGCTCATGGTGGCAGCGACACTAACGTGTGTGTGAGGCGGGTGGGGGTGGGGGGGTCCTTCAGAGAATTGTATACCCAAAGAGTCAGTTTGGCTCCTAACTGTCCATTTTAATTTTTTTGAAAAATTGAAAAGTAATCTAGATGCTGATGGTAGAAAGCGGGGAGTTCAGAGTACTTTGAAAAAGTCCGGCGTGCTTCCTGTAGGGAACACTGTAGGAGACCCCCTGCTGAGGTTGGCGGCATCGCTGCTGTGCCCAGGAGGAGGCTGGTGATCAGTCACCGCGGAGGCAGGTGACGCGATCATTCCTCCTGGCTGGAGTGTGAGGAGCTCTGGCCTGGGCAGCCTACCCCTGTGCTGTCCCAGTGACAAGGGGCCCTGACACAATTTGTGATGTGAACCAGGCCTAACCCAGAAGGCAGGGTTTGTGTTCTCTCCAAACTTACTGCGTTGGTGTGCACTGTAGGCAAACATGCTCTTAAGCGTGGATATTTCCCAAAACATAATCACAGACCTCTCGTTGCCTTGGGGGGTGTTGTGTGGATTCTCTGTGATGGGGGCCTCATGTCGTGTGGTGCCCCTCCCCAGGGTGTCCTCTGTGGAAGCCAGCAGTCACCTGTTCCTGTGTAGCTGCCCACTGTCCGGTGTGATCTTGTTAGGATACTGATTGCGGATGGTTTTTTTAGAGTAGTTCCGAGTGTTGTGGGAACAACAGGGACCCCACTTTCCAGTTCTCAGACACTTTTCTGGGCGTTTTGTGTACATTCTTGCCACCTCCCCAGTCCTTTGGTGGCTCCAGTTCTCTGCAGTGACTGGTCAGAAAAGAGAAAATGAGGCAGCATCACAGCTGCTGGAGAACAGGTCAGTGCCACTGCGCACAGAGAACGGGCTCGCCCGCCGGGACCTGAGAGTCTGTGGGGACCACCGGTGTGAGACCCCTCCGCCTGCAGTCGGTGTGACTGGTGCACCCTCCCTCCCAGAGCTCGTCTCTTGCTGTGTCCTCACCGGATGAGCTTGGAGCACAGGTCCAGGGCACTGAGGGTTTGGGGATGAATCAAGTGTCACCAGTCTGTTAGAACCGTACTAGGAACTATTGAAGGTACAACTTCAGAGGTTATACAGAGTTCAGAAGTGCGAGCATGTTCACTCTTAAATGCAAGGAGTCTTCTAATCTAGTCTTCCCAACATGGGCAGCAGGGGTGGGGTGGGGGTGCCATTGTGTATATGGAAGAAATGAAATGCTAACATGTCTGAATGGTGGAGTTTGAGTTAAACCTCAGTTATTCTAACCTGGTGGGTTAATGTAACTTCTAAGGTGTTACAGTGAGCCAGTTCCTGTGTAGCGTCTGTTTATTGTTGGGTGTTTTTGTAGTTGGAGCACTTTAGGTGTGTGTACTATTCGTTTTAGGAAACTGTATGTGGAGTCTGATTTTGGTGTTTCGTATGTAGAAACGATTCACGGGTGGCTTTATGGAAGCCCTGTTGTTAGAAAGGGTTGGCGGTCTTCTTAGCATGTATACAACTTTCTCCAGTTTGTGCCGCTGCCTGAGCCACATGATGGCTTGTGTAAGACAGAACCACCCTGGGTGCAGCCCCCCGAGAGCCCTCGGCTGGGGAGTGCACGTGCACCTGCAGTGCACGTCCCTGAGTGGTGTCTCACTCTCCTTGCAGATCCGCAAGCAACAGAAGGAGCACGCCGAGCTGATGGAGGACTACCGCCTGAAGCAGCAACAGTGCGCTGTGGCCCCGCCCGCCGTCCTGCCCGGGGTGCAGCCCCAGCTGCCCCTGGTTCCTGGAGCCGCACCACCCGTCCTTGGCCAGCCCGGCTTCCCCCTGGTGGCCCAGCCACTGCCGCACACGACTGTCGCTCCCGGCCATGCCAGCCCTGTGCGGATGCCTGGCTTACCAGGATGGCAGCCTCCCAGCGCCCCTACTCACCTCTCCCTCAACCCACCCCGGATTCAGCCTCCACTTCCCCAGCTCCCAATGAAAACATGCACACCAGCCCCAGGGACGGTGTCCAGCGCAAACCCACAGAGTGGCCCGCCTCCACGGGTGGAGTTCGATGACAACAACCCTTTCAGCGAAAGCTTCCAAGAGCGGGAGCGGAAGGAGCGTCTCCGTGAACAGCAGGAGCGGCAGCGCATTCAGCTGCTGCAGGAGGTGGACCGCCAGCGAGCCCTGCAGCAGAGGATGGAGCTGAGCGCTAGGCCGGCCGCACCCCAGGCCCCGTTCTACGGCCCTGACCTGCCTTGCGACTTCCTGCAGCCCCCGCGGCCCCTGCAGCCGTCTCCTCAGCACCAGCAACCGGGGGGCCAGGCTCTGCAGCAGCAGAGCACACACGGGTCTGTGAGTTCGCCTCCCACGCCGAATTTCATGGCATCTGGCGAGCGGAGGCAGCTCGGACCCCCATCGTTTGTCCCAGACTCACCATCAGTCCCTGGCGGGAGCCCAAACTTCCACCCCAGTCAGCAGGCGCCTGGAGGTCTTCCCGGGGCCGGCTTCCCGCCATCGCCCGTGAGGCCGCCTTTCCCACCGGCCTTGTCCGCAGCTCCACTGGGGGCCGGCAGCAATCTGCCCTGCACCCAGGACCCTGCTGTAATCCATGGACAAGGTTACCCTGGCTCCGCTCAGTCTCTCATACAGCTGTATTCTGACATCATCCCAGAGGAGAAGGGGAAGAAGAAAAGAACAAGAAAGAAAAAGAAAGATGATGACACAGAGTCCACCAAGGCGCCGTCCACTCCACACTCAGACATAACGGCTCCACCGACCCCCAGTGTCTCCGAAGCTACCTCCACGCCCACTGTGCACACACCCAACGAGCTCCCTCTGCAAGGAGAGTCCGAGCCAGGGGAGGTGGGCGGCCCGTCGGCTCCTGGCATGGCAGCAGGCCAGCAGCGCACTGAACTGGAAAACAGCCTGCCCCCTGGTGAGTCCTCACAAGGAGCCCCGCATCACCCACCTTCAGCCACTGCAGAGGTGGACAAGCGGCCCCTGGACACACCTGCCACCACTGAAGAGGACAAACAAGAAATAGCTGAGCCCGAGCAGTGCCCGAGCCACGAGGGGCCTCCGCCGGAGGGACGTGCTGGGAATCAGGCTGCCGAAACAGCCGCAGCCTGTGCTGTCTCCTTGGGCCAGAGCCCTTCCCTTCCTGCCCGGGCCCTGGCTGCAAAAGCAGACGCAGGCAACGAACTCCTAAAGCACCTGCTGAAAAACAAGAAGGCGGCCGCCCTCGTGAATCCAAAACCCGAGGACGCACTTTGTGTGGAAGACGACCGTGCGAAGGACAGCAAGCCGGTGGGGAGGCCGGGCCCAGCCGGAGGGCAGGTATGTGCGGCTCAGGCCAGCCCCCGCTTGCTCTCGTTTGTGGGAGGGCACAGTGGCAGCAGGGTGGCGCAGCCTTTGTCCTCCGCGGTGCCGTTGTTCTCGTTTCTGTGGGCCCAGTGTTCAGACTTGTACCCATAAAGTCCGTTAGATGATAATTTGTTTACTCCCTTTTTCAAAGCTCAGAGACATAGTGGTGCTTTTCATATGTGACATGTGCCTGCGGCTGATTCGCCACATTGAGTCCATACAGCTGCAGCAAAGATGTAAACGTTTGCATGTCTTTACTGCCAGAAAACGTGTAGTACAGAGGCACTCCTGCTCGGGGACTGCTGGCGCCCCGGGTCACAGTGTGTCAGCCCCTGGTGTCACGCGGTCCCTCACGCAGGGTCTGGGTTACCTGTGCTGTTTTTCACATATCGGTGGTTAGCTTTTGCTTTTAGTTTGTACAGAGAGCTTCCTTGTAAACACGGCTTTGTGAGGCCCCAGCACCCGTGTTTCTCTGAACTTTCTTGAGACGGTCCTCAAACTGGGGTTTCTCAGACTGGGGTTGCAGCGCCCCAGCCTGGCCCCTTACTTCTGTGTGTTTGAGAAGCTGGGTCTTCGTAAGCTCCCCCACACGCTTCTCACCTTGGGTTTTATGATCTCCACCTGTTTAGTGGAACTGTACTTAGTGGTGGGATACCACGAGCTGAGCAGTTGCTGCCCTGCTTTGTTTTCTTAGTCTGTTGGCAGTTCAGTAGAGGGGGTGCTGGCCCCATGGATGGAGGTAATTTCTGTCAGTTTCACTGCAGGACACTTGTCACTGGCAGACAGATGCCCGGTCTGTGGGACCTGCAGCGCGGCCCCCCCTTCTTTTTCACATCCAGCAGTGTCTTTTTTACCGTCGGAAGCTCGGTTCTGGAGCTGTCTCCTCCAGGCACCCTTCTCAAACACCTCTTGGTGCCCTGTGCTCACGGCACAGCATCCACAGCGCCCTCTACCAGGATGGCCCCAGTAGGGCAGGCTCACCTTGGGGGCACCTTCTGCCCTCAGCACCCAGCACAGCACTTAGCACACAGCCAGGCTTCAGGTATTGCAGTCCCAATACTGGTGACTGTATGTTAAAAAATGGAGAGGGTGTTAGGGCAGAAGAAGGGATGACATTAACTGTTGTGTACGCATTTGGACTCTGTCCATGTTGTCATGTCCGTTTGGAGGGTGGCAAGGGGCAGAGACAGCCCTGCCAGGAGTTACGACCCCTCACCACTCCCCTGGCATTAGGCCGTGCTGGGCTCGTGCCCTGAGATACCACATACTGTCTCCCCACTTGACATTGTCGCCCTCCCTCCAGAACTTGGTTCCCCCATCAGGAGCGAGTTCAGGGCAGGACTAACATGCTAGAACTGCAAACCCACGTGTAAATAGCTCTCTCGTTTCTTAACCTTTCCAATCACATTAGCAAGCTCTGGGGGCTCAAGTGCAAGGTGGTTTTGGATGTGGCAACAACCAGCTGCCAAAAGCAGATGGAGGGGGCGAAACCAAGAAACAGCGGAGCAAACGGACGCAGAGGACAGGGGAGAAGGCAGCCCCTCGGTCAAAGAAGCGGAGAAAGGATGAGGAGGAGAAACAAGCCGTGTACTCCAACCCCGACACCTTCACCCACCTGAAACAGGTGAGCCTTGCCTGGTAGCCCCTTTGAAAATTCAAGGGCGTGGGGCCATCAGATGCTTACCTTACCCTAAAGTGTGAGTTGCAGGGATGAGGCACCCCTCAGCAAAGAGCCTTGATGGTGTCCCTGTCTGCACGAGTGCAGCTCGTCCTGCTGGCCCCAGAGCGCAGTGAAATGGCTGGGGCAGGGGGTGGTCAGCACCCAGAGACGCGCTGTTCGCAGTTCGTGGGATGGGACTCAGGCGCAGAGACGTGCAGCGGGGGGGTCTCCCCGCAGTCAGCTCTGGTCCTGCACCCTCGTACCTGCTGCCAAGGAGGGAGGGGCCGCCCAGCGTGCCCCTGGGTGCCTGGCCTTAGGCCGCACCCTGACCCTTGCTGAGCCCCAATAAGGAACGGGCTTGCTTGTTAGATGCCTGGCAGCGTCTCTTTAAAGACAGATCAGAATAGAGCTTATTTCAAAGTAGCTCTCAAAGATACTGTAGTCTCTCACTTATTCCAGCATTTCCATCCATGAAATTTTTAAGTCCAATTTTTCTCAAGCCGGTCTGACCAAGCTGCCTCGGGTCTTAGAACAGTTGAGAACCGCCCTCTGTTGTTGACCATGTGCATCACTCTCAAATGTGTTTTTCAATAGCAGCTCTCTCTGCTCCCTCTAATGGAACCAATCATTGGAGTGAACTTTGCGCACTTTCTTCCTTATGGCAGTGGCCAATTTAATAGTGGGAACCGACTTCTAGGAGCTTTTGGCAGTGCTACCCTTGACGGGGTTTCGGATTACTATGCTCAGTTGCTCTACAAGGTATGTTCCTCTGCTGCAGCGCCACCTCGCTTCCTCGCTGGATGCGTAGCCGCGCCGGCGGAGCGCGTGGCCGTTTTTCCGTCTAGTTCCCACCTGACCTCCCGCGTTCCGCTGAGACTCCAGTTCTGTGGACAGGCCCAGGTCTCCCTGCCGAAGGGTCCCGGACGCGAACACTTAAAATTTCTGTTCAGGAGAGAATTGGAATTGCGAAAAAATATCCAACTGTATCTCCATGGTGGAGAAAATACAGGGTGGGACAAAAGTAGGCTTACAGTTGGGAGTGCGCAAAACAGAGTTTATTCTTGTATAGTTACTTATTGTTGCCTTATTTTCCACACGGACAACCGTAAACCTACTTTTGCCCCACCCTGTATTTATTCCCCCATAATCTTTTTTTTTTAACTCTTAAAAGAAGTCCAAAGTCATAGTCAATAGTGAGGATAAAATATGTAGTTAGAAATTTACCCCCCAAAATTAAATGAGAACAACTTTTTTTTTCATGTTTTATTTAATTAGGTACTAATTGCAATTCTGCATTAATTCTTGCACTAGTAAGAGAATGTCAAACTAAGGCAAGTTTATCTTCTGGCATTATTTATTAAAGTTCTATGATGGCCTTAATAGACATTCCTTCTTTCACATCTAAGTCATGTAAAATGGGGTTTTTGTAACACTATTCGAGAGTGTCACCCATTTTTCCCCGAGGACTTCTCTCCCCCCTTGACTGTGAGAGTCGCTGTCCCGGGTGCTGGCTGTACTTTGTGGGGAGAGCCCAGCCTCTTGCCCCTTCTGCTCAGGCTCTTATCCAGCACGAGTTCTTCGTCCTCAGGAAGCCCTTGGTCTTGGCCAGACTTGCAGTTCACCTTGCACTTGATTTGCATGTTGTTATTGGCAGATCCCCACAGTCAAAAGTAAAAGACAGGCGGGTGACGAAGGTGCAGCAAGGGAGGCGTTCGGAGGGGTGTGACCAGCTCCGTCATTTAGTGTCCCTATTCCTGCTTTTGCTCCCTCGGGGACTCGAGACAGGCCAGGCTGCAACAGCTAGGACTCGAGTCGCGCTGATAGAAACAGGGCCACGAACTCAGGTTTTTTGTAGAACTGGGGCGTGTCTTAACGAGAACTCAGTAAAGGACTTTTTGAGCACTGGTGACAGTTCACTGCTCGAATTTTAAAGCTGTCCTTCACTGGCTGCAGCCACAGCCAGAGCTGCGTAGGGTTCCGTCAGGCACAGTGTGAGTCCAAGTCCTTCAGAGCTGAGTATGAGGTGGGGCCGAGGGAGCTGAGGGACATGTGTGCCCGCCCAGTCCCGACGAGTGCTCTTCCACCGGGAAGCCTCTCGGCCTGGGCCCTCGCTCTTCTTTTTGGTGTGATTAGAGAGGAATAGGCATCGTAATTGCCTTCCCGTAGCTTTGCTCCCCATGCACTAAAAATTCACAGAACTGTTTTAGCAAGGTCGTGGCTTACTTGCTCAGTAGCATGTAATTTAAAATTTTTTGGTCTCCTGCAGCAGAATAATTTAAGTAATCCTCCAACACCCCCTGCCTCTCTTCCTCCTACACCACCTCCTGTGGCTTGTCAGAAGATGGCCAATGGCTTTGCAACTACTGAGGAACTTGCTGGAAAAGCCGGAGTGTTAGTGGCCCATGAAGGTACGATGGAGACACCTCTGGCATGACGCCTTGCTGAGTGTGCCTTTGCCTGCGTGTGAGCTGTTCTCTCTGCCCTGCAGTTCTGACCCAGTGCCTTCATGGTCGTTTGTTCGCTTTTCCAGTTACCAAAAGTCTAGGATCTAAACCGTTTCCGCTGCCGTTCCGGCCCCAGGACGACTTGTTGGCCAGAGCCATCGCTCAGGGCCCGAAAACCATCGATGTGCCGGCCTCGCTGCCCACTCCGCCTCACAGCAACCTGGAGGAGCTAAGGTAGAAGGCTCTTTTTACGCCAATATTTTTTAGTTATCACATATTTCTAAGTAGGTATATGTATGTGTTGAGTGTAACACCTGCAGGAATAGCCACTAAAAACATGTAAGTGGTAACACTTGGTGAAAGATTTTCTTCAGAACTTAAAGTTTATAAAACATTTTGGCTACTGAATAAAATCAGTTTGGGAGTTGTTGAAATCTTACTGGCGGACGTTAAATAACGATGGAATAGACAACGAAGCCATGGGAATCTCCACGTCCGGGGTTGTAAAGGCACGGCGCTCTCAGCTGTCGGCGTGATAGGTGGGCTTCATTGGTGTGTGCGGGGTCTGCTGGGAAAGGAGACTGACTGCTCACGGGGGAGGGGTCGGAGGACTGTCCTGTCCACCGCTTTGTAACTTCTTCCATAGCTGTCAGTCCAGGTGCGTGACGGGGAGAGTCTGGCACCCCACGTGGAGGGCTGCTTTCTGACCTCCTGGGACCCTGCTCTACCCGCACCCCTGGAGCTGAGGACTCCCTTTGGACTGATCAGAGAGACGTCGTTCAGTCCAGGTTTCTCACTTGACCAGTGAGACAGCTGTGGACCAGAGAGAAGGAACTTGTTTCGACTGAGAACCCAGGTCTCCTTCTCCCTCACCTCACTGCCAGGGATGGCCCAGCCTGTGACCCCACAGCTGCCATGAGAGACGCAGGGCTCTGCCTGAGCCAGCCTCCGTGCAGGCTCAGTCTGGGGGCTGTACCGGGCATCTTCTTCAGCATGGCGGCATCTCTGGGTTCCTGGGATGTCCCTCCCCTTTTAGCCTAAGACCACACTTGCCCTCCAGCCTCCATCGCTGCCTTGGTAACCTCTAGCTTCCCAGGGCATTGCCGTGTGCTGAGAACCTCACGGCCACGCTGGTGGAAGGGGTGGGTGCGGGTAGCCAGGGCAGGTCTGCACGTGCCAACAGGTGGCACTGGTTCTCCCACAGGATGCAGGACCACGGGGCCGACCGGGACACGCCCGACAGCTTCGTCCCCTCCTCTTCCCCGGAGAGCGTGGTGGGGGTGGAGGTGCGCAGGTACCCGGATCTGGCGTTGGTCAAAGAGGAGCCTCCGGAGCCTGTGCCGTCCCCCATCATTCCGATCCTTCCCAGCACCGCGGGGAGAGGTAGGGGCGCGCCTGGTGGCAGCAGGTCCCCCTGGTGGTGGGTCCCTTGGCGGTGGACCGATTTGCTGGTGTTCGCACTTGGAGTCCGAAAAGAAGTGACACTCGGTCGTCCCTGTCTCCCTCCCTCCCGGTTTTCCCCCTTCTCAGGTTCAGAGTCCAGGCGGAACGACATCAAAACTGAGCCAGGCACCTTCTTGTTTGCGCCGCCTTTTGGGGCATCCCCCAACGGCCCACGGTCGGGCCTCATATCTGTGGCCATCACCCTGCACCCAGCTGCTGCTGAGGTAAAGCTCCCTTGGGCTCAGGAAGCATGATCTTAAAGCTGTGGCAGGCAGTGCTCACGAAATGTGCCACAGGGTTCTGGAGGGGGAAGGTCAAAGGCAGACTAGGAGTAGTAGTCGCTGCAGACATGCTGGCTGCTTTGGACCCTGTGAGGAGACATGTGATGGACCCCAGGCTCAGTCAAGGCTAAAGAGCCGAATGGAGCTGGAGTCCCCGTGTTGTGGTCAGAGGCTGCGTGCCGTGCACTCTGAGAGAGAGACCTTTGTCGCCATTTGCGGAGAGGACTAAGCAGTGGAAAACAGCTCAGACACAAGTACTGTGCAGGCAGCTGCTCCCCCAGTGAATTGCCAAGCCGGTGTTGGGTGCCTTCACTCTGTGAAGACACTTGACTGGTGACCACACTGGTTTGATGATGTGACTCGGTGGTGGTCAGTACACGGCTGGCCTGTGAGCCTGCGTCCCCGAGGCTGGCCAGCTCACTCCTGTGTTGTGTCCCTGCACACCGGTCTGACACGGGGCGACCTGAAGTGGCTCTGCACGCTCAGGTTTTCTGTTAACAGGAGCCCTTAACGGGAACTTAGTGCATGGAGACTGGACAAGGAGACTCGCCCTTCAAGTGGCCTTTGCCCTGAGGCTCTGGGTGGAATGGAAGCGCTGGGTAGCTGACTGGGCAGGTGTCTGCAGGCAGCCGCTCTCCCGAGGGTGACTGGGTGGGTGGCACAGGCTCACTGGCCTTTCTGTTCCAGAACATCAGCAGCGTCGTGGCTGCCTTTTCCAACCTGCTTCGTGTCCGAGTCCCTAACAGCTATGAGGTCAGTAGCGCTCCAGACGGTCCGTCCGTGGGTGTGGTCAGTAGCCACAGAGTGAACCCAGGTTTGGAGTATCGACAGCATTTATTTCTCCGAGGGCATCCACCAGGATCTGCGGCTTCCCCCCGATTAGCGAGTTCATTCCGGCTGAAGCCGCCCCACATGCCATTTCCTCCAACGAGCAATGGTGAGCTGGTTTGCACGTTGGCCTCGGGCTCCTTCTGTACCTGCAGGTCACGCTCATTTAAAGTCTCACTGCAGTTTTCAACATGTAGCAGGCAGCATCTTGGAGTCTAGACGCCAGTAACTTAACTGTGTTCGGGTTCCTGTGTCCAGTGGTGTGATGGGACCTCTGGTGCTGGGGGTGGGGCGGGGGGAGTGATGCTCTGTGCCGCAGGAAGCGCTAGAGTGCCGGCTGGGGCAGCTCGCCTGGAAGCATCTTCCGTTCTCTGCACGCCCAGACCTCCCTCCCGCAAGTGCCACATTGTGCCCAGAGGGCGGGGACTTACTCGCTTCCTTTCCTTCTGCTCCTTCCATCACCACTTGCCACGTCCTCTGTGCCATCTGCTCAGGGGCCGTTGTTTCCCGGCAGTGTGACTGTGCCTTCCCCGAGCCGGCTCCCTTCCTGTGTGTCTGGCCTGGTCTCCTCCCAACCCTGCTCCCACCACCTGCCCCCCTGCAGCCTTGTGGCCTGTTTCTGCCCTTGCGCTGCTGCCAGAGCCCAGTGGTCCCCGAGTCCTCGTCTCCGAGCTCTGGCTGAGAGTCGCCGGGGTTGGTTTTGAACTGCTAGCCTCTTGCTGCTCCTGCCGCCCCATCTTCCCCGCTGCCCTGCCTTCCTGCCATCGTGCCCTGCCCAGAGTCCCGGCTTTCCTGTCTTGGCTCTGGAACTCAGCTCAGCCCTCTCTGTCCACGTCAGACTTCTGACTCTCACACACATGCCTCTTCATCTCTCACGAAACGTCTCTGCACCATCATGATGCTCCGGGCACACCGCCCCCTGGCTCACCGCCCACAGACCGGGTGGGGACGCGCGCCATGTCCGTCTGCCCTCACAAGCAGCAGCACCACCCAGCTGCTCGAGCCAAGGGTACTCCCGTCTCTGTCCCCCAGGCACTCACGTTATAGGCACCTTGGCACCTTTGCCAGGAAGTTGGGGTTTCTGTGAAGTAGCCGCATGAGGCAGGTCGGCTCGGTGAGCTGCAAGGAGAAGGTGCTGAAGCAGTGTGATGCCAGCACCGCCGTGTGGTGGCGGCCACCTTCATCCCTGACAAGACTCTCGCCTGCAGGTCTGTCTGTGCACAAGGAAGCCGGTCACGGCGTGGTGGAGGGCGCGGCCCTCAGGACGCGGTGGTGCTGCCACTGCAAGGTGGTCATCCTGGGGAGCGGCGTGCGCAAGTCTCTCAGGGACCTGGCCTTCGGGGACAAGGTACTTGGACATCCCTTCTCCGCCCACCGGAAGTGTCCTGGACAGCACTTTGCTGTCCTGTCCTGGTGACCACATGGGACGTGTTCCCGTTAGTGCGTCAGCACGCATGTGGTGATGCCGAAAGCCTGATGGCTGCAGCAGACTCGCACTGGGTGTCTCGAAACATGTTTCCAGCTGCCGCGGGGTATGGAGAGCAAAGTGTATTTCTGTGTGTTCATCTTTTCTGAGGCCACACTATGTGCTAAATAGGCACATAGTTCTGTTTGTACCCCTAAGACAGGAAACTCCTTCCACCTTTGACGTGAGATGCCAGCTGACGTGCTGTGTAGATCTTTTGCTTTTTCCACTGGGACTTGGTGAGACCCCCACTCATTTCTCTCTGCTTTCCAGGATTCTCGCGAAAGCTCCAGTAGAGTGGAAAAGGACATTGTCTTCTGTAGCAATAACTGCTTCATTCTCTACGCATCGACTGCACAAGCAAAAACCCTGGAAAACAAGGTAACATCAGTCTAGTTTCAGCTAACGCACGGTGTGCAGGGAGGCCTTGTGTGTCCAGGGGACACTGGAGCGTAACACAGGGTTCCAGACGCCGCAGGACGGAGCCGGGCCAGTGCCGCTCAGGACCTTTCCAAAGTGCTCATTTAGCTTAACATAGTGCTGTTCCATCATGCACATTAATTCACTAGCCCCTCCCTGGTACAGCACGGGTCTCTCTGGATTTGTTCTGGGTGGAAAGGGGGGAGTGCAAGACGGGGAAGAGCAGCGCCCCTCTGGGGTTGGGGCTTCGGGGGGGAGGCCTGTGGCAGACGCACCCGCAGCTGCCTCTTTCCCCAGCCCCGTCTCTACACGCGCGCGCACACGTACACGCACATGTAGGGGTCTATGTGGACTTCCAGGGGATGGGGCCTCACTGCTTACCACACACTCAGGCCCCTGTGCATGGGTCACACACATCAAGCCGTGTGGCTTTTAATTTCACCAAGCGTTGCTTTCAGAGCTTGCGAACTGCCCTTCTCTCTGTCGCACAGGAGTCTGCCCCTTTGCTGCCCCAGTCGCCTGTGAAGGAGGCACCGTCCCGCGCCCTCCACCAGTACAGCGCCAATGTGTCCGCCCTGGACGTGCACTGCCTGCCCCAGCTCCAGGAGGCCGCCTCCCCCCCAGCGTCACCTCCCATCACCTTCCCGCCTGCATTCGAAGCAGCCAAAGTCGAGGCAAAGCCAGATGAGCTTAAGGTCACAGTGAAGTTGAAGCCTCGGTTGAGAACCGTGCATGGCGGGTTTGAAGACTGCAGGCCAGTCCCCAAGAAGTGGAGAGGGGTGAGGTGGAAGAAGTGGAGCGTTCACATCGTGGTCCCCAAGGGCTCCTTCCAGCCCCCGTGCGAGGACGAGATCGACGCGTTCCTGAAGAAGCTGGGCACCTCCCTGAGACCAGACCCTGTGCCCAGGGACTACCGCAAGTGCTGCTTCTGTCACGAGGAGGGTGATGGCCTGACGGACGGACCGGCGAGGCTGCTCAACCTTGACTTGGACCTGTGGGTGCACCTGAACTGTGCCCTGTGGTCCACCGAGGTCTACGAGACCCAGGCGGGTGCCTTAATCAACGTGGAGCTGGCCCTGAGGAGAGGCCTACACATGAAGTGCATCTTCTGTCACAAAATGGGTGCCACCAGTGGGTGCCACAGGCTGCGGTGCACCAACGTTTACCACTTCACATGCGCCATGAAAGCACAATGCATGTTTTTTAAGGATAAAACTATGCTTTGTCCCATGCACAAACCGAAGGGAATTCACGAGCAGGAGTTGAACTACTTCGCGGTCTTCCGGCGCGTCTACGTGCAGCGGGACGAGGTGCGGCAGATCGCCAGCATCGTGCAGCGGGGCGAGCGCGACCACACCTTCAGGGTCGGCAGCCTCATCTTCCACGCCATCGGCCAGCTGCTCCCGCAGCAGATGCAGGCATTCCACTCCCCCAAAGCGCTCTTCCCCGTGGGCTACGAGGCCAGCCGCCTGTACTGGAGCACGCGCTACGCCAACCGCCGCTGCCGCTACCTCTGCTCCATCGAGGAGAAGGACGGGCGCCCCGTGTTCGTCATCAGGGTGGTGGAGCAGGGCCACGAGGACCTCATCCTGAGCGACTCCTCCCCCAAAGGTGAGAGCGCCCACCGCCGCTGCCCCGCTGCCAGGCTGCGAGCCCTGGTGCTTTCCTCAAACGCGTGTGCCTTGCTTTTTAGCGACAGAAGGGGTTTCCGTTTGCAAGTGCGGACCTGAACTTCCTGTGAGCATAACTTGCTCTTTGCCGTACAGTTTCCTAAATGGTTGCTAGACCTCCCTAAACCAAAATATGCAGTCACACACAGAGTGGATTAAATAGAAAAACTTGTTGGTGGTGGTTGCCGCCATTTACATGGGGGACCCTCTTCTCATTGTCACACAGAGGGCACACCACCGGGCAAGCCGATGCTGTAGGTCGTCTTACTTCAGGGGCACCAGATGTCACATTTAGAGCTAGAAAGTAGACACTTAGTTTTGGCCTCCGGGGTTAAGTCTGGATGTCACTGTCACTTTGGAGTAGAAAGTACTTGGTGCCCTGGCAGGTGACTCAGTTGGTTAAAGCATCCCAATGCACCCAGACTGTGGGTTCAGTCCCTGGTCAGGGCACAAACAGGAATCAGCCAGTGAGTGAGGGAAGTGAAAAACGTGTGTGTGTGTATGTGTGTGTCTCTCTCCCTGTCCTCCTCCCTTTTTCCTTCTAAAATCAATAGGTTTTTTTAAATGTATGAAAATGCTCTAAAGATGATTCCAATAGAATTATAAATTTCATGATTTAATTTACATCTAAGGTGAAAACCCTTTAGAGATAGCAGTAACTGGACGTTCTAAAATTTAGCATGTTACATCATCAGCATGAAGTTGAATTGACTACTGGCATAAATTTCAGTTGTTTTAAACACTCCTTTTCACTTTTCCTGCTTAATGCCCTTGACACATCCCCCTGTCTGTTCTTCCTGATGCCAGGGTCTCTCCGACAGCCTCTGCTGGCGGCAGCGTCCGGGCCGCGTCCGGCTTGGGGGCTGGGGCGCCTGCGAGGGTCGGTCTCCTTCCTGCTCTGGGTCTCAGGCTGCATCCCACTCGCCTCTCTGTCGAGCTAGATTGTCTTAGAAACTTTTGTTTTTGGTCTTAATGTAGGCGTTTGGGATAAAATTCTGGAGCCTGTGGCCTGCGTGAGGAAGCAGTCCGAAGCACTCCAGCTGTTCCCGGCGTACCTGAAGGGGGAGGACCTGTTCGGCCTGACCGTCTCGGCGGTGGCTCGGATCGCGGAGTCAGTGAGTGCAGCGCGAGGCGGGCCTTTCCCGGGGTCACCCCGCTTCGAGTGCTGTGGCCCACGTGGCCGGCGATCTCACACAGGGCTCACGTGCGGCGTCATGACCTATTGGGGCGGCTCAGCGAGGGTTCGAGTCCACCTGGGCAGGCGGCCCGTGCAGCGTGGGGCTCCTCTCCCCACGGCCCCGAGCTCCCCTGCCCTCAGGACTCTCACGTGCTCGTCCCTGGCCGGGGGTCCGCGGCTGCCGTCAGGCGACGGGGCGGGAGAGTGCACGTCTCCCCTTGGTGGTCTTTCAGGGTCACATGCACGTGTGCCGATCAGTCTGCCCTCAGTTCTGGAAAACTGAGTGACGATAAGCGCTTTTTTTCCTCAGTAATAAAAACTCCCTGGTGGGCTTTCTTGGGAGAAGCAGAGAACCCCAAAGCCACTGAGCAGCAGGCCCTGTTGCTTCCTCAGTCAGAAGGCCCGGCTGCTTGGTGTGTCTGTTGTATCTGTCGAGAGACAGGAAAGCCCTGGACCATGTAAATCATTGTACAAGTCACCCCGAGGTCACCCCCATGCTCCGGGGGAACCGAGGGCGGCCGTGGCACCATGTCATCGTCAGGTGGAGAGTAGTGAGGCACCGTCACGAGAGTGACCTGTTTGACTGTTAACTAAACCTACATTTTAAATTCCAAAGACTTCAATGTTGCCAGTAACCTGGGTGAAAGAGCCACGTGTGAACCCGTCCACTCCCCACCCCCCACCGTCAGGGGAGGGTGGTGTCTTGGGTCCTGCCGCCCCACAGGCCCGCACACAGGGTGTCACCGGGTTCTGCTCTGACACCAAACTCAGGTGTTTGTGCCCCAGTGCGGAGTGCAGGCCGAGCGTGTTATTCAGTGTGTTTCGAAAATGCGTTCTGTCCACTCGGTGGGGCCTGATGGGCCTCGGTCGAGTGCGTGCGCCTGTTGTGCTTCCTTCCAGCTGCCCGGGGTTGAGGCCTGTGAGAACTACACCTTCCGCTACGGCCGGAACCCCCTCATGGAGCTTCCTCTGGCCGTCAACCCCACAGGCTGTGCCCGGTCCGAGCCCAAGATGAGTGCCCATGTCAAGAGGTTTGTGTTAAGGTATTTTGTTTTAACTTCACATAGTACAGCCCAGGGTTTCTTAGGCGTATTAGTGGTTTTTGTGCTTGATCCGTCTGCCGCTTACAGACCCTGCCGTCCCTGCTGTGTCCGCCCGAGCACACCCGAGACCGCGCCGCGAGGCTCCGCTAGGCAGCTTTGCGTGTGTGCGCTCGCCACCGCCAGTGGCGTCCGCCTGGCTCTGCGCGTGGCTCAGAGTTGTCTTCACTTCTCCCTCCTCTCTCCCCGTGGCACGCCCCGGTCTGCAGGCCACACACCCTGAACAGCACCAGCACCTCCAAGTCCTTCCAGAGCACGGTCACCGGGGAGCTGAACGCGCCTTACAGCAAGCAGTTCGTGCACTCCAAGTCGTCGCAGTACCGGAAGATGAAGACCGAGTGGAAGTCCAACGTGTACCTGGCCCGCTCACGGATCCAGGTGGGAGGGCGCCCTTGTCAGGATGGGGGGGGACTGGGGCTGGGCCAGGCCTGCCGGTAGGGGAGTGGTCCCCGTGTGTGTGGAGGGGCCGCTCGTGGTGTGGGGTCAGGTCCCACCCCCACGGGCTGGTCGGTCTGCAAGACAAGCGAGGGCACCGGCAAGTGGGGAGCTCTCCGGGCCGCGAGCCCCCACCCGTGCTGTGGTGGGCCCTGGCCTCCGTGCCCGTGCGTGCACTTGGGCACTGGTGAGAAGAGAACAGCCCGATGAAAATAGTTTGAAAAGGAGCTCCCATTTTGGAGGCTGTGTTCTGGAAGCTTCTCCCGTGGTGGATCCTTGTGGGGCTGGCACAGGCACAGCCGTCTGCAGGCCTCCGTGGGAACGTGGGCCGTGCAGCGAGCGTCCCCCCCGGGAGTTCCCGGTTGGGGTTCGCTCTCCGATTCCCGCGCAGGCTCGGCGGCCCCTGACCAGTCCCCGCCTCCCTGTGGGCAGCACCTCTGCCCGCCTGTCTCTCCCTCCAGAACCAAAGTCTCACAACAACACTCCGTGGTCCACCCCCGCTCAGGCTCCTCCTGTTCCTTCGATGGAACACTTCCCTCCCTACCGGAAGATTTTCCAGTCTTTCCATTTACTGTTTGGGGTTTTTTAATTGTTGCTTTCTTAAGATTTAATTTTTTAGAGAGAGGAGGAGGGGGGAGGGAGGAAGAACAGGAAAGGAACAAATGTGTGCAAGGGAAACATCGATCGGCTGCCTCTTATGCACCCCCAGCCAGGGACTGAGCCCCCACCCAGGCCTGTGCCCTGATCGGAAACTGAACCAGCAGCCCTTTGGTTCACAGGCCGGTGCTCAACCTGTTGAGCCAGGCCAGCCAGGGCCTGTTCTTTATTCTCGATATTCGGGCGTTTAACAACAACGCACCTGCGTCGGGGTCGCGTTGATGGCTGGTGCTCCCACGTGGTGAGCCTTCTCAGTGCAGCAGCAAGGCCTTCAGTCTGAGCGGTGGCGTCACGTTCGTTCGTCTGTGAGTCCGTCTCCCCGTTGCACACGACGGGTGCACACTGGACCCCTCACACCCAGGACCCCAGTCTGGACCCCAGCCAGCAGCACCAGCTGCCCCAGGTCCCTGTTAAGACCTGTGGGTTTGGGGCTGCTGAGCTGAAGGCCAGGCTGCCCTGCAGTCGGAGGACCCCTGGCCCAAGCAGCCCCCTCACCCTCCGCTCTGCTTGCTGTGTTTTCCCTCGGGGACTTCTGCTTCCCTGCTGATCTGGTTTGTAAAGGGGCCGAGTCTGGGCTCCGGTCGCCTCTGTCCCCCGTTTCCCGGCCGCGTGGCCAGCTTTCCCGTTCTGCGTGTGCGCATCGCCGGCACTTCCTCGCCGTCGTCACAGTGGTTCCGTGGCAGCCTGTGTCCACTCTGTCGTCTCGACCCGAACGCGCTTTTCCTTGGGCTCCCTCGGTCCTGTCGACCTCCCGGGCCCCAGGCGCCCCACACCTCCTCCTCCACCTGCGTGTGTGAGCGCGGGTCCGCGTCGTCTGTGTCTCTGCGTCGGTCCCACCGGTGCTCGGTCTCCTGTGGCCACCTGCCCTCATTCTCTTCCACGGCTCTGGCTCCCGTGGGGGCACCGAGTGGAAACTGACAGGACTGTTTCCCCACGGACGAGCGTGTCCTTTGCGTGCAGCTTCTCCCAAAACCACCAGGGCAGCCCTGTGTCCTGTGCCGATCCCGGTGGGCTGACCCCCTCGCTCCCAGGGGTCCAGGTCTCTGCAAATCCCCGGGCGCTTCTCCTTGAGGTTGGCCCCGCTGCTTGTCTGCAAAGGCTGCAGCTGCGACGGGACCCGGCCCCCGCCCACAGCAGATGTTACGGCGTCTTTGTCGCCAGAGGCCGAGTGTGGGTGGTGCTGCAGGTTCAGGCTCGGACGACTGGTTTCCCTCATCTGCCCGGGGTCTGCTCTGCATGAACTGCATGTGCATAGCTGTTGCCCGTTGGTCCGGCAGTGAGACCTCGCACGCAGTCAGATGTTTGCCCTGCGGAGTGGCCCTTGCCGACCAGGTGTGGCGTCTGTCTGCCTACAAAGGAGGTGACTTCCTACAGTCAGACACACAGTCTCCTCTCCCGTGTGTGTTTGAGACAGCGGCTCATGTGTTGCCTCTCGGAGCTCACGCTTCTGTGTGGGAGACCACACGGTGGTGCTGCTGTGAAGACAGCCCTGGGGGGGCACTGCCCCGTCCAGCTGCACCGGCCCCTCGCACGGTGCTGCTCCCGGCCGGCTTCATTCGCTGCTGGGTCCTGTCTGGGACAAGTGGGTAACCGCTTCCTTTGTTCTTCCAGAAAGTAATTCATTTCATGCTAACACAGGCCTCCCCCTGTGGTTCCCAGGTGGTGCCTGCGGAGGAACATGGCAGGGGCGTCCTCGCGGGTCACAGAAGTCCCTAACGTTTCCGCTGCAGTCGGGGCGGTTGCAGTGGGGCGTGCGGAACTCAAGACTCGGAAACGAAAGTTCGAGTCTTCTGGGCCCATTGCCCACGGTCTCTCTGGGCGCTGCTTCTCCAGAGTCTGCGGCACTGACGGACGTGGCCTGTTGGGCTGCCGTCGCACAGGGCAGCGTGTCAGTGTTTCTGTCGATTCCTGTGCATTTCGTCAGCAGGCTCAGAACTGGACGTCAGGGGTGTAAATGGATTTTCCCAGGAGCCGTTTTTCTTTCCAATGTCCTGATCGTTAAATTAGCTGCCCCTGTTTCACTTTCTTGCTCTAGCGTTCAGGAGCACATCACCAAGTCTGATCTGTTTGTGGTCTTGTTGATGATCCCTCACGGTTGCCCCTGGGCCTCCTTCATTCCATTTGTGGTCATGCCCAGTCCCTGTAAGAGCCACGGGGGGGGGGGGGGGGACCAGGCAAACCCCCCAGGGCCGTTGGGCAGTTCAGCCTGTGGGATCTCCTGCGGAGCACCAGGGAGGTGAGAGCACCTGGTCAGAGTGGGGCAAGCCAGCCAGCGGCGCTGGAGTCCAGTGCGGCCAGGGCACAGGCAAGGCGGGGGCAGCCCTCAGGCCATGCGAGCAGAAAGCGGTCACTGACTGTGGGTGGCACCAGCCACGTGGCTGTCGATGGGGCCTTTGTGAGGGAGCCGGCCCAGGCTTGCCGTCTGAGAATTGGGCACTTTTGCAACACGCATGCTCCCCCCACAGGGGCTGGGCCTGTACGCCGCCAGGGACATCGAGAAGCACACCATGGTCATCGAGTACATCGGGACCATCATCCGCAACGAAGTGGCCAACAGGAAGGAGAAGCTGTACGAGTCTCAGGTGAGGGCCGCCCCGGGGTTGGCTGTGGCTCTGGGCTCGGGATTGAGCAAACGCCATTTCTGGAGGTTGCGTTTCCTCCTTTTGCCCGCTAGTCGTCTCTTCCCAGTCGGTGTTCTCCGCACAGGCGTGTGCGGGTGTGCGAGCTCGTCGATCGCCGTTGGTGGCGTGTGTCTGAGGCCTGCTCCCGCTCACCTGCGGCGGAGCCTCCCCCGTGTGGACCTGGCCGCGGGGCGGGGCTCTGAGTGGCCTCTTTTTCAGAACCGGGGCGTGTACATGTTCCGCATGGACAACGACCACGTGATCGACGCGACGCTCACGGGCGGGCCTGCCAGGTGAGGGGGGGCTGGGCGCTCACGCGGCGGCCGGGGCCGGGGCGGACGACTCGGGGCCAGGGGGTTTCAGAGAGCTGTGCTTCCTGGGTGCTGGTTCTCGTGCTGTGGGCGGATCGGAGTGTGCGTGGGGAACAGCTCACCCCGTGAGCTGCAGGTTTTTAAAGCTCCCGTCGACTTACCGTTTTCTGAACGGCGTTTGCAGGTACATCAACCACTCGTGCGCCCCTAACTGTGTGGCTGAAGTGGTGACATTCGAGAGGGGACACAAGATCATCATCAGCTCCAACCGGAGGATCCAGAAGGGAGAGGAGGTGAGGGTGTGCTGGGCGCCAGTTGTCTGGGTGCGGAGGCCGGGGCGCACTTCCCTTCACGGGGCCGCACCGCCGTCTCCTGGTTTCCCGGCGCCTTGCTGGGAGCAGCCCCCGAGTGGCGGGCCACATTCCGCCATGTGTGATGCTCTGCCACACGGCTGTGCCGAGCGTTCGTTTATTTGTTCTCCCGCCCTGTCTGCACGTCCCCTCCTCTGTTCCCACGTCACTCATGGGGCGTCATTTTCTGCACCGCAGGCCCCTCCACTCCCCTCCCCTGCTCAGAGTGTGGCAGGCACCTTCCTCTAAAGATCAATTCTGGCCTTGAGCAGATGGCCACAGCCTGTCACGCCGCCTTTGCCTCGGTGCCCTCAGGACCCCTGCTCTCGTGCAGGGGGGTCCCCACAGGGCTGGGGTCGCCTGCGCTCCTGGCTGTTCACATCCACAGATTTTTGAGCAGTTTGGCTACTTCATTATTTTCCCTTTCCTTCAAAATGCTGGACGCTGGCCTTGATGCTTGTTTCTCTGGTCTCACGGATGACAGTTAGGACTGTTGTTAGTCTCACTTGCCCATTGGCATCCCCAACTCTGTCCGTCCTGGCGTGGCCAGCACACGCCGTGTGGCTCCTTGCTCCGGAGCAGGCGTGGACTGCGGAGCTCCCAGCAGGCTGCTCGCATGTCTGCAGGAAGCCGCACCCCTGGCTGGGGCCCCTGGCCCACCACGAACGGGGCTGCGGGGCTCTGCCTGAGTTTTTTGGTCATCTTTTTGGAACCCCTTTCTGAAATCGGGAACTGGCCCAAGGCCCGTTTTGACATGTTGCCGTAACTTGACCGGTCACTGAGAGAACGAGTGTGGGAAGCCCTTGGGCGCCGTGAGTGCACCGGTCTCCGCTGGAGTCGGGCACCCGGGAGCTGTCCCACGGGAATCCGCCCACTCCTGGCCGCCGGACCGCGGGGCTGCTCTGAGGGTTAGTGACTCCGCTCGCCCTGCAGAAGGGCGTCCGTGAAACCTCTTTCCAGGGAGGAGCAGTGGAGGGGCAACAGTGGTGGGAGGGCGAGTCCTCCCAGCCCAGCTGAGGGGCCCATGGCCCGTGGGGGGAGGGGCGGGGACCCACCCATGTGGCCCACCTGGCCGACCTGCAGGGACAGTGAGGTGACAGTGCACCCTTCCTCGTATCTGGTCTGTTCTGAAAACACTGTTGCGTCCGTCCTGTCCCGTCCGCACCCCCCCCTGCACCCTCCCCCCTGATTTCCTCTGTTCCTCTGGGACCCCAGGTCAGCTCAGCCAGGCTCATTCCCTTACTCGTTCTGGAGGTTCCCCAGCGCCTCCGGCCCCTGCGGAACTCAGCAGGGCGGGTCTTGCTGTACCTCTGTGTGGTGTGCGGGTTGTGAGCCCTGGGCGGGTGCAGGCGGCCCCCACCTCTCCGCTCACCCTGTGTCTTTGCCGTGGGCAGCTGTGCTATGACTATAAGTTTGACTTTGAAGACGACCAGCACAAGATCCCCTGCCACTGCGGAGCGGTCAACTGCCGGAAGTGGATGAACTGAGCGCGCTCCTGGCTGTCTCGGCGGGTGGCTCATTCCTAGGAAGAAGCGACTCAACACACCGTTCGGATTTGGCAGCAGGAAGATTTTTTTGTTTTGTTTTATGACTTTGAAAACTAACTTCTGGGAGTTCTGAGTTCCTCGGTCCTTCAGGCAGAGCGGCCCCGGGACACCGACGCGAGCCGCTGGCCTGGCGCGGCCGAGGTCGGCCAGGATTTCGGAGTGGTCCAGCACTTTTTCTTTTCCTGTCTTCTTTTTTCTTTCTGTGGGTGGGTTTTGTTCTGTTTCGTTGTTTAGTCTCACTAAGGAGAAACTTTTACTGGGGCAAAGAGCCGACGGCTGCCCTGCCCCGGGGCAGGGGCCCTTCCTATGAATGTAAGACTGAGATCACCAGCGAAAGGGAGACGTCCAAGTGCTGGCCACGGCCTTATCGGAGACAGGGGCAGGCCCTCTAAGTTCAAGTTTTCTAATGCAGTAGACACCACTGAACAAGGAATGTACTGAAATGACTTCCTTAGGGATAGAGCTAAGGGATAATAACTTGCACTAAAACACATTTAAATACTTGATTCCATGAGTCAGTTTATTGTAGTTTTTGATTTCTGTAAAATAAGAGAAACTTTTTGTATTTATTATTGAATAAGTGAATGAAGCTATTTTTAAATAAAAGTTAGAAGAAAGCCAAGCTGCTGCTCTTACCTGCAGAACTAACAAAACCTGTTACTTTGTACAAACATGTAAATATTTTGAGGAAGAAAATACAATATAAAAATAGTTATTGACCAAACGCTACCAGGCCCTGCAGCAGCTCGGGTGCCCATCAGTGTCCACGGGGATGTCACAATGGAACTTTGTGTCACTAAGTGCGCCATTATGATTCTGTAATAACCAAAATTTCCACCTGGAGTGTTCGGGGTTTTTTGGAAACTACAGTCGATTAGGACTCCATGTTTTATACACCTTCCTTCTGATAGAACGGCCGCGACGGCCACTTTTGTAGCTGTTTTGGTAATTCAAGCCGATTTTTTCCTATTATATTGTTGCATCCCTGCTCCTTCAGTCAGGTTTTTTGTGCTTATACTTTGTGATAACTGTGAATAACTGCTTCAGAAGACACCCAAATGGAGGCTGAGTTTTTTTCAGCAAAAGTAGTTTTGATTAGAACTCCGTTTCAGGCCACCAAGAATCATGTAAACGTACTAGGATCGTGCAGCAGGGACTCGGCTCTGACTCTCCGGCCTTCGGTTTAACACAAACCTTTGGGGAGGAAGCGGAGGAGGAGGACGACACACGACCAGGCCGGCCGCTGCAGGGCCCGGCCAGGGGCTCTGGAAGATGTGATTTTAAAGTGTGTTTGTATGAATTGTTTGTTTACATTTCTTTAATAAAAAAACACACTGTTTTGTGTTTGCTTGTAGAAACTTAATCAGCATTTTGAACCAGGTTAGCTTTTTATTTTGTACTTAAACTTCTGGTACTGACACTTCACAGACTGAGTATATAATGAAGTTTTGTGTGCACAATTCAAGTGGGCTGTGAGCTGGTGGTCCATTCAGTGACGCAGTTCTGAACTTGTAATGTATATGGCATGATGTATTTTTATCTTACAGAATAAATCAATTGTATATATTTTTCTCTTGATAAATAGCTGTATGAAATTTGTTTCCCGAATATTTTTCTTCTCTTGTACAATATTCTGACATCCTACCAGTATTGTCCTCCCGGGCTTTTGTTTTGTTTTCTGTTCTGTATAATAGTATCTAATGTTGGCAAAAATTGAATTTTTTGAAGTATACAGAGTGTTATGGGTTTTGGAATTTGTGGACACAGATTTAGAAGATCACCATTTACAAATAAAATATTTTACATCTATAAAAGCCACCTGCGTGTCTGTTCACCCCTCTGGGCTCCAGTCTGAGCTCTGGAAGGGACAGCGGCCCAGAAGCCCCCAAGGCCTGGGCCCGTCCCGGGAGCCTGGCACGCAGCTGAGTCACCTCGGGGCGCTTCCCAAGAGGCACAGACGCCGGTGTGTCTCATGGGGACGGTCCCTTCCTGGCAGGTGAATGAAGAAGGGGGAACTGCAGCCTCTAATTAAGAAATATCTGTTATGCTTTATTCCCTTGTTTAAAGTCCAATTTTGTTTAAATGTTAAATTTTTCTAGCTTTGTTGCATGTGGTAAGGACTTTATGTGGTCTGTAATACTGACAGTATTGAACACACTTGCTCAGAATCCCCCTCGAGATTTATTTTTTTACCTTAGTTAGAAATGTTTATTGCATTTTAGGAAGGAAGCCGAGGCCTTTTATGTGTTTCATTTTTTCTGTTTTCAGTAAAACTGCTATGTATGATGTTAACTGCATTTTACTTATAAACCTTTTTATTTTCCAGCTCCAGTTGGTCTGTACAGTACTATATTAGTTTCAGGGGTACAGCACAGTGCTTGGATGTTCTACGGTGACCGTCCCTGTCAGTCTGGTACCGAGCCGATGTCACTCAGTCACTGCGGTTTCATCGGTTGCGTTTTCTTGGGCTGCGCTTTACGCACCGCCCCCCCCCCCCCCCGACTGTTTTCATCGCTGGCAGTCGGTGCTTTCCGATCCCTTTTCCTTTTCACCCCCCCCCAACCCCTTTACTTTCGGCAGCCGTCTGTTTATTCTTTGTGGGTTTGTTTCTGTTCGTTCAATTATCTTGTTTCTTAGATTCCACGTGTAAGTGGCACTATATGGTACTTGTCTCTTGCGGATGGACTGCAGTTTGCGCACCGTCTGGGCCCATCTGTGCTGCCACAAATGGTAAGGTTCCACTCTTCTTTACGGCCGAGGCGTGTTCGCGCACCACGCCTTCTTTATCCACCTGTGCACTGGCCGGCACTTGGGCTGCTTCCCTACGTGGCCGTTGTAAATAACAGCAGTGATGAACATGGGGTAGGGGGGTACATGCATCTTCTTGAACTTGTGTTTTGGGTTTCTCTGGATATATACCCACAAGTTGAGTTGCTGGGTCATAAGGCAGCTTTTTAACTTTTTTGAGGGCCCCCGCCTTGCTTTCCGCAGTGGCTGCACCAGTCTGCAGTCTCCAGCAGCACACTGGGGTTCCCTTTCTCCACGTCCGCACCCGCGCTTGTTGGGTGATTTGCTGGTGGGGGCCCTTCAGACGGCGGGGTGGGGTGGTCTCATTGTGGTGTGAATTTGCATTTCCCTGTTCATGAGTGATGCTGAGCCTCTTGTCCTGTCTGTCCGTCATCTGTGTGTCCTCTTGGAAAAAAGGTCTGTTCAGTTCCTCTGCCCGTGTTTTAAAGAGATGATGTTTGGGGCGTTGAGTTGTATGATGTAATAGTTTTATTCTAGAAGAAAATCTTGGTGGGGTCTTTAGGGTTCTCTGGAGTATGTCCCCTGCAGATACAATTCTGCCTCTTTCCAGTTTGGATGTGTTTTGTTCTCTGTGTGGCTAGGACTCCTAATACCGTGTTGCAGAAAGTGGTGATGGTAGACGCCCTTGTCTTCTTCCCGGCCACCAAGGAAAGGCTTTCTCAACCTCTCCGCTGTGGGTGTGCCACACACGGCCTTTGATGTGTCGAGTTTTGTGTCCCCTCTGGTCCCGCTTTGAGGAGAGGCTTTACTGTAAATGGATACTGGGTTTTGCCAAATGCCTTTTCTGCCTCTGTTGATGTGATTGTATGATTTTTACGTTTCATTCTCTTCACGTTGCAAGTCATGTTGATTGCAGACACTGAACCAGCCTTGCTCCCTGGGAGTGAGCCCCAGGGATCTGCGTTGGTTGCTGTCCGTGCTGGGCGGGGCTCAGCAGGAGGTTGAGGGCTGGCTGAAGCCGGCTCCTGCCTGTCCTGGGTTCGTGGGCTGAGGCTGGCTGCTTGTGTGGAAAAGTTGCTGGAAGGGGTTCTAGTGAACCGTGAATTGGGTGTTGGGGAACCAAGGCGGAGCGGTTGAGCGGCATTAGCCGGGTCTATGGCGACTCGGACTGGGCGCCCACCTGTGTCTGGCTGGTGGTGCGGGGCGTCGGCGGGGGGCATCTCTACAAAGGAACACTGGCCAGCACTCGTGCCCTTGAGAGAGGGGCCCTCCCTGCTGGCCCTGCAGCCCTCACCGTGAAGTTTGTCCACCTGTCTCCTCCCCACGTGTCCCTGTCACTTTGGGAGTGTCCTTGCTGTCCTGGAGAGTACGGGTCTGTCACTGAACCGGTGCAGGCCCCCCTGGAGACCCGAGGTGCCGACGTCTCTAGCAGCCACTGTGTCTCTGGGACGCGATCCCTGCTGGCCTTCATGGCCAAGTGCCGCTGGGGATTTCTCTTGCCGGCACTGGAACCCGGGCTGGAGCGCGCTGGTGTGGGGCTGGGACCCCCGCTTGTTGGTGGGGGCCGACCCCCCAAAGCCGAGATGACCCTCCCAACTTTTATGAGGTGCGTGTGGGTGCCTGCACTGGCCTGCTCTTCACTTCAGCCCCTCCTGCGTGTTGGCGTGGCTTCTTTGTGCCCTTGGTCGTAGGGCTTCCTTTCAGCTGGAGGTCAGAGAGGCCTCCCTGAGGCGACACTGAAGGGAAGCAGAGGGACGGAGGCAAGGCCCCCCTGGTGTGTGCAAGGGTCCCGAGGTGCAGGAACCGAGAAGCAGGCCGGGCGGACCAGGGGGATCAGACGGAAGCAAGCGAGAGCCAAGCTGCAGGGATTCGGAGGATCCAGGAATGATAGGAGGTGACGGGAGTCGCCACCGAGACCCTGACCTACATACAGGAGGCGACCTGTGCTGCTCCTCAGAGGAGGGGGCAGCTGGGCTGCAAGGCGGAGACACGCGACCCAGTCTCCCGAAGGACGGCCCCTCGTCTTCACCCCTCCTATGGGCCTGTGGGATTTTACATTTCACGGTTACATGATGCCGGCGTGAAGAACTCCTCCTGAAAGGTTGCCTCCTCCAGGAAGGCCCAGCTCCGCGGGCATCCCTGGCTTCTGTGCTGTGAGGACAGTCGGCCTGACACCAGCACCCTGAGACAAACCCGTGTTAAGCTTTCGGAGGCCCCCAGGCCATGCCGACGCCTTCCAAAGGCCAGACGCCCCTCAGTGGGAAGAGCCGGGGCACAGAGCCTCTGCGCCCAGGGGACCTCGCCTTCCAAGTGGCTCCCGAGCTGCCCCTGCAGTTGGTCTTCTCGGTCCCACACACTGAGTGATGCGCTCGTTGGTTTTTGTTTTGTGCAGAGAAGAGACCTCGACCTCCTGCCAGGCTGACGCTCTGTGAGCACAGCTGTCGGGGCTCCTTTTGCGGTGGTGTTGCCGGCCCTCGCCCGTGACCAGACGTGTGAGGTGGCTCCTACCAGACTGCAGGGTCCCCGCCTTGGGCTGGGGAGCTGGGTGCTTCTGAAGCAATGAAGCGAGACAGTCCCCGCACAGCATGGGCAGCCTGGCATCACACCCGTCTGCTGTTACGGTGACCAGGACGGGCACCGGGACGTCGGCCTTGCACCGCTGGCCCACCAGGCACATCCCCCACCACCTGTGGTTCCAGGAGGTTGCTTATGGCTTCTAGAACCTTCCAGAATGGAGCCCACACCCGCCCAGGGAGGAAGGCGGAGCAGCTGCACACACGGAGCGCGGGTCTCCGCTCCCCATCGGTGCTCCCCGGGCAGGTTCCTAGTCCACGCGACGCTGCGGAGGCCCCCAGGTCCGAGCCACCTGCTCTGGAGAAGACGCCCCCCCAGCTCCACTGCGGGCCACGCCCCGCCGTCCCCAGGTCTGGTCTGGGTTCTCCCCGCCTGTGGCCTTGTGCTCCAAGAGCTCTGTGCACCCAGTTCTGCCTGGGCCACAGGAAGGTAGGAAGGGCGTCACTTCTTTCCCTTGGAAACACACGTCCTTGCGAGCTCACCGTCCCACCCCGGGGCCGTCACCCACGCTGTCATTGTCCTGCTCCCTCCCAGCCCACGCTGAGGCTCCAACGTCTGCCCTCTCCTGGGGCCCATCCTCCCATCTCCTGCCTGCTGACCGAGCCCAGTGGCATGTGGATGTACAGGGACAACTGTCCAGAGGCCTCCCTTCTCCAGACCCAGGCACAGCTGCAGCCTGTGAGTTCTCCGTGCCCTGCCCCGTCCCCGTGAAAGCTGCACCTCAGCAACCCTGTCCACTTTCTTCCCCAAAGCTGCCCACCGGTGCTTCCTGACTCTGGTCGGCACCTGCTTTGCCCACCGGGTGCCCACCGGGAAGACCCCGCCAAAGGCCCTGCTCCGGCGGCCGCTCTGCCCCACCTGCTCCAGCTCAGAGAGGTGAGTGCCCCAGAGAAGGCCTTCCTTCTCTTCCCTAAGGGGCGCCCTGGGGTGGGGGGGCAGTTTTCGAAATAAATACCTTCTCTTGACGCTAAATGAATACTTGTATAAAACTGTTAGATAATGTTTTGTGATTAAAATATCTCTATCCTTAAAAGCAAACGATCAGGGAAGGAAGACAAACCGCAGGAGCTGTCTGGGTAGTTCACAGTGTTCTCGCCTACGTAATGCTGTGATGACTCACTGTGTTGTGCTGTGTGCGGTGCGCACATTTGGCCCAAGACTTTAAGGGTGAAATAAGGATGTGTCTTATACACGGGCATAATAATCCCGCGTATAATGCGGACAAAACTGGGTGCGTGTTACACACGGCAAAGTACGGTGTGTTCAGATGTGTGAGCCTCAGTGCATCACGGCAGTTTACTGGTCTTTCAAAATAAAGTTTGTTGGAGGATAGTTTTAGATTCGAAGAAAAGTTGCAAAGATAGAACAAACTCCCGCCCCCCCCCAGCTCCCCTCACTTGACTGGGACCCCAGGTGTTCAGTTGGAGGACGTCCATCACGTAAACCACAGACCTGGCTCCAATTTCACCCGTTTTCCAGCCGCTCCCTTTTCTGTTCCAGGGTGTGATCCAGGACGTCCATCCCAGGGTCATCGAGTGTCTCGTTTTTCATGACCCGGACAGTTTCCCTCCTTATTCAGGTTTTCCTCTAAAATGTTGCGCCCACTGAACAGGTTTATAGCAGCTCTTTCAGGTTTCGGCCTCTGCTCGTTCCCTTTCACTTCTGGCCTGTTCACCCCATTGCTGACTGACGGCCTGGTAGCAGTTTAGTTTTCAAACTCCTCTTTATATGGTCCCTTCCTGCAACTGAAGGCTTCTTCCCAGGTTCGGACGAGCAGGCTGCATTTGGGTCGGTTCTGAGCACGTGCCTTTCTGGGGCCCCCGTCCTCCCCCCCCGCCCCCCGTCACCTTGACCTTCCCCCACCTGACCCACGTGTGCAGACGGGGCTCAGGCACAAGGGCGGTAGCGGGGGACCTCTCTGTCCAGACTGCTGATGGCCGGATGGGGCAGTGTCACGGGGTGGGGGGTTGGACTTACTCGTCAGTCCTGCCGCCTGCGGAACCTCACGTCTGTCCCCGAGGGGGAGAAACCTGGGTGTAAAGGAAGGGGAGGCGGACCCGAGCACAAAGGAGTGGGTGGACGGGCCAGGGCACAGACGGAGGAAACGCCAGGGTTGCGTTCATGCCTCAGGAGGCTCGCTCCCGCCTCTGGAACCTTCCGGGTGGAGCGGAAGTGCACAGACCCGAGTGGCCTCGCCCGGGAGACACTTTCCTGGGATGGTGGTGGTGGTGATGATTGGTGGACTGGCTAGTTATTAATGGCTAAGTGTCATTTATGTTGACGAGCGACCCAGGCCGGGCGCCTGTGCAGGGGGGCCGGTTGCCAGTGGAGCCCAGCATGTGGTTGGAGGGTAGAAACTTCCAGTCGCCCCTCCTGACCTGGGGGGAGGGGTGCGGGGCTGGGGGTGGGTCCAGTCCCCAGTGGCTGTGATGTCGGATGCAACGGGATGCAGTGTTTCATCCTAGCGGAGGCCTGCTGCCGTCTTTGTCCTTGATTTTGTTGCCGCCACGAAAGGCAGGATTGTTTTCTTCTTCCAGACGAGCGGGTTTGGTGTTTGCGGTTATCAGACCTGTTTACCGCACAGACTCGAGACTCTGAAACGGTCGATACCCACGTTGCGTAAAGCCTGACACGTTAACACCTGGCGCGTCGCCATGATCTCTGGCCCAGGAACGGGAAGCCCGGTCATTCATGGGAGTCTCGTGGCACCCAGCAGGGGGCCCCCAGGGGGCCGCGTCAGACCGAGAGCAGCCTGTGGCTGTGGCCGACTCTGCTCGTTGCTCCGTGCATTTTTCAGTTTCCCGTTACAGGCACTAAGGTCAGAACTGAATTATTTTTAAAACCTTACTTGCCTGCCCTAACGTCACAAAGACATTCTCCATCCTGCAGTTTCCTTTTGGAGATAATTTTGGAGTGTGGCACGAGGGGTCACCCTGGTCCGCAGGCACTCGAACCCCTCCCAGCACCACTCGTCACGAGGCTCCGCTTGCCTGGGAAGCCACCCCTCTGCTGGGAGCTGGCTGCCCGCAGGGTGTCTGCACCCCTCTGAACGGCCTGCAGGTTTGGACTCACCTCCCCCCGTTCACCCCTGCACCCCGACCTGCTGTCCCCATGGGCCTCTTCCAGAGTGTCGTCCAGCTGGTCGGGGACAGCAAGCAGGTTTTCAGATCGGCTCTTTTCCCTGGGTGACGCGTGCTCAGGTCCCTCCACGTCTGCATGCGGCAGGCCATCCTGGTTCTTTCCAACCATGAACGATGCCCTGCTGTCTGAGTGGTCCACGGTGTGCCCACCCACGCACTGAAGGACGTCCAGGTGTGGGCAGTTAATGAGGCTGCTGTGAGGGTTTTGTGTGGCTGTTAAGTTCTCAGCTCCTCCGGGGAAATCACCCGAAGCTTGGCCGTTGGGTCGGGTGGTGAGAGCGGGTTTTGTAGACACATGTAGTTTCATGAGAGATTATCCCAAACACGTCCCCCACGGCGGTGCCACTCGACAGTCCCACCAGCAAGGAGAGAGAACTCCTGTGCTGCCTTTGTTATCCGTGGACTCTCGGAGGGAGGCTGCCATGCTCTTCACTGATGTTGGTAGTTTGGTTTTGTTGTTTTTTTGTTTTTATATTCTTAATCCAGGGTTTTGTTTCATTGACATTCTGATTTTCCACTTCATTCTGGTATTTAGTTCTTCTCTTCCTGTTCCAATTATATTTCTTCTGCTTCTTTGCTCTTTTCCTATTTTCTAAGGTAAAAGCCTAGCTCACTGGTCTGCAGACTCTTGCTAACCCTTCCTCCTAACGGAGGAGGCTCAGAGCTCCGCGCTTTCCCAGTGCCGGTGGGCTGCCCCGGTGCCCCTGCTGTGTGGTAGCCGAGCTCAGCCCAGACTGTCCCTGGTTTCTGCATCGACCCACGGGTGTTGGGAAGGTGTTCCTGGGTTTCCAGGTGGCTTCCTTACTGTTGTCGATCAAGTTTCATGACTCAAATCTGTGTAAATTGAGGCTTAAGATCCCAGGACATAATCTGTCTCGGTAAACGTGTCCCGTGTCCTTGGAAAAAGTAACAGTGTTCTGGCTGGGGGGTGTCTGGTCCAGCTGTTCTCACCCTGGCAGCCGCGAGCCTGTTTTACTGCTGCCGGGACCCTCATGAACCTGAGACGCCGCCCGTCCGGAGGCTTTGGTGGGCGGTTTCCTCCCGGTGAGTCAGCCCTTTTACGGCCACGAAGCCACTGCAATCGCCGGCAACAGCTGTGTCTGGAATCTGCTCTGATGTTAGTACGGCTGCTCCAGAGGCCTCATGGTTAGTGCCTGACACGCACATCTCTTCCCATCAAGCTGGTCTGTGTCACATTGAAAGGGCGTTCCTGGAAGGCAGCGTGTGGTCGGGCCTTGAGTTTCTCTCCGGTCTAACACTCTGCCCCCGACTGGGGCATCCGCTGATCTTGCGTTTAAGTCCGCTGCTCGCTTCTCTTTGTTTTACGTCACGTCCCCGCCGGTCTTTGACGTTGAACGGCTGATAAAAAGTTTGGGGTGCAGATACGTTCTTCTCCCACACGTCCCGAGAGGCTGCGTCAGTGATGGAGACCCGCTCTGTGCGGGGGCAGGTGAACGCACAGAGCCGACTCCACGTCGATCCTCTGATGTCATGTGTGCTCGCGTGTCTGTACGCGTAGAAACCCCGACCTCTGTACCCAGCGACCTCCGTCACAGCTCTGCCTGACGCGTCACAGATGGCCTTCATAGCAAGTAGCCAAATTCCCGTCCTTCGGCCCCAAACTCACAATTCAAGCTGAAAGTCGGAAACCCTCCCCCCACCACCCCCGACTAGAGCCGCTCCAGAGCACGCAGGCCCGTCGGCCGACCCGGCTGTGCTTCCTGGGACACACCACACACAGGGCGGCCCAGACCGCAGGCTCCACCGCACAGAGGGCACGTAATTGAAAAGATCTTTTATTTTAAGTGTGCATAGTACCACAATTAATCAAAATAATTTATAATAGTCAACTGCCTTTTAAATATGATCTATAAATGATGCTGTCTGAAGTTAGAATTAATGTGGATTCAGTTTGTTTAAAATGAACCGTCTGCTATGAAGTCTTCTAGGGAAGGAGAGTGTGACCAGCCCTGATCGGACAGACACCATTCCATTGTCAGGGGACTGGAACGAGCGTAAAGGACCTGGAGCAGCCCCAGCAACGCCGGGGTCTGGTCCCTCTGTGGGAACCCGGCTCTTCACATTCAAACCGCATTCTGGTTTCCTCCGTGAGCAAGAAATTCCTCAACAGCCACCTAGAAGTGACCTCAGTGTCTCGGTGGCACCTGATTCCTCCCATCCTGACAGTCACCCGGTGCTGCCGCCACCTCCCCCAGTCTCCCCAGGCCGCCCCCCGGAGGGACAGGCCGCTCGAATCGCCATCACAGCACGGGGTCCACCTTAACTTTCCAAGTGCCACTGCTGGGAGGAGGAGCCGTCACAGATCGCCATAGCAACCAAGCCTCTGGGACTCCGTGGGTCCACCGCTGTCAGGCACTGCCCGACTGACACCTGGTACAGCCGGTTCTTCTTCTGGAAATAAAAAACAAAAGAGGTCGCTCAGATACCGCTGGGCAGTGGCAAAGGGACACAGCCAACCAGAGGCCACGTGGAACGTTGAAGGTCCCTCATGGGGACGCTACTAGCTCAGAACCCCCTTCCACAGGCGGACTACACATCCACCTGCCCCCGCCCAAGCCGCTGCTCACCCCGAATGTCCACTGCTGGGACCCCCCGGACCCGTGGCATTTCATGAGTCGTGGGGGGTCCGATGATCGCGTTTCCGACATGTCCAGGCAAAGTAGATTACTTAAGACTAGTTCATGCTCTTCATTATAGATCCAGACCTAAGGAAGAAAATGAAAGATCAAAACCGAACTCCTACCCACAGCAGCCAGAGAAGACAAATCAAAAGCATTCAAGTTGGACAGGGAGGAGGAAAACTCATCATTTGTAGACGTGGGACACTGTGCCCAGAAAACCCGTGCGCGGGGGCCTGGTGTGCGTCCACACCTCCACGACAAGGGCTCAGGGAGAATTAACCCCGTTCGTAACGGCACTGGAACAAGGGGGTGCCCGGAAATAAATCCACCCAGAGAGGAGAGAACTGCACGACACTGACGTGAAAGCAGAGGAAAAAGAACTGGACCCTGTCAAACTGAGGAAGTTTTCTGAATGGCAAAGGAAACAAAACGAGGAGACAATTTACTGACTGGGAGATGATCTTTGTAAATGACACATCTGAAAGGGTTCATGTCCAAGAAAATATAAAGAACTCATACAGCTTAACACCAAACAAAAACAAAACCACCCAAGTTAAAAATGGGCAGATGCCCTGGCTGACGTGGCTCAGTGGCCTGAGTGCCAGCCTTCAAACCAAAAGTCGCCGGTCCAGTTCCCAGTCAGGGCACAGCCTGGGTTGCGGGACAGCTCCCCAGTAGGGGGCGTGAGTGAGGCAAGCAACTGGTGTTTCTCTCCCTCCTTTTCCCCCCTCTCTCAAAATAAATACATAAAATCTTTTTTAAAAAATGGGCAGAGGAGACCCGAGTAGACTTTTCTCCAAAGAGGACATACAGATGGTCAACAGGTACGTGAAAAGATGCTCAGCACCACTAGTCATCAGAGAGATGCAAATGAAGACCACAGTCAGCTCTCACCTCACACCCGTCGGGATGGCCGTCATCAGTGAACCGACCGGTGCTGCTGAGGATGCGGCGGAAAGGGACCCCAGGGCCCTGTTGGTGTGACCTAAACTGCTGCGGCCACTGCTGAAAGCAGTATGGAGTTCCCTCAAAAACATCACCAGCAATCCCACTCGTGGGTGTTTAACCAAAGAACACAAACAGGAACCTGAAAAGCCATCTGCACCCCTTAACAGCAGCCGGGACGTGGCAGCAGCGGAGCTGCCCCCGCTGGGCATGTGTGCGATGGGCTCTGACTCCGCCGAAGAAGAATGGCACCTGGCCCCCCGTACCACGGCCCGGGTGGACCTAAGCAGGGCCTGTGCCCAGTGAGTGGGTCACAGTGCACACGACCCTTTGACCCCACTTACACGCAGGCCCACCTGGTTGGGGTCGCTGTAGTCACACGCCTTCAGCACCACGAGGCCTCCCTTCTGACTCGGGCGGCCCTGGGCCCCCAGACACTTGCCGGTCTGCAGGTGGTACAGCTGTGGAAAGAGAGAGCGCCCGTGAAACCTGGCATCGGAGGAAGACCAATGCTAGACACGGCGGGGGTCGGGGGGAGACAGGACAGCATCAGCCAGAGGTGCGGACCTCCTCCCCCAGGTCATCGGAAGCATCTCCACTCCTACGTTCCAGCTGCAGTGCACAGAGGCACTGAGCATCCTTCAAGTTTGCAGGCAAAGTCAAAGTAGACATTCCACCTAAAGACACAGGCTTACTTATCTCCCGGAGGGAAGAAAGAACATTAAACTGTCGTCTGTGAACTGAACAGACACTGGGGAAGTAAGAACAGAAGGCACAGAGCGAACACGACCTGGTTCAATACAGAGCACAAACGCTACAGGAGTCCAGATGCTGAGATGCACAGATGCAGCCAAGACGGCCTTGTCTCAGTTCGAGGCCTGCGCCCAGAACGGAGCCAGAGGAGCTCGCAAGGCGAGGACAGTCGTGGCGAGGGGCTCAGCTACACAGACACACGCCGCCCCTGTCCTCACTGAAGTTGGCAACACCTAGTAACATCATCTTGATGGTTTTTTAAATCTTAGAAGACAAAACGAGAAGGGGAAGCTGCTGGCTTCTCGCCAGCCATCCTGCAGTGGAAACCAGGCCACAGTTACAGAACCTGCACAGCCTTCAGAAAGCGAATTCTAACAAATGACTTAGGGAAAAGGCATGGGTTTTTCTGGCTAGGCCCCTAAGATTTGTGTGATTATAAAACTGTAGAAATTCTGCCCTGGCTGGTGTGGCTCAATGGACTGAGAGCCAGCCTACAAACCAAAGGGTTGCCAGTTCAATTCCTAGTCAGGGCACAGGCCTGCATTGTGGGCCAGGTCCCCAGTCCAGGGTGCGCAAGAGGCAACCACACACTGATGTTTCTCTTTCTTCTCCTCTTTAAATAAATAAGTGAAATCTTTGCAAGCGGCAACAGGGAACACATGAGCACAGGTGGTCGACCAGCAGGGTTCCCGCTCTGTGCAGGTGGGAGTCTGGCCGAGCACCAGCGCTGAGACCGCGCCCTCTTGCCACGCTCCCTGTCTGCAGTCGGTGCCCAGAGTGAGGCCGAGCAGTAATCTGGAGCTGCCCCAACCTCTCCTTTTCTTTTGCTCATTGGACAGGTTTCTGCCCCGTGCACTGCACACTCACACTGCCTTTTGCACCCGCACTTCACCTGTCCTCTCAGGAGCAAGCGCGTGACTTAGAGAAGCCAGAAGTCACACTCTCACGACACAGCAGGAAAAGGGTCCTAACAGCAAAGATGATATAATTCCCAAAGTCTTAACCTCAGTAGAGGAAGCTCCTAAGAACGTAGTGGAAGGCAAGCTCTGGTCCACCCGCAAAGATCCGTTAGGTCTACAGTGCCCGTGTACTTTGTCGTACGCCTTTGATGACGCGCCTCGCCAGACACCCCGCTTACCCTGCCGCGCTGCAGGACTCTGGGGCGTTTCGGCCCTCTGTTGACGAAGAGGGGCTGCTGGGCCCTGGCGTGGGGCCCTGACGTCTGCATCTCCGGGTAGACGTTGTCCAGGTACCACCTGAACGACTTGCAGCCCAGCTTCCTCCGCAGCTCCACGCGCTCACTGACGTTCCCGTAGCTCCGGGTCCTCAGGTCTGGCCTCAAGGAGAAGTACTGCTCCTGGGGGCGAGAGGGTCCTCGTTAAAACCAGCGCCGTCGGGTGCCCCCGAGGAGTTCAAGGATGAGGGAAGAAACGGGTCGCGAGCAGAAATGCTGCCCATGCCACAGCTTTCTGGATTCCGACTGCAAATGTCAACGGGAAGTTGTTACGCAACGAGGCCCATGACTGCCACCGATAAGAAGACAAACTGTAAGAGGCGCCCCTTTCACAAATGGCAGCCCGTGAGGCCGGCACCGCACACTGGTTCTACCCCGCATCTCAGAGGCGATGCGCCAGGCCACGTGTGAGCCCGGTGGTCCACACGCCCCCCGACGCCAGGGCTCAGCCCAGAAACGCCGTGGGCTCCCGGGAGGTTCTGTGTGTGCCTGTGACACCGACTGCTGTCTACCGAGTTAGTGAAAATCCAGGAACTGAAACCACTGAAGTCACTAAAAATAGACTCACTACCCACTGACATGACACACTTTGGACGCATCACCGAGCGAGGAGGGTGGCCTGCTCTGCCCGTCTGCAAATCGGGTCCGAGGCTGAAAGAGCCCGGCGGACAGACCCTCAGGTCCGCCCGTCTGTCACGTTCACGGAAACACACGGTTTACAGTGGGCGTGCTGGGACAACTCTCAGGATCACGCCGTCCCCTGCTGGCATGTTAACACTCAGTGCAGGCCGCTGCGACGTGGACCGCGAGGTCATCGCTCTGGGCCTGTGTTGCTGCAGCAAGGCCTGCCGGTCCAGCCCACCTTGCTCTTGGAACGGATCTGTGACCCGTGCGAGACCCCTGGGTCTTCCCACACTGGTCGCTTGGAAAATCGTGTCCCGTGACGTTCTTCCAAGTAGGTAAACTTCCGTCTACGCTACCCAGAGTCCACACCACAAACGCACCTGCTGCCCACGCCCCACCTGCAGCCGAGCACCGTCCACGCACGCATGCGGTGTCGACGTGGTGAGTTTCACACATGCTGCCCACCCAACCGCGAGGACAGCAGGGCCCAGTCGGCCAACCTGGGGGGACGCTGGGCCCCAAGAGCTCAGTCCAGTGGCGGGAAGAGGGCAGGGTCCTGCCTCTGCTCCCCACGTCCAGCGTTGCTTTGTCCTTGTTACTCCCGCGGGACACGCCATTCCACCTGCATGCCCCCTGGTGTCACGAGTGACAGTGCAACTCTGTCATCTCTGTGTCCCCCAGACCCAACGTAGGCGAAAAAGACACTCCTTTAAGAAAATTCAATGTTTTTTCAACACACATAAAATGCACATGAAAAATGACAGTGGCATTTTCATTACAGAGAATGGAACTAAGGCAAATGTCCAACTCACAAAAGGATAAACAAAACATGGTGCTGTCACACAATGGAACGTCACTTGGCAATAAAAAGAGACTGACACGTGGCACAACCTGGACGAACCCGACGCGCCCGTCTGAATGGAGACGGGGGGGGGGGGGGCCCACAAAGGCCCTGTGCCGGGCGGCCGCGTCTGAAAAGCCCCAGTGACAAAGTGAGGAGGCAGAGTACTGGTCACCTGGGGTGGGGGTGGTGGTGGCAGCTGAAGGAACAACAGTTTCTTTGGAGAGTGAAGTGATAAATGTTCTAAAAAAGTGATTTTTGAATCAAACCTCAATAAAGCTGTTGCCCAGGCAATGGTGCTGCAGGCTGCTTCTGGGGGGGCAGGAGGGAGGCCGCAGGGGAAGCCCGCCAGCCACGGGAGGAGCCAGGGGCTCTGGGAGCCACGGGGACTGAGGACACGCGAGAGAAACAGAGTTTCTTCCGCCGTTGCCCGTCTCGGTGATGACTGGGTGGGCACGCGGAAAACTGCCAAAACAGTCCGAACAAAAGACAGCGACTACTGGGCGAAGAGCAGAGAGGGAGCGCCCGGCAGCAGAGGCACGCGCACTCGTGCGGGAACAACTGCGGAGCCGCCCGCCCGCTCACCTTGTACTCGTCCAGCCAGACGTGCGCCAGCCGCAGCGAGTTGTGCGTCATGGTGTCCTGGCCTTCCGGAGAGCCGTAGGGCCGCCGCTTCCGGAAAATGTGCCCGACTCTAGAGCAAGGGATGATGAAGAGTTTACCGCCACACATCCAAATCTGGTCAGAAGCAAAACACGAGTTAATGTGGTTGCCCGTGGAGCGGGGAGGTCGGTGCGTGCGTGCATGCAGGGTTAACGAGCCCACACTCTGTGAAGTGGGCGTCTGGGGGGCTTCGCCAGGTGTTTTATCTAGTTCTCTGTCAAAGTCTGAAATGATGCAGTGTTCTCTTACTGCCGTGCGTCTGAGGTCTGCTTCCCACGCGCTGTCCGAACAGACCAAGGAGCTTGGTCTTCAGGGCTTAGGGACATGGCTCACTGACGGGCCCTGTAATGCCAGTTTTACAGGAGTTTTTCATAAAATATGTTTTTTAAATAAAATATGCAGAATAGGTCAGTATTCAAGAGATCTCAGATCTGGTCTAAGTGTTATTTCTTACTGAGTTGTCTTATACAGTTACTTTAATTTCTGTGGAACTCAGTTACATTTTTAAACTAATATCTATTATTCCTTTCGACTTTAAGATTCTAAAGATTGTGTAAGAAGGGACTACCTTTTAAAAACACGGTGCTCGGCATGTTTGCAAAACTACTACACAGCACGTGCACAAGACATGGGGCTGTCATCGAATGTGCACCCCGCTCTCCTGCCCTGGAGGGGGCAGTGGGGACCCGTGTCGATCCCCCCCCTTCCTCCGTGTGGAGGTGCACGAGTGTGCACAGCATTCAGTAAGCAGTGCGTGGGGTGATGCTCTGTTTGTCAGGTGAGCTGGACCACTGCTGGGAGTGGTTTCTAGGGAAACAGGTGTGCGCCGGGCAGATCTGGTCCCAACTGTGTCCAGCAAGGACGAAGGAACATTAAGTTCACATTAAGTCTTGTGCTAAACCGTTCACAACCACTGCTGCTGACATTTTGAATGGACACTGTCCACATCACAGATTATGGCAAAGTGGCATTCACTGAGGACAATTTCTTAACAAAGAGAACGCACAGAAAATATGGGATCACAGACATACACACACGACCAAGCACGTAAAAAATATAAAATCACCCGAAACGAAATCTCCAGGTTCTCCCCGCCCCAGATGTCCATGCCGCTGTCGTACCGCCCGAGCTCGTCAAAGTAGCCCCTGTTCATGGCGAACAGCCCTCCGGCCATCGTGGGCGACCTGGAAAGGCAGGTGCGTTCTGTCAGTCCCACACGGTCCACTTTCTTCTTGTTTGAAAAAGCTCAGTGTCCTCTGGAGCATCACTGGGGAAAACTAGGTTACCTGTTTAAAGCACTGAGTCTAACACCAGGAGTGAGCTGGCCCACTCAACCCCACTGTCCAGGTCAATAGCGACAGGCTAGATAATGGGTCATGAAGGCCACTTTCCTAAGAACCATGGCTCTTTTCTTCATTATAACCATGGGTGACAGACGTCCACCTGCCGTGAATTACGTAACCCCACCTGGCAGTCTCAGAGCCTCTCGGATGAAAACGACTCCAGGGCCCCAGAGTGAGACCAGACAGCTCAGCCACTTTGAACTCGACTCAAAGGTGTGTTAGGCCAGAGGCTCTCCAGTGGGCTGACCCTGTCTCCAGGCGAGCATATCTCTATCTTCTGGAGACAATTCTTGGCTGTCTGGGTGGGGGTGCCTCTAGCATCAGTGGGCTGAGGTCAGGGATGCTGCTCATTAAAGAACTCATCAGGCTCCAAGGTCAAGACCGCAAAACCCCGTTAGTGAGAGCACGCAGAGCAGTGGGCTGCCCCCGCCCCCCCCGCCCCCCCCGAGAGCCGAGCCTGGCTGCCAGGCTTCTCCCCTCTGGAAACGGGATCAGGGGGCTGGAAGCTGACACTCAAGCAGCCCAGCACAAGTGAAGCAAAACTCCGTGTGCAGGAACGCGTCACCCTGGGTGGGAACGCTTGTCTGTCGTGTTCCATATGCAGAGTCTGGGACTAATCAAGAACAACCCAGCAAATGAGTAGCCAAGCAGTCGGGAAGCCGAGTCACAGGAAGGGGAACCGGGGGAACGAGCCGCCCGCAGTGAAGCGCCGGTGCAGGGGAGGGAGCAGCCGGGCTGCCGGCTCGGGGGAGGCTCTCAAACAGCTGGTTGTCGAGTTTGAGCACAAAAAACTAGGTGCCAGCAGGTGAGTGACAGCTACGGGACAAGAAAACACCGCTGGCAAAGACGGGAGGGGAACTGGGGCTGGGGAGAGGTTCCCTTTCCAGGACCCAAGACAAGACCGCTGCTGACTCCTCCAGAAGGTTCTAGACTAAAACCTTCAAAGTCCTAAAAGGACGTTATCTGCCTGTCCAGAACTGGATGTCGAATGAAATTTTTATTCTTCAAACCAGTGGTGGAACAAAGACATTTCAGAAAGAGGAGTGATCACCAGAAGGTCCAACCCAAAGAAATACCAAAATGTGATCTTCCATCAGAACACACATGATCCCAAACGAAGGTCTGCAGATGCAGAAAGAGCAGCGGAACATGACAGGAGAACCATGTGGGCCACCAAGTGAATCGTGGTTACCACGGACTCACACACGTTTCAACAACGTGACGAGTGGGCAGCAGGACTGGGAATGCGCTGAGCTCGTTGCACTGCGGGGAGGAAACACGTTCATGCCACACTTTGGCAGGTCGAGGACATGACCTGTAGTCTGCAGGGTAACCACTGAAACCACAGTTTATGAGACTCTGCAACATGCAGATAACACGCTGCTGATGGGGGGGGGGCACATCTAAGATGGCAGAAAACCGGCGGAGGGAAAGGGAAGGGACATGGGAGCTGACGGCACATCCACATGGGCGTCAGACTGTGAAGCAAGTCTCACAGGGAACTCGTAATGATAAATGGGCTCACTCACCAGAGGGTTTAATAATTCACGCATCTGTTAAAACATACAAAGAACCATGAGGAAAAACACACCATGGGAAACTGTATGTGCCACTTTCAATAACTGACAGAGCACGGGAACTAAAAATTAATTTAAACTATGGAATATTTGGTAACACAATAAACCTGACCAGGAATCCCATCTTTAACAACTGCAGAAAACACAAGTTTTCCAGGCCTACCAGGAATATTTACAAAGATCAGTGCTGCTAGACCATAAAGCAAACCTCATCCATTTCTACGGAATTAAAACCATACGGTGTAATTAAATGAGGGATAAATTACTACAAAATTTCCCGATGTTTGGAAAATAGTAAATGCACTGCTAAATAGCCTATCAATGAGAGAGAAGCCCTTTCAATGAAAAAATTTAAAAATGCATGATAAAAATAATGTGTCGTCTCTTAAATACACGTATTAATTAGAAAAGGGAAAAGGCTGAAAACTGAGTATCTAAACAACCAACTCCAGAAGTTAGCTGTAAAGAGAAACAACGTACAGAAGGGGAGTGGAAGGGGGCAGCGGAAGGAGGGTCAGGTGGGCCCGTGACCTGCACAGAGGGGAGGTCACGTGCTGTCAGGAAGCAGCAGGACGAGAAGCAGGTCCAGCCGAACACCCAAGGAGCCAGTGTGGCGACCGCAAACACCTGCTCTGCACACCAGCCAGTGCACAGGGGCATGATGGACCCCAGGAGGGGCCAAGGTCGGTGTGACCTGGAACAAGGACCCGGTCACACCGGGAGACTAGAAACAAAGACGGCTGGGAGAGTTTGCCTTTGGGGCGGGGAGAACAGGAAGGCACCGGGAGACTTGGCCGCTTTCCACCCTAAGTTCTTCTGGTTGATTTGTTACTCCATACGTGTTTTTGATTAAAAATATTACAAATAAGGAAACTTCCGCCAAGATGGAGGCATAGGTGGATGTGCGGTGCCTTCTCACACAACCAAGATTAGAGAAAACTAAATATTAGCAACAGAAAACACAGCCAGAACACGGAAAATTGAACTTTTTGGAAGTCCGTTAACAACAAATTCTTCAGCCTGACCGGTAAGGGGCGAAACCAGCGGCTGGCGGAGCAGGGTTGCACAGGAGGACTTGGCCAGACACACTCAGGCCGGCAGAATCCAGGCGCAGGGTCAGACCTAGTGAGTGACCCAGCCAGCAACCAGGCGAGCGACCTCGGGGGAGACAGCCGGGCCCGGGGCTGCGTGTTGACTGAGGTCGCGCATTTGTGCGAGGGTGGACAGGCGAGGGAGTGGGCGGTTGGACCGGGCCGGCAGGTCCCCACGGCAAGCGGCAGTGGAGGGCGCCGCCATTTCCCTGCTCTGACCCCACCTCCACATACAGCGTCATAACCCAGCGACTCTGAGTGGCCCAGCCCAGGTGAACCACCTAAGGCACTGCTCCTCCCCACCCAGCTGTGAGAAGCGGCAGAGGGGGTCGCCATTTCCCTGCTCTAGCCACGCCCCCACATACAGCGACACAACCCAGCGACCTGGGAATCCAAGGCACCGCTTCTCACACTTAAAGGGCCCGAACAGACCAAGAATGGCATGCCACGTCCACTGCCGCGTCCACTGTTGGATCCCTCTCTCCGTGACAAGGTCCTGAGAGGGGGTGTAAGACTTCAAGGAAGCAGTTTCCAACCTGGTGGACGTGGCATGGAAGGCCTTGCAATACCTATTGTGATTGTGCTTGCTTTGGAGATCATGACCCTTTTTGCTTTAATCATTATGAATACCCTGGCAGTGATTCAGATAGTGTGCCTGGACCTTTCCCGGCTCAATAAACAGAATAATAATATCATACTAGAACGTCAGGGAATATAGGCACAAGGAAACAATCAGAACAATCTGAGAATTCAAGCTTAATCAATAACAATCATTAGAAAAACACCCAAGATAAGATAGAATACTCTAGGAAATCAGAAGATGATCTCACTACTTTCTTAGAAGGAATTAAAGTGCAAAACATGTTTATAAAAAGAACTCCTAGAGAAACTTAAAAGAAGTACCCTTGAAAGCCCCCTGCTACATAGGAACAGCCCCTCCTTTACCTTGAATAGGAATATATATCAACTAGACAGGCAAAGTAATAACAAAAGCTAGTTAGTTATTACAAACTGAACAGTCACTAGGGAGTCAGAATTTATGGTACACTGAAAAAACATTTTAAGCAAAAAAAGGTAGATAGCTAAGTTAGACATCACGAGGGCTTTATAATAAATCTCCTATTTTCTCTACTCAGTCTAGCGTATCCTTATACCCTATACCAAATTCTGAGAAACTTTGGTATACAATAAGATATTTTTAACTGTCTGATTAATGGCTCTCCTAGTTAAAATAATTTTTAACTGAATCTATGAGAACTTTTGTACTTTTACTGATTGCCTTTGTGTTGATTTTTTCTGCTTAAATGATCATGTTATACTGCAAATATTAATCACTACCTGAAATGAAAATTATAAAAACCTGCTTGTACTTTCAATAAACGGAACAGAGCTTCACTGTCCTTTGAGGCGTGTTGTCGTCTGTTACCCAGCGCCGACGCCTACCCTCACCTGTGGGACCCCCTGACCCGCTGCGGCTGGACCGCGGCAAGTGGCGCCCGAAAACAGGGACCCTCAGGTAAGACCCCTTAAATTATTGTCGGGTAGGCTAGGCTCTCACCGACCGGGTGCTGCAGACCCCCTGGTAGACAGACCAGGTAGCAAAGGGTGAGTAATCATGGGACATGCAGAGTCCAAGGAAAGAGGTTTATTCATTGATATAACTAAGCATATGCTCCATAAGAGAGGAATAAGTGTGTCAGGAAGACAGCTTAGAGATTTTTTTCATTTTGTTCAAGAATGTGCGCCCTGGTTCCCGGAGGAGGGATCAGTGAATCCAGAGACTTGGCAGCGACTTGGCCAAGATATGAAGACTTATTATACCCTTCATGGGCCCGAAAAGGTTCCAGTAGGTGCTTTTTCCCTTTGGAATGTTTTAAAAGATAGTTTTGACCCCACTCCTGAGGTTGCGTGCCTCGCTAAACAGACGACCGAGGAGGAAAAACAGCCTTTGTGTGCGGCGGTAAAAATAGCAACTTGTGAAAATCTAGCGCCTTCTGCCCCGCCGCCTGCTCTAGATGAGCATGAAAAGAGTGAGAGTGAGTCTGACTCTGACTCAGATAATGAACAGCCTGAGAAAAAGGAAGAGTTGCCACCTGATTATCAGACTGAATTAGAAGAAGAAGCTGCTAGATACCATTCTAAAGATTTCGATCCCTTGGCGTTAGCTGCGCTG